GTGGGCTGAGCGGGTGGACGGGTGGGGGGGGGGGGGGGTTCTGCCCTCGTGTTGTCGGGGTGGGCAGGCGGCGAGGAAAGTGATGAGATCAGATGTTATGTAGGCATGCGTGCATGCAATCAATCTTCAGAGTGTGCAATGAACGTCATTTACGCAGTTCAACTGCTGTCGTGGGATCAACTGGGATACGGACAACGAAGGCTTGTGATCACCCATCCTACTTCGTTGTTGTCGTCAAAACACAGAAACATATCTCATGAAAGTCAACAAGAACTCATTAGATATGCTAACTATCCATATCCAAGCAGGCGTGGAGGCCCATGACGAAGCCTTGGGAGTGATCCCGAGTCGAACGGCCCCGTCTCTCCATCTCTCCGATTATTGCTGCTGTCGTGAAGACCGTGAAGAAAGAGATGATATGCATCCAAAAAGCTTTTGTTGAAGACGCTTGCCCACCCACTGATTGCCTCGCCGCGCCTGCTATAGTAAAGAAAAGAAGAAGAGGAAGGAAAAAAAAAGCAGAAAAAGCAGATGTACCACCCTCCTCATCCAGAGCTTTTGTGTAGGAGAGCTGGGAAGACATGAGAGAGAACGCCCTAAAGAAACCTCTGCTGTGGGCAGCCGTACTCTTCTTTCTCGTTGCGCCTGAAGCCCCGCTGGTCTTCTTCCAACGGGTGTGAATAGAGTACGCTGAAAGAACCCGGTCTAAATAAGCTTGCTGAAGTGATCCGGGAAGTCTGAAAACAACAAAAAAGGTCAATAGTAGGAGATTCGTGCTCTTCTTTATCCAAAGCAGTAGGACCACGCCGCAGAGCCGGCGCTGCAGCTGACGAGTGGTTCGGCCGGTAAAAGGTGTGCAGTGAGTCTCAGCGGAACAAGCTCCTCAAATCCTCCAACCTCTTCTTGGCCGCCTCCTGCCTGTCCAGCTTCGCATTCCTGTTCATACTGAGGTCTGCAAGGTCCTTCTTCTTCTTCTGCAACTCCAGCATCTTCTCCTCAAAACTATCATTCATGACGAAGCGCGTGACCGTGACCTCGCGCGTCTGGCCGAGACGGTGCACACGATCCACCGCCTGTGCCTCAGCAGCGGGGTTGTACTGGGGCTCCATGACGTAGGCGCGCGAGGCGGACGTGAGGTTGAGGCCGAGGCCGCCGGCGGTGATAGAGATGAGCATGGTCTGCACACTATCATCATCGCGGAAGGCGTCGAGGGCGGCGCCGCGCTTCTTGCGGGACATGGTGCCGTCGAGGCGCGTGTGGCGCAGGCCTTTGTCCTCGAGCGCGATGGAGATCAGGTCGAGGTACGAGGTCCAGCCGGAGAAGACGACGCTCTTGATGGGCCGCTGGTCCGGGTGCGCGTCGTTCCAGGCCTTGCTCTCGAGCAGGTTCTCGATCAGGACTTTGACCTTGGTGTGCGGCCCGCTGTAGCGCCCCAGCTGCTTGGCCAGCCGCGGGTTGCTACGCACGCGCTGGCGCGCGGCTTCGTCGCGGTCGGCTTCTTCTTGGGAGAGTTGGAAGATGGACTGCCGCACGTAGGCGTCGCATAGCGGGCAGTACATGTAGCAGTCCGGTGCGGCGCGCTTCTTCATCCGGGCCTTGAACTCCTCGAGGCAGTTGGGGCAGACGATCTGGTAGCAGGGAGTCATGAAACCGATGGTCGTATCTTTTTTGACGTCACTCTCATCCTCCGAGGAGTCCGCGGCGGCCACGGCGGCGAAGCTGTTAGTACCAATCACTTGATCGCAGATGCCACAGTGGTGCATGTCGCTTTCGCGTAGGAGATGAAGCATGTCATATGCCTGTTCTTTCGAGATTGCCGGTTTATCTTCATCGTCGTCATCGTCTCCAAGTTCGATTGCGTTGTCCAAAGACAATCCCTCGGTAAGCTTCATGTCGTCATTGCTGAGAAGCTCAGCACCGTGGGCGCAAATCATGCGAAGGCGGCCAATTGCGCGAAGGATGTGACCCATTTGATTCTTTGCCAACTTGTCCCTGCCCGCTGTGATAGATGCCATGCGTGCAGCCGTGTCCCTAGCGAAGAAATCGTACAGCTTGCGCTCCTCAAGGGTGAAGTTGAGGCGGACCAGTTGATCTTGCCGGGGTGGAAGATCGATTCTGTCCTTAAGTCGACGCAGGGTAATCGAGTCGACGAGGATACGTAGCTTGGGGAGAATTTCGGGATCAGCGTTCTTGAACGGAGTGAGAATGTACTGCGCAAAGCCGCCCTTGTCGTCGAACGGCTTGATTCTTAAGAACTTAATCAAAGCACCCAAGTCGTCCAGGCGGTTTTGCACCGGAGTACCAGTGACAGCCCATCGGCGTTGTGCTAGCAATGCACAGGTGCCAACAGACTGCTTTGTAGCGGCACTGCGGATCATATGAGCTTCATCCAGGACGATTCGGAACCAGTTAATCAACGCCAGAGGCTTTTTCGCAGGTGGCTTATCATGCTCTGTAGCAACAACACTGTACGTCGAAATAACGAGATCGTAACGGGCGAGTTCCTCAGGATCGGTGGTCCTGCTAGGACCGTGGTAGATGTAGTACGACATCGAGCCCTTTTTAGTATGGGTCCGGATCTGCTCTTCCCAGTTGGCGACTGTGCTTACGGGGCATATGAGTAGCGTCGCCTTCGAATTGCACTTGATAAGCGGGGCCCCAGGCGTTTGAACCGGCATCTTTGAGGCAAACGCCGAAGCGTCTTCCATAGTCGCAGCCACCAGGGAGAGAATGCTCAAGGTCTTGCCGAGACCCATCATGTCGGCCAGAATACCTCCGCGTATCGGAGCAGGCTTGCTACGAGCCTCTTGGCCACTAATGATGTTGTAGTAACGGCGCTCACCGTTACCACGCAGCTTTACCTTCCACAATGAAAGCTTATCGTCTGCCTCTTCCTCCGTCTCGCGAGAGGTCATGAAATGTAAAGCTTGCTTCTGATGCTGTAGCAGGTCCGTTTGGATAATATCCGGCTGTTGCATCTCGGGAATAGCATCTGACTTGGCAAGAGAATCGAACATGCTGATGACATCAGAGCGAACCTCCTCAACCGTCCGGGCAACGAAGCCGTATGCGGGCTGATTACTGCTCGAGCCAGGCTGTACGCGTGGAGTGGTGGGCTTGATAGCCTGCGGGTTGTCGTAGGGAATACTCTTCCCAAGAGGAATGGTAGGATCACGAAGCCAAGACGAGTGGTGGCTAAGCAAGCGTCCGATGTCCTTGGCATGCTTGCGAGGCGCAAAGAGGTGGATGTTGAGGGGTATTTGTATCGTGGTGTTAGCTCCCACTTTTTCGCCGGCTATTTTCCGCCGAGTTTCTGTGCGGGCATCAATTCTTAGACTAAAGATCTTGTTGTCCATCAGAGGTTGCAGGGCGAAGGCAAGAGGAGGGGCAACGCGGCCAAAGTCTACACCACGAGGATCAGTGGCCGAGATGAGCACGTTGGCTCCGGGCCGCCGGTGAAGTGATATCCTTAACGGAGGCCAATGGTTGTTGGAGCCCTGAAATCCAGAAGCCGTTGGGCCTGGAACAATATAGGCCAAGAGTTTAGCACCCTCAATCTTGCCCAGACACACCTCTTGGTCACCGGTGTCTTTGACGAAGACGATCTCATCATCATCATCTACCATACTATTAGCTTCTTGTGAATACCGCAATCGAATAAGCGCAACATACCGGCAGTGAGGTCTACGACCGAGGATGATGCGGGAAGTGGGCCAGCTTCTTTCTCTCCAAGTTTCTTCTGTTCGGTGACATACTCTCCAAGAACGGTGTTCTTGCCGGCGCCTTCGAAGGTGGCCTTGGTGCCGGCTGGCTCGTCTGTAGGATCGCGCTTCTGCTTCTTTGCCGGCTGATCTTCGCGGCGCTGCACACCATGCATGCGCTCGATCATAGAGCCTAGCCCGGTAGTCTCATCTGTCGGTTGCTCTGCTGATGCGCCTTCAGGCTGGCTGGACTGGGTGCGGGCGCGCTTGGCGGCAGCTTTGGGGTTCAACAAAGCGCGAGGGTCGTAAGCGGGCGCTGAGGTATTGGAGGCGCTGCTGCTGGCACCTTGAGAAGAGTTTCGGGAGGAAGCTTGTGTTTGTGCTGGTTGAGTCAGTTCGGCTTCTTCTACAGGTAGCTGTGGTGAAGTCGGCCCAGTCGGTGAGCTTGGTGCAGAGGCATCAGGTAAATCTCCAGCCAAATGAGGGACGGATTCCTCGGAGCCAATGTCTACGGGATCCATCGTAGATGACAAAAGTCAACGGTGATATGGTAGAGCTGAAGGGAGAAAGGGTAGGTGTTGAGGTAGAGAGGGTGGGTTGGACGGCGAGGCTTATAAGGAAGCCCGACCGCGGCCCAGACGGTGAACAAAAACCAAAATGGAAGGAACGGAAGGACCATATGGTGCTCTTGGTTGCATAAGCGTGAAAGTGAAAAAGTGACTGCAGGTGAACATTGACGAGGGAGAGTGTTTAGCGCATCATGTGATTGTTGAAAGCATAACCCGAAATAGCAAGAGCGGAAGAAGAACAGGAGCTGAGCCCAGCACCAGTAGAGCAGATAGTGAGTTGAAGAAATAGAAGAAAAGCGCTTACCCTTTTTGAAGGCTCGGGGATTTAAAAGCTGCGCGGGGTTCATTTTGGGATTTGCTTTTCCCTTCCCTCGGATTTGAACACGGTACGGGTTACTCGGCGGCGCGCAGCCTACTTCCAGCACAAAAGTACAGGGTTGCCTTTATTTTTGAACGGAAACGGATCTGGACAGCGTAGACGTCGGGTCAGCGCGGTGGCGGGTCGGGAGATGGAGGGTCGATTCGGGTGTGGCGTATCATGTTCGCGCAAGCTGGGAGCGTCTCGAGCGCGTGTGCGAAGTGACAAGGAGGTGCCCCACTAGTTCCCCCGGATCATGGCGTGAGAACTGGGGATCGCTGGAGAAGACCGGTTGTGATGCGGCCGGTTGGCGTCACCGTCGAGCGTCGCTCTCGCCCATCGTTCGAGTCAATCCGCACTAGCCCGATCGAGCATAGTGCAGGCTCCGAGGACTTCAACACTTCGCATGGCGTCCCTCGAAGACGGAAAGGATGGACTTTTGGTCCCGTACACTTGTTTGCGTTTCAGCTCAAGTTGAAATACCATGCATTGTCCAATGTGCACTTGATATTCCTTTCTCTGCGCCAACTCAGTGCTATGCAAAGCCGAAAAGAGAGATGCTGCCGGTTCGTTCCCGTCTCGTGCGCCTATGGTCTTGATACACAATGAAGAACCCACCATCGCCTACAAAGCCATACAAGTTTTTAGTCGTTTTTTTCCCAGCCGTAGGTATACAACTTTCTTCATCATAAGAAAATCCCGGAGATGCCGCTAATGCTCCTCTAAGGGAACCAAAGAAGGAAAAAAGGTTAGGTAAAGCCAAGAAGAAAATCAGCAACACGTGAACAGCGGGTTCTTGGCCTTGACCATCTCCAGCCGTTCCACAATCACCCGTTTTGTGTGGCCATCCATATCGTCTGCTGCCGCATATCCAAGATCACCTTCGTCATCGTCCGCTCCAAGTGGTCCGCTGTTTCTGCGGATCGTGAAGGAAAACCGCCTCCTTTTGGACGACACTGGACTAGTCGGTATGCTACGGCGGGGGCCATCGTAGCTCATCCGAGACTTGAGACTGACTGGCGGTCGCGAGTTTTCGTGCATGTTCATCGTGCTTGACTGCCTTGATATGTTGAACGGATTGCTGCGTGGAGGCGATTCCAGTCCGAGAAGGTCATAATGAACGTTAGGAGCCGACGAAGCCAATGCGTTGCTGATGTCCATTTCTTCCGTTTCATCGTGCGCAGCGAGCTCCTCCGTTTGCCGCCGCATTTCTGCCGACGGACGCTGCAGAGGAACCGCAACCGGAATGTCCACCAGGTCGTCCCACACGCACACCCTCGCCCGACGAGTCAGTTCCAGCGGTCCGTGATCAGGGGTCTTGAGAGTCTCCACCACGTTCCAGGCCTGGCCTTTCATGACCGCCATTTGCTTGGCAAACATGCGCTCCTTAAAGTCGGCGTCCTGGCTGAAGCATTTTCTCAATGCCAACGTAGTCTCGCTCCACCACTGAGTCGACGTAAGCAGGGGTAGGAAGTGTCTGCGAGTTGCCTCGGAAAAAGGCTGTCCGATCAAGGATACTGGCAAGAACAGCCAACCGAAAGGATAACTCCGCCACTAATCATTGTTAGTCAGTGCTTCAAATGGTAGCTCAAATAACTTACGGCATCTGGGTGCTTCCACGGCCATGAAAGACTATTATCAATAGCTCCCAGTGATACCTTCGGGTCATCATCTGAAGAAGGTGGCACGTTCGCAGGAGTTCCTGATCTGCTAGTTGCAACCATCTGTTCTTGCCGCTTGTACGGCTCATCGGTGGAGCCGTTTGAACGGCGGTCCTTTGGCGGTTCTGCCACGATGGTAGCTTCCTCCGTCTTTGTGTCAATTCTAATCATCCAGTTGTCCAGACCTCGGTCCGTATTTCTCATGAGATAGTCCAAGATGACCAGCTTCTCCAATTGCTCGCGGAAAGACTGTTGCAGGCGCTCTGACCAAAAGCCTCGGCGCACTTGGGTCTCGTCGGCAGTCGGAGGCCGGTCGTCGTCCTCGTCATCCGACGCCGGGCCGCTCGGCCTGCAATCCTCGGCCCATCTTCTCTTTTTCCGCCGTGCAGGAGCATCCCGGAGTGCATTATTGTGCTGATCCGGCCATGGGTGCTCCTTTAGGAAAAGCGTGGCATCCTTGTAGCCCTTCAAGAAGACCTGAAAGCTACCAAGCTTCTCCGGCAATGGCTTCTTCTTCCTGTAGAATGCTCGCCTCTCCCAGAAGTCGTAGTAGAAAGACTTGGACGACAACCCGACGACTTCGGTGTAAGGGACAATGTTTGTTCGGAGCTGGGTATCGAGAACGTAGGCTGCGGCTTCGGACACGTAGCTGAGGTTCGGAATAAGGCACGCTCTGCCAAATGCGAAGGGGAACAGATTGCGGTGTATCCACTTGGTCCACTTGGGGTTTCTGGAGGCGTAAGGCTCCTCGTCCTTGGGCTTGAAGACGCCGACAACCTTGCCATCTGGATTGCGGGCAAAGTAGCTACCAGAACTGCCTTGTGTGATCATCTTTGGATGGGTACCGAGTTCAATGGCGGTGCGGACACTTTCCACAATATCGTCAAACTCCAATTTGGTCAAGCGGTCGGGGTGGGAGCCGTCATAGTCCTTGGCCAGCGTTTCAGCGGTGGCAGGACGAATCCAGTCCGGAGCCTGGAAGACAGAGTGGTGTATCTCCAGCTGCTCTTCCTGCTGTGTCTTCCCACGGCCTTTCTTGATCTTGAACTTGGAGGCGATCTCGTCCGCCCATCTCTCCAGACGCGCGTTGATTGCCTTTATGTCGACGCCGGAATTGCTGCGAACGCGTCTGCCAGGTTGACGTCTCGAGGGCGAGCCGGAGGTCGGGGTCATGCGGGCGTGGCGACGAGGCTGGATGGGAGCATAACGACCAGAAATGGAGCCCTGACCGCGGTGAAGGTCGTCATCTTCGGAGTCGTCGAGGACGTCCTCCTCTTCCTCGGCTTGGGCGATGCGGGCGTATCCCGAGGTAGGTGGCCTGCCTTTTGCCATGGTAAAAGTCACTGCGTAGTGAGAAAGTGCAGCTGCATGACAGTGCGGGCTGAGGCTCCCGTCACCCGCAGAGCTCACCCGAACACGGGGCACGGAGGTCCAGTATGACGCGGGCCAGGCAAATTAAGACGTGGCCTCTGGCAGCCGGGGGCAGCGCGGCGGGCGACGGCCACGGGCGGTGTGAAACAGCGCTAGCGCTCCGTTTTCAGCGCTCCTGCCCGGCCAATGGCCGACCCGCAAGTCTTGGCATCAGAAGCTCAGGGGCCCAAAGCTTGGACCGAACCGCCCGACTATCCGACCTCGACGCGCCTTGCTATCAAATAATCTCCCCCGGACGATCCCCGTCACGTCGCGAACTCCCCCATCCCAGCACCACGCGTACCCCGTTGAAGCTATCGTCTGGACGAGAATGTCGAATAAGACCAAGGCTGCGCCGCGGCGCGTCGCCAGGGTGGCGTGCGTGCCGCTGCTCCAGCAATGAGCTCCCCGCCTCCCCCGGTCTCTGCATTTGCATCCATGGAGCGTCTGGCCGGCGCGAAGCATCACTCCCCTCCCGCAATGATCAGCCCCTCGTCCCGCCCCCCCGTTGGAGTACGAGCATTGTCTAATGAACACGCGCCAATGGCCAGTCGGCAATCGTCGCTTCGGGTGAGTTCATTTCGGGTTGCGCGCCCTGCCGTTGGTCCTGTTCCCGTCCAGCGCCCCAATGCGGGAAGCCAGCACTATCTCTCTTATCAGCCTCCCTGGGCGCGTCCGAGCGCCGATGCAGAAGCTCCAGCTTTTGCTTTTCAGGAGGCTGAGACAGCGCGGGCTCGTCGGGGCAGTCGCGCCGCCTGGCAGCGAGCCACGGCGCGTGCGGCCGTTGGTGTCTTGAATGTAGCAGCAGCGAGCTCCTGGGTGGCTGGCTAGCATGGCACCGAGGATCGCCGGGCGTGCTGGTGCTCGTGACACGAGAGAATATGGAGAAGGCTGCGAGTCCCGGGAAGCAATTTGAAACGGTGGAGCTACTGTACCCCTGAGCGTGAGAATCTATCGATTGGCGCCGGGCTCGCGATCACGGTCGTTTTCTCTTGGTCTGGAGACAAAGCTCTGCTCCGGCCTCAGCCCTGCGCGCGCTCGCGCTGCGTTGCGACGACTCGGCAAGCCTTCAGATCATGCTGGACGGGCAGATCATCCTCGCGGTAAACACCACGGCGCAGATCCACCAGTCTCTGTGCGACACTGCGCTCAACAGCATGCCGGATGCACGGTCAGCTCCAATCTAATATTAGCGCTGGTGACCATCCCTGCCTACCCCTGTGTCCATGCTCCCGTACCTGCGTCTCTTTGGCATTCATCAAGTGCAGTAGCTACCTTCCTTTAGCACCAAGCGAACTGCCCTACACGCTCTCTACCTAATCCACGCTCCTTTGTGCCTTCCATCCCCACCGCCCGTCTCGCGCCCGCAGACACGCTCTCGCCCACGCCTTCACGACTTAATTATTTTGGAAAGCGCAAAACGCGTTTTCCCCTCCACCGCAACCACGGCTTCCACACTCGCCATCTCGTTGCTCAACCGGCCCGTGGCCATTGAGAACCTGCACTACCACAACCGCCCGCCGTCGCCGCGCGACCTCGCGCCTTTCAACACGGCTTCCGCACTGGACGAGCGCCCGTCGTTGCCGTCGATCGGCCTGACCATCTCACGGCCATCGTCGGCAACGTCCCAGTCCGGCGCGCATCTCCCGCCGCCCCAGTCGCTGCACAGAGGGACCAGCCCGGGCATCCAGTTGCCCGGCGTGTCATCGTTGGCGTCGTTGGCGGGGTCGGCGACGTCGTCGCCGAGCATTAGTAGCAGGTACGTAGGCGCACATTTTTAAATTTTTTTATTTTGTGTTGTGGTTATTTTGATCGAGGGTGATTGGACGACGGTTGGACGCGTCGCACCGGCCACGGCGTGCGCGCAAGACGCGGCCACGAATTCAGTGCCATGGCATCGGCAATTGAAAGCGCGTGCTGTCAGTCGGGGCGATGACGGGCGATGCACGTCGGATGCGTGCCAATCGTGGACGGGTTTGGAGCTCGCGATAAAACCCTGGCGCATCACTGATAACAAGGCCGAGCTCCACCCCAGCGCGGCGACAACAAAGACCTGCGGACCGCAGCGCTGACAGCCTCTCCTCTCACAGGCCCCCGAATGCCGTTTCGCACAGCATGACCTACGCCACGAGTGCCCCGGCCACGTCGGGCGGACAGAACCCGGTGAGTGCGTCTTGTGCGAGTGTGTCGGCAGCGAGTGCATGGGCCCGGGCCTGAGTGGTGTTCCAGCCAGTGTGAAAACTCTCTCTCGCCCTGCCGCGCCTTATCCTGCTTATCGCTCAACACCCACCACCGACCATGGCAACGCTCGCTGACAACAACCAACAGCCCATCTGCCAGAACTGCACCACCAGCACCACTCCGCTCTGGCGACGCGATGAGGTCGGCTCCGTGCTCTGCAACGCCTGCGGCCTGTTCCTGAAGCTGCACGGCCGCCCGCGTCCGATAAGCCTCAAGACCGATGTGATCAAGAGCCGGAACCGCGTCAAGACGTCTGGCCAGGGCCCCAAGAAGAAGGTGAGCCTTGCTGCCTGCCTCGGCCCTGTTGCGCCTCGCTCACATCCCGCGCAGCAGCAGCAGCACGACAATGGCCTCGACCAGGCCCGCGCCGCCGCCGGCACGCCGCCCGTCGACCAGCTCGCCAACCACCACCGCCGTGCGCCGAAGGTCTCGTCGGGTGCATCAGAGCGCTCCACGTCGCCGCTGTCGCGCACCGGCACCCCCAACCTCGGCCAGCACCACCCCTCCAACATTGCCCCGCAGCACATGTTTGACGGTGTGACGCTCAACGGTCATGAGTTCCACTCGCCCTCGCTTCCCTCGTTCATGCCCCATCGCCAGCCCTCTCCGTCGGCCTCGTCCGTAAACGGCTCGTCGCACCTGGAGCCGCCCATGTCGTACGACGGCCTGGCCACGACGAATACGGCGCTTAAGACGCGTGTCAGCGAGCTGGAGGTCATAAACGACCTGTTCCGCGGTCGCGTCACGGAGCTGGAGCAGAGCGAGCAGCGCGCCCGTCAGGACGAGGCTCACGCCCGCGACCACGAGAAGCGCTTGCAGCAGGATCTGGACGAGTCGCATGCTCGCGAGGCTGAGCTGAAGCGCCGCGTCGAGGAACTCGAGGCCGAGCTAGCCGAGTACAGGGGTGACAGCCATCGTCAGAAACGCATGAGGTAGGTGCTGATAAGAGCTCTCCCTGCTGCCCAAGCACGGCTAACTTTGAACCGCTATAGGCTGTCCGACTTGGTAGAGAGCCCGCCCGCATCTACACCTCTATCCACGCCCTCTCAATCAAACTGAGACCGGCACCTGGCTACCCTTCTTCTCTCCTTGTCTTTTCTTTTACAGAGCGATATCCTGAAACGATGCCTTTTTTACGTCCCTGCTGGCGCTGCTGTTACCCATCCGTCCGGAAATCCACACGGTATTCTCCAAAACGGATCGTTGCTGCGTTTCCTCCCTCTACCGCTCTAGCAGTCCAAATTCGAAAACAGTTTACTGGTCTTCCCCTACGCGCTGGCATTTTTTAAGCGTCTGCGGGAAAGTCCAAACTGCACGAAAACAGTATAAATTTACCCTAATGTCTGATATCCCGCCGTTAGTACTCTGACTACACGGCCTTTATCACCTCTCACGTCAAACGATCCGGGTACTGAATTCCGAACACCAAACGGACTTCTTACCTCCCGATCAACCACCTGCCGCCTTGCCGGTTTTCTTTCTGATCATTACTGCTTCTTTTTGCGCTACGAAAGGGATGAGATCAATCCACCCACGATCAATCAAGGCGGGAATACGGGGGTAGCCTCCCCTTTTCCGACCAGATTCTTCGATCGTGCTCGGGAGGACTTGAAAAAATATGGGACTTATTCACCTTCTGCTCTTTGCACAGGCGGCGGGTAAAGTTAAATTTTTTTATTTTTTTTTGCTGGGACTGCGAGTATTTGAAGCCTTCCATCGCCAGTATCATACGGATACAACAATGGTTTTGGGATACAGGGTTACTTAAAAGTCCGCGCGGGGCGTCATCATTGCGGTTTTTCTCTCTTTGCTGCTCTTTTTCATTTTGCTCTCTTCGCGCCTCAAGTAGTCGATGCTCTCTCTTGGCACCTCGGGATTTGAGGCAAGAGGATGAGGGGCTCAGCATGAGCACGACAGCTTGCTTCCTGACATGCCTTGACCCTGTGCGGGCAGCGGAAAAGTGAGAAAGAACCAAAAAAGCATAATCAAAAGCGCATGAAGAAAATAAAGATTTCAATGGTCTCTTCCTCTTTGCTTCGATCTGTGTGACGTGAAAGTGCTTCATCAGCTGGTCTGATTCAAAGGCTGATACTACGGATGTAGAAGGCAGCAAAGCAACCCGCCAATAAGACGTGCATACCTTGCGTATGCAGCGCCAACGACACACACACATCTACGATGGGAATAGCACTTTCCCTTCCGTCTCTCATCTCCGCATACGGTTCTCCTCCCAGCCAAGCGCCCGCGTGCCCATTATTTCCGCGCACACACACACCCTCTGATCGCAATCGCTTTCGCCCAGCCTCCCTTCTCCCGTCCCCCTGCACCATCACCAACTAGGTACGGACCGTACGGCAAAAAAGCAACTAACCAACTAACTAGAGAACAAACGGTGCGGACATTTATGCGGCGTAATTTAGGTACACCCGTGTTGCCCCTCATAGCAGTCGATCGCACTTTTGTTTTCTCGGTGCTTATCAGGTTATCAATAATAGTATCGATGGCGCTAGCACCAGGTACTTGCTATCGCAATCCGCTACTCTCGCTTGATCGGTAATGAGCGAGATGATGAAAGGGCCAGCACACAATCTGATAACGCCATTTATTATTGTCTTATCGCCGATGATGTGCTTTTTGCTCCACCCGAGCGCGCGCGTCCCCCCAGCCAATCGCCGTCGTTGATTGCGGGCGATAAGCTGATAAGGAATGCCTTGCGTGCTTTTTGTGTTTGCCTTGCCCCGTTTCGAGGGGGGCAGGAGCGAAAAGGGGAAAGCGCATGTTTAGGCTCGCTAGCTTAAGAAGTTGACATATGTCGACGACTACACGAACCTACATCGCTCTTTTTTCGAAGAGCGAGGAGGAGGGGTAGCAGGGAGACGAGAGAGAGAGCGGGGCAGAGAGGGGGAATGAAAAACGCACGGCCCTTGATTTGTTCCCCCCCCTCCCCGTGCCCATCGTCATTACTATCATCAACAACCGCGCCGCGCTCATTGGTCGCGGGCGGTTTCGAGTACGTACAAAGCAGCGGGGATGTACGGAGGGGTACCGCAGCCGAAGGTTGGCGCGAAGAATAGCAGCGAGCAACCACGGTCGCCAGAATAGATGGGTTTTCACGATGTTCCTGGGGAATTATTCGACTTATGGGGGGCAGTTTAAGCTATCGTCCGGATGTGAGTGTATAATTGTTAATTCCACATTTACTTTCGGACGATAGCTTCAACTACCTATAACATGCAAATTAACCTTAGCCTTCGGCTGCAATACCACCCTGTACGGAGTACAGTCCGGATGTATGAGAGTCAGTACTACGAACGATCCCGACACCTCAAGACCGAGTTTGCCCCGTGAACGTACACCACCCACACACGAGAAGAAAAATCAAAGCCAACAACGCGAGCGTGAGGAATGCAATACTCATAAAAGAACATTCCCCGATAACAAAATCTCGGATGACCTATACGGAGTATGCTCCGTGTACTCCCACATGCGAGAAGAAAAAAGGTAATAATAAAACAAAGCGAGGAGGGAACGGAATCTTAATTAGAACGTTGCTTCTTTTTGTCTCACAGCGTCTTAAGATACGCGTGGCTTGACAAAGAATTCGGGTAATGCAATGCAATAAAATAAATTTTTGCCTCTCTTGTGGCACACCGGCACACCACGAAATAAGACTCGCATCATGCACATAAGACAAGACATTCCACGAGTTGATTGGGAGGAAGGAGCCGAGACAACCGACCGACTATTGCCACGAAATCTCCGACGAAAAAGGGGGGCGTCAAAAAATTACTTTCATTTTCTTTCTCTGTTCAATTGAAACAACAATATCATGGCATTCATGTCCGAGATGTTCTCTTGCGCCTCGTCCATACTGCAAAGCAGCGAGATGTTACTCCCTGAACGAGACGCCTTCTATTCCCGAAACCCACATCTTCCCTCCAAACCTCAATTAAGAAGTATGAAGAGAAGATGAAGTTTTGCTTGCTCTACCAACGCTCCGTTAGGGACCCAATGCTCTTGTGGGAAGAGCGAAGAAGGCCCCTGCAGGACCCGAAGTCCTGCATCGCTGGGTGTGTTTGGTTTCTCATTGCTGAGAAGGAGAAGAAATGAAAAGAGAATAAAAAGATCATAACAAGTGGAAAGCATAGTAAGGATGAAGAAAGCGTGCTGCCAGCCGATCAAACCGGATAGGCGAAGATTCGTGATTCGTGAGAGCGTGTACATGTACGACTCCCGTAGATCTCGTTGGAGGATGCTCTTCTCCATAAAGCTCGCAAAGAAGCAGCCGAAAACAAACGCCAGAGCGCCAACGCTAATGTGTGAGCAGACCCCCCTTCCCTGCCGAACTGTGGGTTGTGTCTTCCAACGTTTCCACCTCTGTGCAAGTTTTGAGAATGAAAGAGTGAAGGATACGAACCATATGGCTTCTCATTTGATCCTTGTACGCCCATGCAAGTTGCCCATTTGCCTTTACCCTGCCAGACCAAAAAAGGCTCCGAAATCATGCAATAGAAACCAACTTACCCCATCGCCTACCATCCGTGCAAGAAAAGCTGTGACATGCTCTCACCGTGGTGGTTCCGGCGAATAGCCTCAGCAAGCAGACTCTCGACGGGGATGATGGTTAGTTTGCTGCAGCGGGCCCTCTTCTCTTCGGGAATGGGGAACGAGTTGGTGACGACGATACGCTCGATGCACTCGCACTCTTCCATCTCTTCCAGACAGTCACCGCCAAAGAGGCCGTGTGTAGCCATGCAGTACACCTTAGTAGCACCGCCACGCTTCACTACCGTCTCTGCAGCTGCGATCCACGACCCGGACTTGTCAATCATGTCGTCGACAATGCAAACGGGGCGATCCCGCACGTTGCCAACAAGCGTGACCGTAGTCTCGAGCTCGGGGTTCTTGAGATCGTCTTCTTCAGCTTCAGAGGTGTCACCGGCATCATGGGTACCACCCATAGGCTGTGCCAGCTCAGGCTCCTCGACCGAACAGGTAGACATCATCGAGTTGAGCATGTGCTCCGGAGGCTCATCGTCATCCGAATTACTGCGCTGAGGCCTGTTCTTGAAAGAAACAGCCGACATGGCAGGAGAAGGATGATCGTCGTCCACAATATGGCCGTGAACTAGACGGCCATGGATGACGTCCCGAGCGCGCTGTGGACGTTAGTGTGATCAGAATTTCGTCAGTTTAATTGCCAAAACTTACCTCGTCAGTGTACTCATCAGCAAGAGGGTCAGAGGGAGAGTGAGATGCGCTCGGAGCTGTAGCAGTCCGCATAAGACGTTTCCTGGGAGAGTCAAGGCCATCTTCAGAAACGAAGGACTCAGCCCTGGTTGACTTTGCCAGCGGGCTTGAAGGCACAGCATTGACAGCGCTGCCATTGAGTCTGCGAGCAGCAGAGGTGGCCCTGCCACGTCCCTTCGCCGGCTCCTCAGCTTCATCCTCAGCATCTTCGGCAGCGTCATCGACATCGTCTTCATTAGACGAGACCTTGATGGTGTCGGTGGGAGCAATGTTGGCCTCTGCGTCAAACTCTTCCTCAATCAGGCCCTGCGTCTCATATGTGCCATCCAAGCCGAGTCTCTCAAATATGGCGCTGCCCTGCAGGCTCAGGCCCTCTCCACGACCCGGACGTCTCCTGTCGGTGGTGACGATACCAAAGCTGAGCTTCAACGCATCGGCCAAGCTGGTGACGCGCTTGGTACCGCCGGGGTTCTTAGAGACAACGACGGTATCCTTCCAACAGGGCACATTGTTGCGGATCCAGCGGGCAAGCAGCGGCTCGGCGACGAGGTTGTCGACAGGGCACTTGAAAAACCCCTGCATCTGAGAAGCGTGAAGGTCGATGGTGATGACATGGTTGACGCCTGCAACGTGCAGAAGGTTTGCGATCATGCGGGCGGTGATGGCACCACGGTGCGACTTCTTCTTGCTCTGGCGCGAGTAGGGGAAGTAGGGCATGACAGCTGCATGGCGCATTAGCGCTGTCGTGCGTTGGAGTCGCACTGGTGTGCTGGTCACCACGTACCAGTGATGGACTTGGCCGAGCCGCCTTTGCAGGCCGAGATCATGATCAGCAGCTCCATGACATTGTCATTGATCCTGCGGTGGTGTTAGTCGGGCGTCGGGTGGTCGGGCAGGGAGGGGGCGGTGACGCACTTGGAGCTGCCGCTCTGGACAATGAAGACATCCTGGTCGCGGACAGAGGACTCTTGTGACTGGTAAGCTCAAGCGCAGGGCAGACGGCAGCTTTCATACTGACGGATCTGCACGCTGGTCTCTCCGTTGCTGAACTTGCGCAGCTCGGCCTTGCCTGGGCGCTGGCCCAATCGGTCGCAGATGCCCTCGACCAGAGTCGGGTGCGACAGACCCGAGAAGATTTGCGTCTGGCGCATGGTGGGCGATGTGGGTGGTTGAGCGAGGGAGGGTGAGGTGAGAGGAAGAAAATGCAGGCACGCGCTTTGCGGGGAGATGAATTTTTGGAAGCCACGGCCGCGGCCACGACTTTGTGGGTGGTGCTGACTTGCAACCCCACCGCACATCATCCCGTCTGCTTCCCGCACAACTAGTAAGCCGGCGCACACTACTGTGCCTGTGCCAATCACAACCATCCTTCCGCTCCCAGCTGTGCCTCCCCGCGTTCCAGGGAGCCAATGACGTTAGCCTCGCATATCGCTTCCGGTGCCGTCGATCCTACGTAGAGCTTCACAGCAGCTAAATAAAGTTAACAATGTCACCACTAACCGCAGGCCCCTCTCCTTATCTCTCATTTTTCTGTTTCAATTCGAATTTGTTGCTCTAGGAGGCTCTCCGCCGTCGTCGACCAATCCCGACCACTCGCCAGGCCGCAGCAAAAGACAGTAGCCCTCAAAATGGCACATCCCCCAATGGACCAAATGGACCAAGCCGACCACGCCCAGCTGGCGCTGACCTCGCACCCGGTCATGTCGCCCGACTTCACGCTGCGGCCGGCGCGCGAGTCGGACATTCCCGCGCTGAACGCCATCCACGCGCACTACGTGCAGCACACGGTGGCCACGTTCACGACGACGCCGCTGCGCGACATCGACTTCCTCGTCGCCTTCCGCACCGTGCGCGCCGCGAAGCTGCCCTACCTCGTCGCCGCCCACGCCTCCAACGCCCCCATCGGCTACGTCTACGTCTCGCCCTTCCGCGGCGCCAAGCAGGCCTACCGCCAGACGGTCGAGTTCTCCATCTTCTGCCACCCCGACCACAAAGGCAAGGGCATCGGCTCGGCGCTGCTGGAGCGCCTCTTGGCCGTGCTGCGCAACCCCGAGGAGTGGGGCGAGGAGTGGATCGGCGCCGTGTGGCGCGGGGATGAGGGCAGGGTGCGGCAGGTGATTGGATGTATGGCGCTGGATGAGCAGGGCAGGAAAGGCGGGTGGGGACTGAAGGAGTTCTATGAGGATTTCGGATTCAAGCAGTCCGGACACCTGAAGGGTGTGGGGAAGAAGTTCGACAGGTGGATCGATACGGTGTACATGCAGCTGTCTTTATGAAGGGAGAGATGGGTGGTGGCTCATGGACCGCACGCCGGCTTCTTCACCTCCTTCGCAACATCTCGGACAGTTACAGCCGCGTCCTAGCTCCACGCCGCTGCCGCGCGGGAGGTAGTGGTCCACGGAGGAGAAGATTCCGTTGCACTCAAGGTAGTTCCCGGCCGCCGGTAGCGTATCAAAGGGGCAGTTGTGCCTCCGGATATAACGAGATTCGGCCCGCGAGGTTCTTCCCGTCGCCGCCGTCCAGCACCCTGTCGGGACGTACTCCGCGCGAGTAGCCCGAGGTGCGCAGTCAGCAGCACGTAGGTGCCAAAGAAATGATCCTCCGCAATTATCTTCGAGAGCAACGGCACTCCACTTACATAGGTAGTTGAAGCTATCATTCGGACGTAGATGTATATTCAATCATTCTATATGTACGTTCGGACAGCAGCCTCTCCTAAATATGTAACAAGCTTAGGTGCACAAGGAAATCAGTTCCGATGGCTCAGATATTTCGTCGCCCACTGTGGCAGCGTCGTCACGACGGCTGAGCACTCGTCCAGCTAGCTGCACAGGGGAATCGGTGCTCTGGCACAAGGCGGTAGTGAACAGCAGCGCATTACTAGATCGGCGTCGGCCTTTCTCTCCGTCCATGAAGGTATACTGCAGATTACTGGCAAACTTGGAAGGTTGTCTTTTGTCCTCTTCTCTCCGCTTTTTTCTCTATTCAAGAATAGATGTGTGCGTCCGGTGTTCTGTGGATGGCGACGGCAGTATTGATGGGCTCAGGACTCTGAGAAGGTAGACAGTCTTGCACGGCGTGGTAGCACTAGGTCGAATTGTCTGTCAATAACTGTGACCGTGGTGTCATAGATGGGATGCAGGAATTGAATGTCGATGCTGGCCTTTAGCCAGACAGCGGAAGTGTTAATTTTGCGATACAATGTCATGAAATGTAAAATGAATCCAATGTTTAACGCTACACTTATTGTCTATTGAATGAGTGCTCGACAGAGGTCCGACTATGGACCAGAGTATGCAAAAGAATTCGTTGCGTTGAAGAAATGATTGTTGAACTTCCCTGCTGAACCACAATCCCGAGTGACTTGAGCACCACATCTCACCTCCCTATAGGACCGGCTCACTTGGTATTACCACGCCTTGAAGAAGTAGAAGTATCGTTCTGTGAACACCAACCGGTTTAGGTCTAGGCTAGGGAAGAATGGTATAGTGGTGTATGGTGTATCCCGAGGGTATCTCGATTGAATGATGACGTCTCTGATGTTGAGGCCTTGGTTGAGTTTCGCGATCATCCACAGGAAATTGGTTGGTACTCCCATGGCCTCCTGGAGCGCTAGGAGGTTGAGGTCGGAGAAGTCCACGATATCGCGAAAGATGCTGCAGAGCCTCCTTGTAGGGTTCAGACTGTTTGGACAGCCTCTCAAATCCAAAATCTTCAGTCGAAGCTTCACGCCACGTGAGACCAGAGTCCGTGCTGTTACATCAAACATGTCCGGCATGCCTGGGAACCGACGGTGTACGCAACAAGAAGCGAACAAATATTTCAAGTTGGAACACGATGCCAGTATCTCGGCAGTGACCTGGGCCGCGCCATTGGGAGAGACGCATTGGACCATTACGGCTATGGTGGTGAGCGTCCTAGAGAGATCGGTTCTCCACCTAACTGCTGAAATGTGGTATGTATAGGACAGAGGCCAACGAATGTCCAGGATTTCCACATTACGCTGATAGTGGAATATGTAGTAAACGAAACTGGCCGGACACTCGGCGTTACGGGAGGGAAAGAAGTGAACTCTTCGTAGCTGGTCGTGGGGTATAGACCGAAACAGTCTCGCGCCATGATCATCGTGGAAGAAACCATTGGGGTTACGATGGCGAACTATGGTTACGTCACGGATTTTCTCCAACACTAGCGGTTTCCTGACGGGATCTTTCATGGGCCATGGCTTATCGGTGATGTAGAAATGCTCATAGAGAGCTGGGAATGTGAGGCCCCACAGGTCCCAGCAGACGCGACTCAAGCTCGCAAGATCTCTTTTGCACGTGATCTAGACAAAAATTGGTTAGCATGCGGTTGAGTGGCTCGGGTGGTTGCAAGCGGCGCAAGATTAGAGTTCCCAGTACTCACAAACTCGATGATCATCAAAGCGAGTTGGACAGGGAGTTTGCAAAACGGCCTGAACGGCGGGGGAGAAGGCGTTCTCGTAGGTCTTGTTGGTAGTGGAAGAGAACGACAACGACGACGAGGAAGATGCGCGTATGCGGGCATCATGTTACGTGGTGTAGTTTGACAGAAATGAGTAGAGATATTCAGTTGTGGTTGGATGACCTCAATGATGTGCAGGTAACGCAGCGTGCAAGTAACGCGGTGTGCAAGTGAGGCGGCGAGACAGAAATGGCAGTCATGGCTAGCTGAGTGAAGGAAGTACTGTAATAGGAATGCGCAGACCTGCGCAGTGAAAGCGCGTCCAAGTAGCAGTCCATAACGAAATAACGAAAACTCGCAGGGGACATGGCGCTCGTTCTCTAATCCAGACATCCGTCGCATATGAGCGATAGGTGTGAGATTGATGCACATGATATCGCAACCTGGTGTTTGGAGACTGTACAGATGCCAATGCGCGATGCTACAACCCAACTGCTCGATCCTGGCCCGAGAGGTTAGGAGCTTCGGGTCCGGCGAGGCGGACGCAGGGCTACGGCCAGCAACCAATGATTCACTCGCAACAAGAAACACGGTGAGAGACAGGGCCTTCGGGAAAGGCGGCAGGCGAGGAGGGATGCCTGGGGCCACCGTTTACACATTGCCAAGGGAATCGCGACAGAAATTTAATAAGAGAAACTGCGGTGCGAAACCACGTCGGCGGTTAGGCCTGCGGGCGGGAGGCGCAGGCAGGGCTTGTCCCGCTCGGACGAAGGCCAGCCGCCCCATGGGGCAGGTCGGCCAGGGCGTGTGCGAGAGAATCTCTCGGGCTGTGCGCGCGGCAGAGGGCGGTGGTGTCGGTGCTGGCACCAGCGGAGAGGGATTGACGTGTTGCTGCTTGGCCTTAGCTAAGTAGACTTTTGCCCCACCAATTCGGGGCTTATCGAATCGAAATTTCTAGTCGGCCCTAGAACTTTCAGCCTCGTGCAGCCACACCAACTTCTTTGCTTTCCGCCCGGCTCCCTGCCACCCACGCGTATAAACTCCCTCCGCGACGCGGTCTCTCCTTTCGAAAAGTTTGTCGCGCCGCCGCACGCACCGCACCTCTACGCTCACCCGCCCACGCTCCCGAGTGACGCAACACCATGTCTGTCGTCGGTATTGATCTGGGGACGGCCAACACGGTTATCGCCGTCGCGCGCAACCGTGGAGTCGACGTCGTACGTCTCCCCAACCCGTCGTCGCTGGGCCTTCTGCTGACGCTGCCGCCTAGGTCACCAACGAAGTCTCCAACCGCTCGACGCCGTAAGTCGCCCGCCGCTGCCCCTCCCCCGCCAACACACACACGCTGACCGCGCGCAGAACCCTCGTCGGCTTCGGTCCCAAGAGCAGATACCTCGGTGAGGCCGCGAAGACGCAGGAGATCTCCAACCTCAAGAACACCGTCGGCTGCCTGCCGCGTCTCGCTGGCCGCAGCCTGAAGGACCCCGATGTCGTTATCGAGCAGGAGTTCATCTCCGCCCCGCTGGTCGACATCAACGGCCAGGTCGGCGCCGAGGTCAACTACTTGGGCAAGAAGGAGCAGTTCACTGCCACCCAGCTGATCGCCATGTACCTCACCAAGATCAAGCAGACGGCCTCTGCCGAGCTGAAGCTGCCCGTCTCCGACGTCGTCATCAGCTGCCCGGCCTGGTTCACCGATGCCCAGCGCCGCAACATCATCGACGCCGCCGACATCGCCGGCCTCAAGACCCTGCGCCTCATGAACGACACCACTGCCACCGCTCTGGGCTACGGCATCACCAAGCTGGATCTGCCCGGCCCGGAGGAGAAGCCGAAGCGCGTCTGCTTCGTCGACATCGGCCACAGCAACTACACTGCCTCCGTCGTCGAGTTCAAGAAGGGTGAGCTGGCCGTCAAGTCCACCGCCTACGACCGCCACTTCGGTGGTCGCAACTTCGACAAGGCCATTGTCGACCACTTCGTTGCTGAGTTCAAGGAGAAGTTCAAGATTGACATCAACGAGAACCCCAAGGCCCGCGTCCGTCTGACCGCCGCCTGCGAGAAGCTCAAGAAGGTTCTGTCCGCCAACGCTGGCGCTCCCATCAGCGTCGAGTCCATCATGAACGACGTTGATGTGCGCGGTTTCCTCAAGCGCGAGGAGCTAGAGGAGCTCGTTAAGCCGCTCCTTGAGCGCGCCACCAAGCCGCTCGAGCAGGCCCTTGCTGAGGCCAAGCTCAAGCCCGAGGACATTGACTTCATTGAGCTCGTCGGTGGCTGCACCCGTGTCCCCGCTCTCAAGGCTGCCATCCAGAGCTTCTTCGGCAAGCAGCTCAACTTCACCCAGAACGCTGACGAGGCCATTGCTCGTGGTTGTGCCTTCAGCTGCGCCATCCTTTCCCCCGTCTTCCGCGTCCGTGACTTCTCCGTCCACGACATTGTCAACTACCCCATTGAGTTCACCTGGGAGAAGTCCCCCGATATTCCCGACGAGGACACCAGCCTCACCGTCTTCAACCGGGGCAACACCATGCCCTCCACCAAGATTCTCACCTTCTACAGGAAGCAGCCCTTCGACCTGGAGGCCAGGTATGCCAAGCCTGATATGCTCCCCGGCAAGACCAACCCCTGGATCGGCCGCTTCTCTGTCAAGGGTGTCAAGGCGGACGCCAAGGATGACTTCATGATCTGCAAGCTGAAGGCCCGTCTGAACCTTCACGGTATCCTCAACCTGGAGCAGGGCTACTACGTCGAGGACAAGGAGGTCGAGGAGCCTATTCCCGAGGAGAAGAAGGAGGGTGATGTACGTGAACATTCCGATTCTGCCGGTGTTGGGTCTACAAGCGAAGCGTCGGAGATGAGGGGTTCTGTTCGGTTGAACAAATCCCCCAGTTCCCGTGAAGCAAAGAGAACCAAACACTCCCCTTCCTTCCCTTCTCCTACCGGTAGCAAAGAAGCCACTGAACTAACTAGTGCACAGGCCATGGACGTTGACGCCAACGGCAGCGCTGATAAGCCCAAGACCCGCAAGGTCAAGAAGCAGGTCCGCATGGGCGACCTTCCTCTCTCTTCCGGCACCGCATCTCTGGACGCGGCTGCCAAGGAGACCGCTGCCGAGCGCGAGGCCGCCATGATCATGGAGGACAAGCTCGTCGCCGACACTGAGCACATGAAGAACGAGCTTGAGGGCTTCATCTACGAGCTCCGTGGCAAGCTCGATGAGCAGTACGCCGACCTCGCCAGCGAGCAGGAGAAGGAGAAGATCAAGGCCAAGCTTGAGGCTACCGAGGTAGGTCTGCCCCGATATCTATCAACATGCTCATGAGCTAATTGGGCAACAGGATTGGCTCTACGAAGAGGGTGAGGACACCACCAAGGCTGTCTACGTCTCCAAGATTGAGGAGATCCGTGCTCTTGCCGGCCCCGTCATCCAGCGCTACAACGACAAGCTCACGGCCGAGCTTGAGTCCAAGAGGAAGGCCGAGGAGGAGGTCGCTGCCGCCAAGCGCGCTGAGATCGAGGCCCAGAAGAAGGCTGAAGAGGAGAAGAAGAAGGCCGAGGAGGCCGCCCAGCAGGCCGAGCCCAAGGACGCCGAGATGGCCGACGCGGACAAGCCGGCCGAGGGCGAGGAGGCGAAATAAGTGATGAGCACGAAAAGCAAAAAAGTCAGTCAACAGGCGTCGGTTCGGTACGATGCATGAGAGAATGATGCATTACTGGGTCGTTTGGGGGGTTTGATGATTGATTCCTCTATTCCCTAGTACCTCTTTTTTCCAAAGTTTTCTTCCAAGTTTCTTGACATGACTGCGTAGGATCGATGCGCTATTCGGATACGGCAATGGGCTTTTTCATGATAGATCGATCTGATAGAGACAATGACGGGCAAAATTTTAACGACTTAATATTGGTGCTATGTGATGTTGAGAATTTAGTGGTGCATATTTGGGTCATAAATTTTGTTGTGCATTCTCTCTTCAATTGACCACTGATATTCTCCTCAATTTGTTTCTGCTTCTGGTTTCCCATATCATTTACTAACGTACTTGAGCTGAGTTTATTGCTGACAGTCTTCGCGTTCTGCAAAGTCTCCCAAAAACCAAGCAAGCAGAAAAAAACTTTCTGAACGACGATACCCACAGCACCGTCATCGTTTGACGTCACCCATCCCCACAGCCCCTCATCGCTGGATCCCTTGCCCCTCCCCCTTCCCCCCTTTTTTTCGCATCTGCCAGTCTGCCCAGGCCGAACCCCGGTCCGATGGTTGTCTCTCTCTCTCGTCCCATCTCCTTCTCTCCCAACATATCTTTTTTGCTTACTTATCAAACAGGTACGTACCATTTTCTCCGCGGATTTCCCGGCATATCTCCGAAGTAAGGTAGCCTAAGGAACGCAAAAAAATCTCTGCAACGCCACATAATCCAGGATCGACAAAGGGGCCCATGCAGGGGGGCAGAAGAGCAAAAAAAGATGACCACACCAGGGGTCGAACCTGGAATCTCTTGATTCGTAGTCAAGCGCCTTGCCATTGGGCCATGCGGCCAGTTGAACACCTCATTGCCTTGGAACCTGGATTCTGAGGCTGCTGTGGTGGTGTTGTTGGAAGGGTAAACGAGCGTGGTGTATATATAGTCAAAATCTGAGGGTTAACGAGGATATGGAGGTTGCGGAAGGGCGCTTTCGGGGTTTCTGAGGGGAAGCGGTGGTGCGGGGCGTTTGTCGAGGACGTGTGGGGCCGGATTGTGGCGGGGGCTGGCGGGCTTCGAGGCTTCGGCCGTGGGGAGGGGGTGTTGTCGATGTTTTTGGCTTTGTGGAACTGTGGCAGCGAATCGCAATATGCATGGACGGAGAGGAGGCTGGGAAAACAATTATATGAGGTAAGACGAGAGAAACGCATTTGATTCCAAGAGTGGGCGGAGTGGGGTGCATATGAGTAGAGATGATATGGGAGAATTCAAAGAAACGATGCTTTAAAGTGGAATTCCCATGTGCGCGGAAGAAATGGGCAATTTTAATCGATATTGCACAAATGGCCACTTCTAAAACTTCATATAGTTATTATTCCTAGATAGTAAGTGATGAAGTGTAACGCGTTTCTTGGGACGAGCGCTCTTCAGAAGTAAGGCTGCTTTTCAAGCTTCTACCAATTACATGATTTACCATTACAGCATGGGAGGTCAGCAAATGGTTAAGCCGCAAATAACAGCCAGTAATCATTTAATGGCGCAAACTGTGGCTGTCCTTCACTTTTCGTGCTAAATCAATTATAGGTAGATATTCAGCGCATACGCAAGCTGCCAGATACCTATCCATATATAGCAGCCTTGCCTTCTCCGAGCAATCCATATTTATTCCAAAAATTCGACATTCTCGTCCGGACGATAGCTTCAACTACCCATGACGTGAGCAACTCCGTTTATACAGTTTTTGAAGTGTCCTCCGAGACTAATATTCCTTTCGTTTGACCAAACAGCTCCAGCAGCAATCTATGGAGTCTCCGGGAACACGATCCTCGCTGTCGACGAGGGATGCTCAAGTCCTTGAGACTCTCCCCCAGCAAAGTTCCTCATCCCTCGATGCTAGCATCCATGGTACTAGAGATGCCACGTCTCCACCAACCGGCAATGACGCTGGACCTCACCACGCTGAATCTCCGATCGAATTAAACCAGTGTAATGTGGATAAAGGGCTCGAAGTTGAAGTCGAGGGAGGAGTAGCCGCGGACGAGCTTGCTGCCAGAGGCGTCGGCGATGATGTCGAAACAGTACACTCACGCTTGACTTTTCTTCCACGGTACTGGTCAACAATTCGACAATACTGGAGTGGTAGGTTCGAATCCTCATGGGCGTGGGAGATGTGCGGCATGGTTTTGAGCGTTAGCTGCATGGTCGCAATCATAGCTACGCTTCCGTTTCTTAGCGAGCACCCCCTCTCAGATTGGCAATTTTCTTTAGCACCAAACACCATGATTTCAACTTTCATCACCGTCATGAAAACCTCCATGCTCCTCGTCGTTGCTGAAGGGATCGGCCAGCTGAAATGGACATATTTTGTGGCTGATGCCCATCCGATAGTTGAGCTGCAGCGTTTCGATGTCGCCAGTAGGGGGCCTTGGGGATCGTTGACACTGCTATTACACGCGGATAAAAAGAGGGCCCTTGCCTCCGTTGGGGCCTTCATAACCATTGCCGCTCTGGCTATGGACCCATTTGGTCAGCAGATCATCGCATTTGAGACTCGACATGTACCGCGGAATGATACAGGCTCTACAATACCTGTTGCATCAGCGTATGACCTTCGGAGTAAGTCGAACCGTTGCTTTCTCCATCTTAAGGACCAAAATCATGAAGGAGGCTTACTCTCTACCAGTGCGATCAAAGGATAGTCTTGGGGCTCTCGAGTGGCCCCTCAGAGGAGCTATCACAGCAGGTTTCTTCAATTCAAGCTCACCGTTACCGATAGCATGTCCTACCGGCAATTGCACGTGGCCAGCGTTATCCACTTTGGGTCTTTGTACATCCTGTACCGACGTAACGCAAGAAGTAACGGCCGCCAATTGTACATTCAACTATTGCGACGAAACTGGATCATGCAGTGGTCCAGGTGTGAAATCATGCGCCTTTCCACCAGCGAACCAACAGTCTCAAGCACCAGACTGCTTGAGCTGGCCCAAAACCGATCCCATACACTTTCGCATAGTCAATAACTTTTCCATTCCCGACGGCGTCTCTTTTATGGCTAGTATGTATGGTTACATATCGCCAATCACCCTGAATAAAGCTAGCTGGAATGTAAGCATAGGTGAAGGTGGTCCAACTGCTACTTCTTCCTTCAATTTGGATGACTCCGGATCTGCAGACGTGGATATTTCGAACTACGCATTCATTGTGGCGACCTACGAAATTTTGGACCTTGATAACTTCCTGGAAATCGGTGTGTGTCCTCGAGTTCGGTTCAAAAGAATCTTAGACTGCCGTTTTCGTATGTGTTTGCAGACTTTTCAGCCTGCACGCATGGTATTTCCCCATCTATTTTCCTAGCACAGAAGAACAAGACTGAACTATGAGGTAGGTCAATGGCAGCATGCTTAAAACGATTAAGAGAGACACATTTCTGGATTGGAACTCGAACGTAACAGCAGAAAGCGATGGACAGAGGAGTATCTACACGCAACCGCCGTCCGCATCGAACAATGGTAGTAACGAGCCATTCACCGCGCCGAATATTTTCGAAGTAGGTGGATGGTGGGGGCTTTCCCTCGCAAAAATGCTCAGTTCCCTATTCAGAGTAACCAACACCAAAATCAACGAGCCAAATAGACTCCTGGTCCTTGATGCCTTGCGTCAAGGCAAGGATATTCCCAGGCTGATGGCCGACATCACCGACAGCGTCACGAACCTCATCCGCCTCGGACCAAACCGCACCGACATCCATGGGACGGCCGACTATCCGGAAGTCTTTGTTGTTGTGCGGTGGCAGTGGTGCATCTTGCCCGGCGCGCTCGTCGTGCTCAGTGCAGTGTTCTTTTCTTTGGTTGCCTGGGACAACCGTGCGCGGAACGATTCGCGGGCTCCGCTCTGGAAATCGAACATACTACCGTTCCTGTTCTTCGGCTTGGAGGGCTGGACGAGAGAAGAGATGAGGGTGTCTGAGAATAGCACCGCCATGGAGAATACCGCCCAGGGGATGGTGGCAAAAATGAAGAGGAATGACGACGAGGAAATGAAGTTCATGAAGGTAGATGCTTTGCGGAGCGATGGAAGCCTGGATTGTCTTGAGAGTCAAACATTCGCAGAGGAAGGCATGCCATCGAGCACTATCTGTAGTCAGTCTACCCCATGAAAGTGTGAGCCGTCCCTTCTGCTGTCTTGCTTTAGTTCCATAGAGAATTTTCTTTGCATCAAACGATTTCATTGCTATTCCACACACACTGACTCGCCGCAAAGAATCTTCATCCGACAACATCTTGCATAGCCGTTCAGCGCATTCGCCGCTCCAACCCAAATCTAAAGACCAACTCATGGGCTTCTGGATCTAGAACTTGATTCAGTCCGTCAGGTCAGGCAGTGATGTGAAGGATGACATACCCCGCGGAGCTCTCACAGGGCTGACAGACCGCCATGTGACGTACGCAATACTGATGGATATGATGCCCGCCACGAACGCAACGACCACGCCGATGATGTTGATCTCGTCACCAACAGACAGGTCGCGGTTGGTGATTTTCATCTTCTCTTTGAGTTGTGTCAAGGACGAGATGATCTGGAACTTTCGTTATCCGACTTGTAAGGATATGTGGATGCACAGACGTTCCATGATGTGCAAGTCGTCGAACATACTGCCTTTATTTTTGGGAAACACGGCCACGGAAATTGTAAGGGTCTGAGTTACGCTGTTGTTGTGAACAAAGTGTGCTGTAGTTCGCATTTATTTTGCACACTTTCAAGGGCTTCTGGCGAGACTTAAATGGCGGAGCTGGTGGAATATTGAGCGAGCTCCGCCACATTGGTTTGACGTGCGTTGATACGGTGACACACTTACTGTTTCCTATTCGCTGGGCTTCTTCCGCAGAGCATGGGCAAGGGCCTCTGGCAAGACTTATACGCCTCACCAGAAAATGAGCCTTCCAATAATATTCTTACCCGTATTTACCACCAAGGAACGCGATCGAAGTTCATAATGCTGTCAGACGTTGGAAAAGCGATCTACACCGCTTAACGGACCCGTGATTGGCCCGCATGGGTGCATCGCGCGAGGGACCATAGGCGGACTTTTTTCTTTGATTAGCAGGGATGACGCTGCACCTCAGCGCCATGGTCAGCTGTCTTGCTGCGAGAGCCGCATCCTCCTCTGCAGCCCGCAAGATATCGGATGCATGCCTCGTTGTTTCCTATTTGCTGCTCCATGTCTCAGTCCGTTCTGGCTACAACCGTTGAATCACTACCGGTGACATGGAGGCCGACTCTCAGCCTCACCAAATTAGATGCATGAGGGGTTAAGCGAAGGAGCTGCAATTATCAAGCGGGGCTGGAGTATCGTTCTGCCTGCGGGCCAGAAGTTATCTAAGTCGCAACGGACAAGTTTATATCTTCTTTTGAGGCTGTAGGTATGCAGGAGCGGGGATGTGGGGATCCCCACACAGCTAATAGAGGGCAATGCGTTGCCATAGCGAAAAAAGGTGTGGCCATTTGCCAAGGAAGACTGCATTCGTGCGCTTCCCATTTCTGTAGGTTGCGGGGTGCATCTTGATAGGCTAGTCATAGCCATCGCAAGTAACCTGGGGGCGCTGCTTTGGATGCGACCGGTCAACATACGCTTTTTACTTGTTACTCTTCAATTGACTCAACTACAATCGCTGTACGGGATTTGTAGTGTATCGGCGGTCTTGGGCGCGACGGATCACAGTGCTTTTTTTAAAGCAGACTACCAGACACCTTCTCAGCCTTCAAGCTCTCTTTTCTGTGTCATTACTCACGTTATCACGTCCCTGAAGCATCGACACATTGGTTATTCACGTGTTTGGGAAGCAGGGCGACTTTTTAGGCGGCACCAAGGGCCTTAAGCTCAGCCTTCACGATATGAGCTCCACCACACGGCCCGAGCCGTCGGCAAATGTTTCTGCTCACGCCTTGAGCTCAGCCTTCACGATGTGAGCTCCACCACACGGCCCGAACCGTCGGCGAATGTTTCCGCTCACGTATGCCTTATAAGCCATCAGCCCGTTCCAGTAATAGCTGAACCGGGATCCGTGCAGTAGCTTGTGACGATCATAGCTCGAACATAGCTTGCCTAGCCCATTAGCCTTGGGGACGCCCCGTTAAACTCCCCAGGCATACCTTTCGTACGGATTCCTGTATCGATTATTTGGTAATCAGCTGGTGCTGCTTGCTGACGCTGCGCCGTGGCGCTAGTCCCGCCTAATTGGTCAGGATCTACACACCACGAACACGATGTTCATGCAAAGACGCCCTGCCAACCGGGGGATGCGATAGGCCCATTTTTACCAATCGGACTCGGTGTTACAGATTGGCGTCCGGCGCGGACCGTTGTTAAAATTCATTTCGTATGACCCTGCCAACATAAGACTTGCGGACTCAAGTGCAAGCGCCACACGTCGCGTGTTCGGTGGGTTGGAGGATGATGAGTCGACCCTAAAAGACTTGGACTTAACCAAAGCTTTCTCGTTGCAAACATAATAGTTTATTTATAGGATCAGCTGAATCTTATGTCTTGATGGATTTGTTTACCTTTGAGGAATGCGAAAGGATGACGATTATTGGATGAGGCGAGCGATGGTGATACTACTACCAAACGGCCAAGCTAAACCTAATCAGAAAAGAACAACGCCGTGGTAGTAACAAAAGAGCAAACCAGGCGAAGAGAACAAGGATTCGGCAAGCTGTTGGCCTTATGGTGAGGTGTGCCCGGCGAGCTGCTTGTTGATTTTAAAAGTCTACATATCCGTTCGGATATTTGCTTTAAATGCCGACATACATAGGAAGCCCGAAGACGCTTCTACGCATTGGCACCTCCGTCAACTTCCCACGCCGCACCCGTGACGTAGCCACTCTGCTCGCTAAGGAGGAAGCAGATGACATTGGCGACCTCCTGCGCCTCTCCTGTCCGATTAATTGGAATCGGCGGAACAGGACTATTCCCCCAGCGCGCTAAATTGGCCCGATGCATCGGCGTGTCAATTGCGCCACTGTGTATAAACTTAACCATTACTCTTTTCTTGTTACACTCAGGACACTTACGGCAAAACCACATTCACCCTGATCCCTCTCGGAGCCGCTTCCAGCGCCGCACTCTTCGCCATGCCTTCAGCCGCATGCTTGCTCGCCGCAAACACTGCACCCCTCGGCATCCCGCGCTTCGAGAATATGCTGCCGACACTCACAATGCTGCCCGTTCCCTCGACCAGCACACCAGGCTTGAGAGCTTCGGACAATACGTTGAACGTGCCGCGCACGTTGACGTCCATGAGGAAGTCAAACTCAGCGTCGCTCGTCTCCCAGACCGCCTCGTCGCCGATTGCATGTCCGCCTGTCCCAGCGACATTAGCAACGCCATCAATCTTTCCGAACGCATCGATGGTCTCCTTCAAGGCGGCCTGTACGGCAGAACGGTTAGACACGTCGACAACCTGCCAGATGGCCCGTTGCTTTTGGTCTGCGGGAAGGGAGTTGACGCGCGCTTCGAGTTGCGCTCCGTTGACGTCGGACAGGGCGACAGACGCGCCGCGAGAGAGAAGTGTCAAGGCGGTGTCGAGCCCGATTCCTGATGCGGCGCCGGTGACGATGAAGGCTTTGTTGGAGAGGTCGTTTGACATGGTGGTAGTGTATAACTTTGGAGGATGTCAGCGGTATGCGCATTTCATGTAGAATTTCCACGGGGCCTTACGTGTGAAGTGGGATTTATGTTGTGACAGAGAAAAACCTGGTTCTTGTTGCTTATATATGTAGTCAACTCCAGGAGACAGTGGATGACATCAAAGATTAAACGAGAAGGAATTCCCTTATTAGGTTAAGGCCGGCCGAGGAAGATCTTCGGGTAACCCCAATAACGTAAGTAGATGGAACGAGCCCACGTCAGTTGAGTGTCGTCACTTGCGAAATGATTGCGAATGACGATTAGGTTTTTTTGGGAGCTAACCTCAAAGCCATTGGCCGTGCGATCCACTTGGGCCTAAGGAAAAGTGAGTGGTGCGGTAGTTTACCCGCAACAGTGTTGAGACGGTGAGCAAAGAAGAGCAATCACTTTAACTTTTCATGGCGAAAATGTGTGTAAAGTCTAAATTAACATCCACATATGTCCAATCCCTCACTTCAGCCAACGATGAAAACAAGCCATCAGATTCGCCATTAAAACGTCATGGTATCTTTCATCCACTCATATCTCTCACAACCATCCCTTTTCAAGCCTTACACTCCTGCTCCAACAGCCCTCCCGTCTTCTGAAACTCGACTCTCTTCTCGCTCTCCCCCTCACCAACAACAACATCAAACGTCGTGCTCAAGCTATCCCCCTCCAACCGCCCCTTAACCTCAACAACCACCCACTCCCCCCTCTCCACCCTCTCCGCCCCCTCCACCTCCTCCCACCTCTCCACCTCCAACTTCGCCACCGCAACCCCCTGCCGCGCAACCTTCTTCACCACCTCAACCGCCACCTTGCCCCCCGCCGCAGCAGCCACGTCCTTCCTAACCGCCGCCTTAATCGTGTAATCCCTCTCAAAACTGCTCGCGTCCTGCCCCGCCGGCACACTCGTGCAGCTCTCGCCATCCAAGTACAGCAGCGCGTCATCCACCTTGTACCCCCCGGTCCCGGCATTATCAAACGTCTCCGCCGCGCCGGTGCTGGCCCGCACGACGGTCACGTTGAACCCGCTAATCGACGTCTCCGCCGGCAGCGCGGCGCTGAACTCGTGCCACGCGAAGGTCTCGCCGAAGAGGCCGGTCGACGTGCCGAGCTTGAAGGTCGCGCGGGTGGTGGGGATGGTGGTGTTGAGGGACGAGTTTCCGCCGCTGTTACGGGGGGTGTAAGTCAGGTGCACGACCTGATCCGCGTAGCTGTCCTGATCGGCGAGGACGCGGATGCGGCCGGTCAGCGTGACGTGCGTCGCGTTGGTCAGCGCGAACGACGAGATATACGGCTTGATCTTGACGGCATCCAGCGGCTCCGACAGCGTCACGCCCTTGGGGACCGTGTCGATCATGCGCGCCAGTATATCAGCGCACTGGGCCTGAAACGCATCCGGGTCGGCGAGGGCGCGCATAGTCGCGTTGGTGCCGTCGGCGGCGAAGACGCGGGCGTCGCTGTTCATCGTCGTGTTGGTGCCGGACACGAGGAGGTTGGACGTCACGCCGCCGTCGAGGTACTCGGTGACGACGGCGTTGTCGAAGCTGTGGAAGGAGTCGCCGGATTCGAAGTGCACGAAGTTGGTGTCGGAGTCGTTGCCGGTGATTTCGGGGAAGTCTTTGCCGTGCACGCCGCCGAGCGTGTGGCCGCAGGCGACCATGGTGATCATTTCGCCTGGGGGGAGGTTGTCAGTCCTGGATCTCGTTGACCGGGGGAGGGGAAATGGATTGGGGCAATCTTACTGGTGTTGAAGCCTGCCTTGGCGAAGATCTGCTTGTGCGTATCGACGTCCTGATCCGGCTTGGGCACGCCCAAAGGCCCAGCCTCCGTCGCATCCACACGCCCTACACGGAAAGGAATCCTCGGCCCGCCGCAGTTACCCACGGCGACGACGGTAGACAGCGCAATCAGGTCGGCGGCCGAGGCGCGGATGTTGTAGTAGTTGTTGGTGAAGCCGAAGGTGCCGTTGAAGGCGTCGCCGACGTTCTCGTCACGTTCTGTTTCGAACATGATGGACGCGTCCAGCCCGCCCGTGCCGGCCGCGGCGTCGTGCGTCGACATGTCGTGGTAGGCGGTACGGACCCATTCGGCGGCCGTCTGGCGCCCCTCGCCAGCGGAGGAGAAGGAGCACGGGTTTACGCCTGTTGGTTGTGTGAGTTTGAGGGCTGGATGATGTTTTGGGGGTGTGGTGTAGGTTTTTACCGTCGACGAAGCCCTCGCGGATGTAGCCTGACTGCAGATACAGCAGGTCTTCCAGATAGTCATATTTGGAGGGCCAGACATATTCGGCCGTTGACGGCAGGATCTGGAGGAGCCCGAGCCCCGCAAGAGCAGCAGTCTTCATGGTAGTAGCGAGTGAAATATTGGTGCAGGCGAAAATGATATGCAAAGCGAATGACTGCCGGCACTGGACATCACGTTAAGGCGGGTCATGGTGGGTTTTAAGCTGCATGTGGACGCCCAGACGACGACCATAAGATTTCAGGAAGGAGGTTCGCGATGGGGGCATTAGAAGCGGAGGTATAGTGTTCTCGTATTTAGCGACCGCGTGATTGGTCCATTGGGGTCGTGTGCATTCGCAGAGGTAACATCGGCTGTGGGCACTTGTCGAACGGGCAGCTAGCCTTGTTTCAACCCCTTCGCATTTGAAAAAAGCTCCGAAAATAAATAGAGCTGCCATGATTGGCACAAGCGCCTAAGGTGTGACATGGTTGAGGCCGTCTCCCGTATCTATGAGCAAGGTACGCACAGCGCGGCGTGCGGGCGGGCCAAGAAGTCGCACTGCTTAGCCTTGCGACCGTAGTCCGTACACAGCCCTGCGGGAACGAGCAGGTAGGGCCGATACATATCAGTAGGGCTGCCGTAGAAGGCGTCTGGAAAGAAACCTTATCGGTCTTTACTGCGGTCCAACTGGTCCCGTGCAATAAAAAATGAGGTAATCCGATATGTCCGAGCGGGGATTCGGACCGGCCGAGAACGTCTCAAAAAGCCGGCGAGGCACATTGACCGCAACAGCGCACTGTTGAAAAGCAATCTTCGGCAGAACTGATACACGGAACAGCAAGGTGGAGAGCCCCCCCCTTTTTTTTAAGTCTCGGGCGGGACGGGCGGAGCGGGAAGGGCGGGGCGGAAGCTTAGTGCACTTACCTAAGCGAGCCTGTCCGGAGTACAACACCACTGCAAATGCTGGCAGAATTCGCGCAGCCACCGTGATTTTCCCGAGGGTCAGTGTCGATGTGATCCTGTACTCGGTCACCATCCTCTGAGAAATAACAGTTTTCAAAGTCTGACTCCTCGAGGAGACGGCAGCTGATCACCAGACGTAAAATGCTCTTGACTGCGTAACGAAAGGGTATTTTGCATTCACTCTCAAAAAGAAAATCTCAAAAACTGGAAACCTTACAACGGGATGTAAAGACACCCATTCTTCCCAACCGTCTTCCCCAACCTCCCGTACCTCGGTGTTCTCAAACTAAACCACACCCCGTCAGCAACACGTTCACAATTTCCCGACAATGCCAACTTACCTCCAGTAGTAGTTCCCGGTGCACCACGTCCTGCACCCGTTGATGAACCACTGCAGCTCTTTTGTCATATTCTCGTCGAGGACGCCGTTGCCGTATCTCTGCATGAGCTTGCGCTCGACCTCGTCGATCTCGCCGACCGTCTGCACGAACAGCGCGACGGCCCGGTCGGTCGCGGCTTTGAGGCGGTCTTCGCCAGGCTGCGCTGCAGCGAACCAGATCGGAATGGCGTTTGCGATGGATTCTCCGGCCTGTGGTTATTTTGTTAGAAGACGCCGAAGTGATGCGAGGGGCGGGCTGGAAAGCGGGAGAAGATAGTTCACATACGAGTTCTTTCTTCGCCGAGAAAACGTCGTTGACACTACAAAAAAGTCAGCTTCGATCCGTCCGGTTCTTCCAGAGAGAGAAGATGGTTGACTTACAGCGAAACATTCGTGTTCGTCAGAGTCCACAGCCTTTTCATATCCTCGTCCTCGAAGACCTGCTTCGGGAGTCCTTGCGCCTTTGCGAGGTATCTGCAGTGCAGGGCCACCAGGGCCATATGGTCAGCAACAGTCAAAAGTACAACCCGTTTCATGCTTGCTGAAATTCCACCCTCGAGACTCGGATGCGTCCTTGTCCGAGCAGTGTTCTGCACAGAAAACAGCGGGGCCACTTACTCCACCATCGCAAGACACACTTCAACCGCGCTCGCGCCATCACGGAACTTCCAATATTCCTCAGACGTCGGAATACCGCCCGCCAACCGCGAACATTGTTCCTCGCGCGTCATCCCCAGGTAGAAGATGACGTTATCAAGAAGTCTCTGCCTCTGATCTGCCCGCCCGCCATGTCAGCCGAACACTCCGACCACGTATTATTCCCAAACCTTCACTTACCAACATTGTACTTGTCCTGAATCTCGCGACCGAGCATGGCAAAGCTCTGGATAATGTGGCCATACGCCGTGTCCTTGACGGCGCAGCTGCTGGAGTCGGAAGAGGAGGTGTTGCTGGACCCGCTGTCGGAATCGCTACCGGCGTCATCATCCGCGGCCTGCGCCAGGCCCAGGCACCTGCGCACGAAGTCGATGAGTTCGGAACGGTATTTGTTGGACGTCTCGAGATCGTCGACCATCGTCCCGCTTTCCATGTCGAGCTCTGAAAAAAGGAGGGGGTGTCAGTGAAACTCAGAAATGACTCGCAGCACATTCCCCAGGCAACGGTTCCTGGGATTTTCGCCACTCACCATCGTCGACGATAAAGACCTATGGGATCCCAGGGATCATTGCGTCAGCCCATACTTCGAGAGAGGGGCCATAGGGATGACGGGCTTACCCAGATATTCAGCAACGCGGCGATCCTCAAGCGGTCATAGCTCGCAAAAGGGTAGACACAGGCACCCAGCAGCCCGATGTCGGCAATCTTGTAAGCTTCGCGCAGCTTCTCCGAGGGAATGGCTCTAGCGGGAAAGCAAAAAGGCAAATGTGTTTTAGCAAAAAAGTGTGCCTTCTCACCGGTACACACCACGCCCAACCCACGGATGCGGTAACCCGCTCCAGCCTCAACCACGTTGGTATACTCACTTGTCAAGCCAATCGCTCACATCCTTCCTCAGTTGATCGATTCCCGGGTTCACGGCCTGCGGCCAGTGACTGCAGTACTGCCAGAGGTCTGGGAAGACGAGGGTGTTGCCTCTGACCGAGGAGAGGAGTTCCAGTCTGGTGGACACGCGGCCAGGCATGATGATTCCTCAACTTGCTGATGGTCGATTTGGGAAAGAGATTGGTTGCAGGATGCAAACGCAACAAACAACAGGGGAGAAAAGAAGGGGGGAGAGGGGGGAATGGGAAGGATGATGGGAGCTCTCAGCAAGCAGTACCACCATCGAGTCAAGTATTCACTTATACACCGAGACAAATTCCCATCCCTCCCATCCCGGGCCTCCGCCCCGTCGTTCCCAAGACAAAAGAGCATATGAGCATATGCCGCACAAACACCGTTCCTGTTCCTTCCGTCGTCATTGCGGCGTAGCAGAGAAGCGAGAGGCGCGCGCGCGTGCGAACGAACGATTCACTTCACACGCTGTGCCCCCGTCCCTGACTCTGAAGTGGTGCTCTGGTGCCCCAGGGAAACGGATCGGCATTGTATGTGGCCTGACATAGTCCACTGCTTGCAACCGTGAGCTCGGCTACGCGGGTTCCCTTTGCGTACGACGACGGGACCCCCCGAACGTTCGCCTCGCCCCACGCGCGCGGGAGCTGCTTCCTTTCTCCTCTTTCCCTTCCGCGCGGCTAAGTTGCGCAAGAAATGTAGACGGGGGGTCCGACCGTTGGCGCTTGCGTCTACATTAGCATTCGTACCAATAACCGAGTCCGGCCACGCGAGCGGCGCAGTAGTCGGAAAGGCTGTTTTCTGGGGCTGGACCGGTGGGTTGGCTAGAACATCTGTTACTCAAGAGGGCCAAGCGGGTAGTGGGGCCTCCCCACACCTCAACGGCGCAGCTGCATAGAATGGCCCCGAAAAAGGCGCACGGCCTAAACCCGTGAAGAAAAAAATGGCATGCAACTTAATTCGGCAAAAATGCGGGCGTCGAGTGTGAGAGATAAGCATAGAAGCAAAAATTCATGACCGGGAAAATTTCTGGGTCGAGGCGGTGAAGCACCCCATCCCTGTATTGCCTTTATCAATCGGCGATTCATTATAACTTCGAACGCGGTAAGCTCGCGGATACGGGGTGGCGAAACAATTGGAAACACTTCCTTAGCCCCGAAGTATATATTGGAACGTCGGTTTCTCCGATAACACTGCCTTGGCTGATCTGACGGGAAAAAGGATACCCACGTGGCGTGGTCGTACAGATCGACACCGGAAAATGACCTCAGTCGGAGCCCCCTGTTTAAATCGGCTCAACTTTGACCCTCATTGACGGCTTTTTCCAGAGAACGTGCATTTCCACGTCCTTGTGCCAGTTGAGAGTTGGATCTACCAGGCTGAGGCTATACTTGAAAAGCATCTTCGACAAGACGGTGCGGAGCTCCAGGAGACCGAGCCTGCGTTCACTGCGCGTCAGTTACAGTTTCCTTTCCCGTCGCGTAATCCGAGGACACGTACGCTCTTCCTATGCAGACACGCGTGCCTAGTGAAAACGGCTGGCTGGCGTCCAAGCAATCTCGGTTATCTGGCGAGAGCCACCTCTGCGGGTCGAACTTCCATGGATCGGCAAAGTTGGTCTCGGACAGGGTGGCTGCAAGGGGGTGGGTCGAAACGACAGTCTATTGGAAATGTCAGTAATTGTGAGCGGCACGGATGACAAACAAGGAAAAAACATACACCCTGAGGGAGGAACTGCCCGTCGACCGTGTCCCCGCCCGGAGGCACTATTCTAGGAAGGCCGAGTGGGACTGGCGGACAAATCCGCAGGGCTTCTTGACAGACAGCATGAAGATAACGCAGCCTAGCCGTGTTCGTTGAATTGATAGACTCGTAGCTATCAAAGGAGCTGCGGACCTCTCGTTGGAGTTCTTCCATGAGAGATGGGTCCTTGCAGAGGTAGAAAACCACCACCGCCAGCGTTGTAGCGGTCGTCTCACTTCCAGCAATGCTACGCACCATTAGTCAGAAGCGCCCGCAAGGCCAACTCCGTGTTTAACTCACACAAAATCGGAAGAATGAGCCGCCAACTCAATTTCAGACATCTGGTTCTGCCCTTCGCCGCCCTCCAGAAGACAGGTGATGAAGTCTTTGCGGCCCGTATCGCGTGCAAGCCTCCTGTTGGCCATGTGAGATACGAATTGCCCTCATGTATATTGGCTGTCTTACTTACTTCTTGATAAGGTCGACAGTGTACGCTTGGTGCTCCCTTGCGGAAGCGAGAAGCTTATCGACGGCGCCCCGGTTCAGTGTTATCAAAGCCTTACCAACCCAAGGGAAACGCCCGAAAGTGTCGGCCAACTCAAACTGCCCCATGCTCCCAATGACGGCTTCAATCCAGCTGTTCGTCTTTCCTGCAGTCTTGTCAGGCTAATACCCCGCATGCATGCTGAGGCACTTACCGGATTCAATGCCTCCGAATGATTGGCCGAAGGCCAAGTCTCCGATGATGTCCAAAGTGAGCAAGTGGAACCAGCGAGTGAGGTCAATGCCCTCCTTGGCTGACCCCAGCTCTCCAATTTTGGAGATGAAGGCGTCAACGTGCCCGCCGATGATGGCCTCCTGCTCTCGCAGGGACCGTTCAGTAAAGGCGTTGGCAAGATACTTCCGCATCACTGCATGTTTCGCAGGGTCACATTCGCTTGCTATGGAGTGGGCCATGTCGGAGAACATGTTTCCATCGTAGAAGGGGGCTTTGACGAAGGGGTGGTGTCCCTTGCGTGGGCCATAGATGTCTTTCCATGACTGCGCTGTGCTGAAGGACAGCTCGTTCGGCGCAATGCGGACGATGGGGCCTATATCGAATGGTCAGCTTCGATAGTTATGATACTATCGTTGTGTACACGGACCGTATTTTTTATGCAGCTTCAGGAGGCGATAGGGCTGCCTCCCGCTCAGATAGTCTATTGAATACGGAACCTGTACGATCACTTAGCCAGGCATGACACGGCCCACAGACACGAGACCAACATTGGTGATTGCAGCCAGACGGGGTCCGGGGTACTTTGCAAGGGGGTGAAACCAGAGCCTCCGTATGGCCAGGCCAAGGTAGAAGACAAGAACCTGTCGATCTTAAGCTGTGCTCCGAAGAGCGGACCGGTCATCGGCTGGTGCTTACAGCAACTGCGAATACAAGCAGTAGGCGCGGGGCCGAGCCGAGAGCGACAGAGACCAGGCTCGAATCCATGTTGACAAATTCTGGATGAGCAAATGCATGACGTCCAAAACAAGGCGTGCTGTTATTTATGTTGAGCGGGAAGAGCGGGAAGGGATCCACCCGGGCTAGCAAGAGTTTCTGCGAGCGAATTGGCCTATTGGCATTGGTTCGCACGGATTGGCATACGAGTCGCGGCCAGGGCGAGCGGCTTCCGCATGCTGCATTGGCTTCACACCGTGCCGCAGGGGGTGGGGCTTTCGGCGGTCAATCCTTACCACTGTCGCTCCGACCGTCAGGCGCGGGTCGGAAGACCACCGCGAGTGGCCGGGTAACCGGGGGGAAGAAGCCGTTGACTTGACTAAGTGGATGCATCTGCAGCTTTGCGGCGTGGTTCACCTTCAGCTTCCCACAAGAGTCCACAGGTTCGCTTAGCATTGCAGAGTTGAAGCTGGCTGCTTTGCTGGCTTTTTCGTACGACCCGCGCGCTCTCATCGTCGGCCGACGCTTCATGGTGCTTCTACGGACGTATGGTTGCTCCTGTCGTTGCAATGCTTCACGGACCGGCCTCGTGCTTAGCTTGGCCACATGTGATGGTGAGTGTCGATCGCTCGGACCGCGTTTAGGGGCTCGGGAGACTCGCATTCCGGCATGGTGACGGACGTTGGTGACGATTGGTCAGGTGTCGCGGGGTCTGAGCTGGCGGGTGAAGTTGGGCGGGCGGAGAGGTGTGGAGGCAGGAGCAGCGGGAGTTTGTTCCGGGCGGAGCGGCACTAGGGAGGCGGGAGCGGAGGGGCGCTTGGCGCATCTCATCGGGCAGCTCGGGGGGCTGTCAGCTTCCCGGACATCACCGCAATCGGTACCTCCACAATCCACACACACCCCCGCCTCGGACCCAAACAACCGCCCAAATGTCAGGGACCAAGCGGATAGAGCAATGGGAGGTTGAGCGCTACTGGGAGATCTTCGCCTCCCTGTCCAACGGCGGCACCCACCTCGACGGCCAACAAGCCGCCTCCGTGCTCAAGAACAGCCAACTGCGCGACGACCAGCTCGAGAAGATCTGGGACCTGGCCGATGTCGACAACGATGGCCGCCTCGACTTTGAAGAATTCTGCGTCGCCATGCGCCTGATCTTCGACCTCGTCAACGGAGTACGTCCTGCTCCCGTGCCGCCTCCGCACCTGCTCGGGCACCAAGAGGGGATGAGGCCAAGGTCGCGCGCCTGAGTTGTGCTAACACTGTTGCTTCGCCCAGGAATACAACGACGTCCCGCAGACCCTCCCCGACTGGCTCGTCCCCGAATCCAAAGCCCACCTGGTGCAAGCCACGCGCGCAATCCACGGCAACCAGCCCGAATTCGAACGGGTCGACGATGACGACGACACACCCGGCCTGAAGGACGGCTTCGACTGGTACATGTCGCCGGCCGACAAGATGAAGTACGAGGAGATCTACTCGGCCAACAAGGACCACCGCGGCGACGTGACTTTCGAGACGCTGGAGCCGCTGTACGACTCGCTCGACGTGCCCGACACGGACATCCGCAGCGCCTGGAACCTGGTCAACGCCCGCGGCCACGAGTCCATCGGCAAGGACGCCTGCCTCGCCTTCCTGCACATTCTCAACATGCGCCACGAGGGCTTCCGCATCCCGCGCTTCGTGCCGCCCAGCCTGCGCGCCAGCTTCGAGAAGGGCAACATCGAATACAACCTGGACCGCGTGGCCAGCCCCAGCGCCAAGAGCCGCTGGGCCGTCGACCGCAGCGACGACAGCACCACCGGCCGCAAGGCGCGCTTTGGCGACACGTACCTCAGCCGCCTGGGCGTCGGCGACCGCGGCCGCTACATGCCCAAGGGCACCGACTTCGGCAGCACCAAGACGACCGAGGACTGGGAGGAGGTGCGCCTGAAGAAGCAGCTGCGCGAGCTTGACGACAAGCTGGCCAACGTCGAGCAGACGATGAAGGCCAAGGGCCGCGACACGCGCGAGGACAGCAAGCCCGCTCTGGTCAAGCGCGAGCTCGAGCAGCTGCTCGAGTACAAGCGCCGCCAGCTGCGCGACCTCGAGCTTGGCGAGGGCCAGGCCAAGGAGGGCGCCAGCCTGAAGGGCATGCAGGACGAGATCCAGACGGTGCGCGAGCAGGTCGACGGCCTGGAGTCGCATCTGCGGAGGCGCGAGGAGGTGCTGGAGGACCTGAAGAGGCAGATAGAAGAGGAGAAGCGGAGTTGAGCGGTATTCTTCAAGGCAGGTAAAGACTGTATAGGGCATAACCGGCGTTAATTCTACATGATCCCCAGCCTTTTGAGCGTTTTGCACAAGAAAAGACCGAATGGTTCACATGTAGCGCATCAAGCCGCGGGTAAAACTGAAGATCAGGAACGGCGCACGCATCGTCTCGCAGCTAGGAGCTGTATCTCCCAATGGGACGCGTTGGAGAGCCGATGCGGCTTGTGGATCCACGCGCGCTCGATCGCCAAGCCTCAGCCTCGCTTATCTGCGTCGCGTCTCCCGCGATTCGTGACGTCGACGCGTCTGGAGCCTAGAGTAGTAGTAATTAAGCCATTGGCCACTCACCTCGTCCTCTCACTTTCAACCCCTCTTCCACCCCACTGACGCGTGCTTGAGACACTGCACGCTCCCGTGCTCCGTTTGTCTCACGCGAGAGCAGACGAAACACCCACTTTCACCACGACGTCGCCACCGGCCAAACGCGCTCTCCACCCGAGAAAAAAAACGAGCTAAAGCAAGCCTACCATAACTCACCCCAACGCCGCCCTCATACCATCCGAACCCACAATGGAAGAATCCGACCACCAGCCCGCCGTCTCCTCGGCAATGCAGGCCGAGGAAGACCAGATGCGGCGCGCGCGCGAGAAGCAGGACGAACGCCGCGAGAAGGCGCTGGCAGCGGAGCGGCAGCGCGACATCGCGGGCGGCGCCGACGCCGTCGACACCAAGTTCAAGGCCCTCGAGTACCTCCTCAGCCAGAGCAAGCTGTACAGCTCCATCATGCTGGCCCAGATGCAGCAGCAGGAGCAGCAGGACGAGAAGGCGGCGCGGCGCGAGCGGCAGCGCGAGGAGAAGGCCGAGAAGGTGGCTGAGGCGAGTCAGAGAAGGGCGACGAGGGCGACGAGGAGTAGTGGTGATAAGGAGGAGGAGGAGCAGGAGGAGAAGGAGGAGAAAGGAAAGAAGCTGCCGACGAGGGGCAAGGGGAGTCAGCCGAAGAAGACGGCGGATAAGCCGGGTAAGGCGGCGGGGAATAAGATCTCGAATTACTTCAAGAAGGAGGATGTTGAAGCTAAGGCTGGCAAGGCGAGCGTGTCGGATGCCCTGCAGGAGGCGGTCGAGGCTGATGTCAAGCCCGCTGATATCGGCATCCAGAACCTCCGCTCGGCCCGCCAGCCGAGCTTGGTTACCGGCGGTACGATGAGATCGTATCAGCTCGAGGGGCTGGAGTGGCTGACTTCCTTGTATGAGAACGGGTTGAACGGCATCCTGGCGGATGAAATGGGGTTGGGTAAGACCATTCAGACCATCTCCTTCCTCGCTTTCCTCCGGGAGAAGGGCGTCTACGGACCCTTCCTGATTGCTGCGCCTCTGAGTACGACGATGAATTGGGTCGAAGAGGTGCGGAAGTGGGCACCCACGATTCCCGTCGTGCTCTATCATGGCAGCAAGCAAGAGCGTGAGCAAATCCGGAGGAAGAAGTTGAAGAGCCCGGGCTCGCCCGAGTTCCCAATCGTCATCACAAGCTACGAGATCTGCATGAATGATCGGAAGTTCCTTGCTGGCTTCGGATGGAAGTTCATCATCATCGACGAAGGACACCGCATCAAGAACCTCAACTGCCGGCTGATCCGCGAGCTCCAGTCTTACCAATCCGCCAATCGTCTGCTCATCACTGGCACACCCTTGCAAAACAACCTGCAAGAGCTCTGGTCTCTACTCCACTTCCTCATGCCCACGATCTTTGATAAGCTGGAGTCATTCGAGTCTTGGTTTGACTTTTCTGCTCTCAAAGATCGTCAAGGCTATGAGCAAATCTTCTCCGAGGAACGCAAGCAAAAGCTCGTTGCAAGTTTGCATGCCATCCTCAAGCCTTTCCTTCTCCGAAGAGTCAAGGCTGATGTCGAGAAACTGATGCCTCGGAAGCGAGAGTACGTCCTGTACGCCCCGCTCACTTCAATGCAGCGTGAGCTGTACCAAGCCATTCTTGACGGAACCAGCCGGCAATATCTAGAGGACAAGGCCGTCGAGCAGATGAGCAGCAACATCGGCACGCCTCGGAGCTCCCGTAGCACAAACAGTCTCAAACGAAAGGCTCTCGACAGCGGCGCGGCCACCCCGAACAAGAGCACAAAGACAAGCCGTGAGGTCACGCCTGCCTCCGCACCAAGCAACGGCCGTGGGCGCCGCCGCGCAACCGCTGGCCGCAAGACCTATGAGGAAGTCAGCGACGCCAAGTACTTCCGCGACCTGGAAGCCTCCGCCGCCGGCACGGAGGACTCGGACGCCACGCCCGAATCGCGCTCCACGCCAGACACGGAGGTCGAAGAGGAAGACATCCGCGCCGCCACGCTGGCCATGGCGAAGCGGCAGATCGGCGCCAAGAAGCTGCAGAACCCGGTCATGCAGCTGCGGTTGTGCTGCGACTCGCCATACAACTTCTTCTCGCCGTTCGTCGACGCCCGGACGGGCGAGCAGGGACCTCCCGACGAGACGCTGATCACGACGTCGGGCAAGATGCTGCTGCTGGACGCGCTGCTGCCGCGCCTGTTCGCGGAGGGGCATAAGGTGCTCATCTTCAGCCAGTTCAAGACGCAGCTCGACCTGCTCGAGAGCTACGCCGAGGAGCTGCGCGGCTGGCGCACGTGCCGCATCGACGGCAGCGTCAAGCAGGAGGACCGCCAGCGGCTGATCAAGGCGTTCAACAAGCCTGCTGATGCCGCTGTCCCCGCCAAGCCCAAAAAGCCATCATCCCGCAGGGCGCCCAACAAGAGGAAAGCCACCACTCCTGAAGAGGAGCAGGTAGACGAAGAAGAAGACGACCCCCGCCCGGCCAACCTCTTCCTCCTCTCCACCCGCGCCGGCGGCCAGGGCATCAACCTCGCCGCCGCCGACACGGTCGTGCTCTTCGACAGCGACTGGAACCCGCAGCAAGACCTGCAGGCGCAGGACCGCGCCCACCGCATCGGCCAGACGCGCAACGTGCTCGTCTACCGCCTCGCCACCCGCAACACGGTCGAGACGCAGCTGCTCGACGCCGCCGAGGGCAAGCGCCGGCTCGAGAAACTTGTGATCCGCAAGGGTGGGCTGACGCGTGGCGGTGGTGGGGACTCGGCGAAGGTCAGGGAGGAGAAGGAAGAGTTGGAGGAGTTGCAGAGGTTGTTGAGGAGGGAGGATGGGGTTAGCTGGGATGTTAGGGGCAAGGAGGGGTTGTTGGGGGAGGAGGAGTTGAGGATTTTGACGGATCGGAGTGAGGAGGCGTATGATCGGGCGGAGGAGGGCGTGGATGTGGGTGGGGAGGGGGCGGTGTTTAGGGCTGTGGAGAAGAAGGGGGATGGAGCGTTGTTGGAGGGGTTGAGGGCTTGAGTTGGGTGGTGGTTGGCTCTTTTTTACTCCCTCTTTTTTGGTTAATAGCGTTGGAGTTGTCCTTTTTGAACGGTTTGGTTCATTCTTTGGGTAGGTGAGTTTAGGCGCATTTAGGAAGGTCAAAAAGTTTGAGGTGGGAGACGGCTGTCTTAACGATTCAAAGGCACACTGCCTAGAGGATTCAAAAGACTGTATAGAATGAGAGTCAATGAGAATGCACTTGGTGTTTCACTGGATCCTGATGACAAAAAGCGCTGAACGGGTAAATTGGATTACTGAGGTTATGTCTTTCACACCGGTCGCTGTTCTTTTAACCAATAGTTTGAGTGATCTGATTGGTGTTCAGGAAGAGACACACGCGGCTGGAAAATGTTCCTCTCTATAGAGTGACTTACGTTGAGTCTAAGTACTATGCTCAGTCTTTCGACTCTGCTGCTGATCTGACAATCCTATCCAAATTTTTTTTTTACGCTCAGTGCTTATGCTTAGCGGTGTGTCTACCATGCAGGAAAGGTGGCGCAGCTTACACCGACAAAGTTGGATGGAAGACAGATTAGGGTCACTCATGAAATTACCCTCATATTAGAGCTGTTGTGTACTACGGTTTTGTTGAGTCGGAACATGTGCTGTTCGCCCCTTCTGAGGAGTTCTGGCTCTTGAGGTCAATGTTATTTCATATCTGCAATGCAGGCTAGCTCTCAATATGCCAAGACATAAGATGTATGCATACTAACTGCACTCTTCCCTGAACTCGGTATATGAGAAAATCTGCGTTGTGCTGATACGCAGTAAGCTGCCGTATGTCATTACTGAAGCGCACCAAGCTCGTTATGATTTGTTGCTGTGCGGCAAAGATTGGGAATAGAGGAGCCAATCTCGTCTGAATGTAAAGAAGCCTGGAGACCTGCTCGAACATTTCCTTGAACATCAATGAGTTTTACACGTCTATATTAACGTCAAATTTAACTTACGCTTTGTCCAAATGGCCGTTTTACACCCGCAGAGGTTCAATTATGGCTTAAAATATATCACATCTCTTCTTCAAACCTATCCATGTACATCCCCCGGTTAGTTATCTGAAGCTTTCCCACCATATGTATTAGTAGCACAGCAACATCCATTAATTGACTTCGAACCATACCGTTTAACACCTTCTCTGATCGTTCAAACCACTTCATATTTGTACGTAGTTAGAAGATTATCGATTCAAAGATACAGGAATACGAAGCTATGGCATATTGCTAGTTCTTCAAATTGAAACGAAGACAATACTTCCATCCAAATGGTGGTTTACTTGAGAAAATGAGCTTGCGTAGTGTCCAAGAACTCCTTGTGGTATCTGACGCGCAATGAAAGATGAACAAATGAGACCATCCGGGTAAATATAGCGCCCAATGGTGCGTGGCTTATGCGTGCCCAAGTCAGGTATTTGCTCTGCTCACCCCGACAGATCCTGTGCCATTCGCTTTTTTGAAAACGTCCTTCAAGCTTTTCCGTCCATTGTCAAGCAGCTTCTCGAACTCCGCTCGGCCTAAGAACTTTGGTGAGTTGATACCGTGGTGTTCCTTCATATGATCAGTGCAATCCTTCTCATGGTTATGGGTTTGTAGACCGTCGTAAAAACAATTTCCCTCAGCACACACGGTATGGTGTTTATCCGTGTGTATGATCATCCTATGTTCTTCCCTGAGATGCCGCCGTAGTTGCTCCCGGTTGATGAATTGCCCGGCTTGTTTGTTTGGACATTCGTTTTCAGGGCAATAGTAGGCGAATCGACATGCAAAATCTTCCCAATGCTCGGTCTGCGCTCTTTTTCGACGGATCTCTACCAGTTCGGAAGCGCACTCCATAAGCTTGTCTTCTGTGTCTTTTAACTTCAGGTACTTCATGGTTAAATCCAAGATTCTTCCCTTTGTGTCTGAGCCGCTCTGTAACTCTTGACCTGGTACTGTTGAGCCCTGAAGACGAACAGCTTGGAGCACTTTGTCGCGTGTGCGGGGTCCGCTCTTCTTAGGCAGCCATTCATCCATCGGTATGTCTTTGAGGCAGTCTCTTTGGCGGTTTGATGGGACATTGAGACGATGGTACAATGTGCGCTCTTTTTCTCCGTCGCCTTTGATGTCCCCGTGCAGATGTTGATGGATCCTTTCTGAGTCAGTAATTATTTTTTCCGCCGTTTTCTTGAAGTTATTCAAGTCGCCCAATGCTCGCAATATTACGGAGTGCCTGGGTCTTTCCTCTACTCGTTCTTTCCTGGGCTCACCGGTGCCGATAGACAAGAACACGCACGGCGTGCGACTATATAGTCGGCAAAGCTCATCCCAAAGAACTCTGGAGGGATTGTTTGCGACAATTCCGCCATCGACGAAACAGTATTGCTGGGAATGTGAAGACGAAGAAGTCACTCGCCGGAAATAGCCAGGAGCAGCAGAAGTAGCCCTAGCGACAAACCAAATCGGGTCTTGAGATGCAGGGCCAGGGTTGCGATAGAGCACCCTGCTGTACTCCGGAGCATCAGGATTTGGGTAATCATGATCGTAGCTCCGAAAGGTATACTCGTGGGACACATGAAAGGGGCCTCCATGTGAAACAACAGCACTATCACCAGCTTAGTCAACAGATTGGCTTTTGACTTGATCGAATGTGTTTGGCCCACTTACGTCCGACAGCGTCTAGGGTCACTCCTTAAAGGAACCTTGTCTTCTGTTGTCCGCGTCTGCTCTAATTCATCCACTAGGGATGTTCTGATGACCTCTTTCAAAGCCTTTTCCATGCGCTTTGTAGAATACTTTGGTCGAATGTGTCCAAGGCTGTGATGAACGTGTTCTGGCAGGAAGCGCCCCCTGGAGAAGACGCGCTCTCCCACAATATCGTAATGTGCTATGGCCTGATCGACAGTTTGTTCCATCCTTGCGAGCATTAGAGCGCTTAATCTAGGTACCCGTTAGAACGGAGTAATGCACATCTTGGAGGGTCTTCTTACCCTCCTGTACTTGTTCCAGCAATGTGGTCAAAGTAATGATGTGGCTTGAAGAATTGGCCTTTCCAGTCGTTGAACGTATGATCAACGCTGCTATTAATGGCTTTCTGAATGCCACTGCTTGTGTCACTGTTGGTATCACTCTTGGCGTCATTCGTGGTATCATTCGTGGTATCATTCGTGGTGTCACTCTCAGTGATAGCCGTGGGCTGCTGAGGCTCTTGGTCTTGCGGGAGCTCCGGTATAGTGTGATCAGGGTTCCAAGGATAATCTTCACTGCTTCGATGTGGATTGTACACCTGCGATAGATAACTAATTAGCTGAGAAATTAGACATTATATCAAGTGTCTCGCATTACCTTTTCATATATCACATCCTTCCTTCTTCCAGTCTCAATTTGCTCAATCAGGTACATCAGCCGCTTTAGTATTAGAAGCGACGAGTATCCCTTGATACCTCCTCCATCTAGCAATGTATTAATGATTAGGTTTTAGGCCGGAGGTAAAAGTCCTCTTACCGAGTGCGAGTGCGGTCTTTCTGGCCCAAGGGTCGTCCTTGGAAGTTTTCCAGAAAATGATTGGGAGAACACTTTCTTCCTTGGAAGATGGTGACACTTTCTGAGTGCCATTACCTCCTGGTGGCAGCCCTGAAGGCCTTGCAGACATCGGTGGGGCTAATCCGGGCTGGGAAGGTCTTTCTTGGGTACCTATTAAGCCAATAGTTGTATCTAACGCGGAGTGTAGCGTCGCCTGTAGTGACCACGAACCAGAGTGCAAATGTGACGATTCGAGGGCTAGCACCAATGTCCTTCTTGACTACGGAAAGGCTAGCTGCAATACACAGGTAAACCAGCTTTTATCAACAACAGATGAAAGAACAGAGCCTCCACCATAGCTGCTCATTCTCATTCAGAAGCGGGGTTGCCGCAAGCCTCAGCCTCATCAGTTGCATCCAAGACGTGCTGAGAAATCCAGATGACCATTAAACGAACATTTGCTTACAGTGCATGATGCGATGCATGCCACCGCCTGAATTGTGGAGCTTTATCGAGTTCAAGGCTGCGTATGCTTCCATACACGGTAATTTACTCCCTGCTGTTGTGGTGGGGGTTTCCGGAGTGGCTCATCTACGATGCATGAGATGGGCTCGGAAATCTGCCTCTTTGCCTTATTTTCAGCTGACAATCTTCCATTGCGGTACTTTAACCAACTCAAAACGGCTCCATGGGGGAGAAAAAAAGGGGCTTCCTGCGTTGTCGTAACATGGGACATCAGACGAGTGAACTGATTTATTGATACCACATATGCCTTCCATTAGGGAGATTCGCAAAATAGCTCCATTTATCTTTCAGAGGCCTCAACCAGCAGGTTAAGAAGATGCTTGGGGTGGATTCTAAGCTTTGAGTGGATGAAAATACGACCAGATAAGGAGGCTGGACCTCGGTTATGTATGTGTCCGTATGTGTTTGCCGAGACGCTGAAGGAATGCTAGCATGGATAGACCCATGAGCATCGGTTAACCACGCCAAGCTCGAACAGACGCCCGTTGCTGCGCCTCGGGTTCTGAGGTTCCACGACAGTGGCTTAGGTGCAGGTGAGGGTGGGGTCACTACAAGGCTTAGATGCGCATCCACGCGTGTTGCCCGCGTGGCTGTAATATGTACTCTGTCTCTGGTATGAATCGATAGCGAATTACCATCGATTATGGTTCTGTAGACGATAAAAAAAATTGCTGAAAAACAAAGAGGAAAGAGGAAAGATGAAAGATGAAAGATGAAAGAAAGAAGGAGAGGAGGGTAGCTGGTTTTATATATAAGGACAGGCGGTGAAACGATAAAGTCAAAAGAGTTGCCTGTGCTTAGTACTTTGTGACACTGGGTAGTTGTTGCCACATGGCGTTAAGCTGACAGGCTGAGAACGTCTCTAGTTACACATATTGCGTATTTCATCTGACGAGGCATGAGGATGGCAAACGTCGTAAGGTATCAACCTGAATGGTTGGAAGCCTCTGTCGTTACACAAATGACGTATTCTGTCAGACGAGGCCGGGTGGCAAACGCCGTATGGTATCAACCTGACCGGCTGAAAGCCTTGCTAGTTACACAGACGACGTATTCCATTGGATAAGGCTAAATATTGAACGCTGTATGGTGCCAGATCGGATGGCTAGAAGCGTCTTTTGTTACACAGATGGCGTATTGTGTCAGGCGAGGCTGAGTGATTCACGCTGCGTGGTGTCAGCCTGACGCATCAGATGCAGCTAATAAGACTCATCGCAATATCGATCACATGCCAGTCTGACATGTGGCGTTCGCACATTAGCTGAAAATCAGGCCACCGCATCATTCCCTAAGTGTGGATCACAGTGTGCCGCATGCCTCTTAGAGATATAAAATGAATTAACTCTTCACTCCGACTCAGTCCAACCCAGTCCAACTACAAGCAAATGTATCTGCTCCATTCTTGATGCATATTTGCAAGAGTGACACCCACCTACTTGTTACTTAATTATTTCTTGTCACGTTTGTGTAATGAGCCACACAAAACGGCTGTTGACCGGTCCAAAGAAAGTTACCGTCTACATCAGATCGACCGATCAATTTTTCTTGACTACTCAGGAGGAAGCAGAGTGTATGTATAGACAGTTTCGGTAAGGTGGATATGCTGCTGATATATATCATAGCAAACGAACGTAACGCCTTGAAGATCCTGAGATTGCACAGGTTGCCTTGGCACGGTGACCGGGAAGTCACGGTTCCCACAAAAGAGTGGGACGATACGGCTCATGATAAAACAAACGAAAAGTGCCCATGTTGCGAGTATGATGCCACAGTCAAGGTTGATTCCATCAGCAAGGCATTTTGGTTAAAACGTATTGCGGGCACGGTGAAGGAATTGTACATTTTCGACAAACCTTTGCAGGCAGCGTCTTAGAAGCTTGAATGAAGCTTGCGGATCGAGGGTACAGGGTCTCCAATGTTTTCTATCCCAAATTGGTATTCTCTCAACAATTTCAAAAGTTTTTACTCTCGTGAATGAATCAGCTATTCCAGGTTACCATTCACAGCACGCACATTACCTCCGATCGCCCGAAAGTATACCATCCAACTCGACAAGCTCCTTCCTCTCAAACTCTCGGATAAGTTTTCTCAAAGCTCACCGCCGGCCAATTTCTGCCTTCCGTATACTCCTTGGGTATCAGCGCATCGCTCACGACCTTGCCACCTCTTATTGCGTTGGGCCAGCCGTGCCCACTGTATAGAGTGAGTGGGATAGCCCGCACATCATCGAAGAAGGTCTCATCATCGCTCAGCCTGCATCTCGTGCTGAAAGCCTACATGACATGTTTCCCGTTATACACATCAATGTCATCGCCGACCTGTTTGAAGCTGTGCACTCTCAAGGCTCAAACTTAGAATGATTACTAAAAGGTCTATTGCGATACTTGCATGCAAGTAGAACTTGAAGTGCCGGACTATCATCATTCATTGCACCCCCAAAACTGATCCGTGGGCTACGGTGCATCAGCCATCTCACACTCTACGAGACCGTCCTGTCGAGCTGTGGGCACCTCCTCGCCATTCTCTAAGCTGAGGAGAGATTTCAAATCCTGTTTCTCAGTATCAGCGGGTACGAGTGTGGCTGAACTCGACTTACAGCAAGTTTCTTGAGCTTCGCCTCCTCTGTTTCGTCCTCGTCTGCATCCCAGCCCAATCGCGCCAGATACAGTTTCTTCGATTGTCGACACTGGATGTACTGCACATATGATGGCAATGTTAGAGCTACTGAGTCGAACCACCACGTACGGAGATGAAGCGGATGTTTGACACCTACAGTCTCGACACTGTTGCGCGTGATGTACCGCACTACTGTTACTTGCTTCTTTTGGCCCAGGCGAATAGCGCGACCAATGGCCTGAGATTCCTGCAAAGGGTTCCACTGGGGCTCGAGGATATGAATCCGGGTTGCAACAGTCAAGTTCAGCCTGTATTCCAAGGATCAGTCTCATGCCTGGTATTGGTATAAAGCGGTATGAAGTGGAGGATTTCGGCAACTTGGGATGGGATCTCCTACCCGACCGCGCCTGTGCCGAGCGTCATGAGCAGCACGTTGACGTTTGAGTCTTTCCTGAACCTCTCAAGTGCTGTTTGCCGTTCTGTTAGTGTCATAGAGCCATCAACAGTCGCCGTGAAGATTCCATGTGCGGCAAGAAAGGAGCCCGCGAGGTGGGTGGTCTTTTTCCAGCAGGAGAAAACTATACTGTGGATTGCAAAACGTCAGCACGCTAGACATCTGGAGTCATGGGGAGAGGCTACCTTTTCTCTGTTGGATGAGAGATGAGATTCTTCGTCAGAGCCTCCAGCTTCGAGCTCCTTCCTGACTGTATCCGTGGAAGAGGCTGTGACTCGTCTTCTTTGGCATTGAGATTCTTGACAGAAGTGTTTTTCTGACAGATTGGACAGAAAATCCTGTTGCTTTTCTTGTTGCCTGATTTGTTCTCTTCGACGCACCCCTGGCAGAGCAAATGGGAACAAAGTGTGAAGTGGGCCGATTGACCATCGCCATCTTCTCCGACAGTTGCAATATCGCATGAACAGTGGTCGCATATTGCCTGATCGGTCTGCTGAAGGAGGGCAAGAGTCTCGTCTGCGCTTGAAGATGATGTCGTTTGGGAATTTGAATTTTCCCACGTAAGCGTTCCGTGATTGCAAAAGATGCGAAGTCGCAGAATGGCTTGGAACAACCCATTATATTCTTTGCTCTTACTAATTCCGCTGACAGCATCGTCGATCGCTTGTCGATAGTGTTGACCTATTCGTGAGTACTCTGCTGTTTCTTCTTGAGTCATGTCCACATGCTGGGTCAGCTCCTCTGGCTCAGGAAGGTTCAAGCGGTCTTTCTTCCGGCGGATGCAGACAGCTTTCAGAAGGTGGCGTAGGCGGTCGGCACCAATCGAGTTGCCGCGTTCAATAGGTCTCGATATGCTTGTTTGAAAACTGGATGACCGATCAAACATGGGAATCCGAAGGAATCGAACGAGAGCACCAAGATCGTCGAGCTGGTTTTGAATTGGAGTGCCTGTGAGACACCATCGGTATTCGGCAGAAAGTGCAGAAACAGCATAGAATTGTTTGGTCCGCTGATGACGAATCGAGTGCGCTGTCCCAAATTAGTCCCAAGAAAACTATAGAAGCATCAAAGGCATACCCTCGTCGAGAACAATCCTCAACCAATGCACGTTAGATAGAGAGCTAGTACCGCGGCGATAGTCTGATGTCAGCGTTGCATAGGTTGTTAACACGACATCACTCTCCAAAACTCTTTCAACATTTTTGTTTCGATCTTTTCCATAATACTTCGAGCATGTCAAAGAATCCTTCAAAAAGTGCCTGAATATTAGTCAGTATAAATATCATTCTACCAGACTCGATATCTGGATACTCCAGTGTACTTCCAAGAAACTGACAGCCTTCGCAGAAAATGAGTAACATACCTGTGGGCTTCTTCGATCCAGTTCTCCAGGATTACTTCCATACGTTAGCTTGGTAAATTTACTGGCTTACATTGGGAACTCACAGGCCGAGGGAACAATGACTAAAGTAGCTGCTGTGTTGCGCTGCGGAATCCCTGAGGGACCTGTTTGGACGTTCCTGTAGATGCACTGTCTTCCGCACCCTTTCGACATAAATATGGCAGAAAGCATCGTGAGAGTTTTCCCTAGCCCCATTTCATCGGCGATGATGCCGCCAAAATTCTCATCGGGCAGCTGGGCCCTCCGATACCCAAGCACAAGATTCTGATAGCTGAGGAGAATCGTAAGCATGTATGATTCCGTTTACTAGACCCATGGGTAATACGTACTACTGTCTCTGGAACTTGTCGGTGTGGGGCCTCCAGAGTGAGAAGGGTTGTGGAGTAGCCTCTGCCTCCCTCTGGAAGATGAAGTCTAGGGCTTCTTTTTGATGACTGCGATCATGTAATTGTCAGATAATAAGTAGATAGTAAAGATGTAAGGTTAGCTGTACCTCTCTAGAGGAGTCTTGATGCTGTTCTGATCCACCTGTGGCATATGAAGATAACTCTGCTGGTCCAGGTCGTCCAAGACCGAAGAAACCAAGTCCGGGGTCTTGAGTCTCTCTACTGGAGATTCCAAGGGTGGGGTTGGCAATGCTGACGCAGAATACTGCAACAGTGATACATTCAGATAATGCGGATTCTCATATTTGACGTCTTTTTCCAGCAGAATTGGGTGTTGCAGGAAAAGGCCGGCCTTTGACATAGTTTTTCCGACCTGCGCACTGATGTTAGGAGGACCGTACAGGTTCAGGTAGATGCTGATTTGAGTTTTTGAACTGTTCTTGAAATGGTTGACCTTGAGGGACCACTCTTGTGTTGTGACGAATGGACAACATCGAACATCGTCTCCAAGGGTACGAAGAGCTTCGGAAAGTCGCAAATTCAGGAACGCAATATCGGTACCAGCCATGGACTGCAACCTGTGGTGCCTTCGAATACTTATTTTCAGTGGATGGTAGAGCTCATTGCCTTCCCGGACCGTCTCCCCACATGCACGTGGGACGGAAAACCCATCCAAGAACTCTGCCTGAACATCACAAAGCTAGTGGCAACTCAGCCGATCGTCCAAGTGGCGTTTACATTTCAGGAATAAAGAGAGAGGGCTCACCATGCCAAAGCAGATCACTTGAGCAAGAGAATCTTGAATGTTGTGGGGCGATGCTAGCGTAGAAGGGGTTGAAGGTTCCGAGAAACGGTGAAGAGCGACCTCAGGGCGTCCGTCGCTAAAAGCGGACGACCAAGGCCTCTTCACCCCGGCCATAGTTGCAGAAAGAAATCAATTAGTAGGGAGTTGATGGCAAAAAAAAGCCTTTCTGGTCTAAATTCGATAGAAAAGACAGCAAAGAAAGAGTGTATGTGTGCCTGTGGCCCATCAAGGTCAAGGTGGACGAGGCTGAGACAGACGCCCCACGCACAGTGAAAATTGATTTTAGCCTGGGTGGCATAGCCACGCTCGATCAACACAGCCATCTTACGTGCTGCGGCCAAGCTGTGAAGTGTGTTCTTGGGAACCAATTAGGCTGTGCATGCGTCCAATATGCAAGCTGACGTGGCCAAGCTACAAACGTGACGTCCAAGAATCCCCATTTGAGGCGAACGCAAGGCTGACTCGATTACCTAGCGATAAGACTCAGCCCCCCTCCCATGAAGCCTCCCGCTTTTTGAAAAAGAGCTCGCGCCATTCTCACAGTCAATCCTCTAGCAGAATGCGGCGACACAACAATGAATAATCCACTCGAGACCAATTTTGGCAAGGTCCTGGGTTCTTTCAAAGCAAAACTCACACAAGATGAGTATGAAGACTTTTGCTTCGCGACATTGGATGATCTAAAACAGACCGTGGTCGAGATTCAAGCAGAGCAGGGGTCCGCAAGGCGCCTGCAGAATTTGAGGCGCCTTGATGCGTTTCTTGAGGCTATGGAACAGTATGATAAAGTTGTCCAGATATTTCTGAACGCTGCAGATCTTCTGGCATTCATTTGGGTGAGTCTTAATGTTGTTCTCATTGATACGCTTGGATTGTTGGTTGACAAGAAACAGGGTCCCGCCAAATTCATCTTGATAGTAATTTATAACCCTCATCTTTAAGAGTCACATTAGCTAATTCTTGTACAGACTGCAAGCACATGGAACGAGTCTTTCAACACGCTGCTGGATGCGTATGAAGAGATTGGGAATCATATTCCGCTTCTGAAGCAATATGAGGGCATCATCAAACGAAGTCCTGAGTTGCATATCGTGCTGGAATTGATCTACAAAGATATCCTTAATTTCCATCAACGAGCAATCAAGCACTTCAGAACCAAAGGTAAGAGCTTTGGTAGTAATATTGGAAACAGTCTAATTCATGGAACAGTGTGGAAACAGCTGTTCCATGCTACATGGAAGACCTTTCGCACTGATTTCCAAGCCATTCTGAAAAGTCTCCAGTCTCACAAGAGATTACTCGACAGCCAAGGAATTCTGATTGGAGCTCAAGAAATCCAAAAAGTCAGAGAGCAGATCGAGAATGGAATTCAAGAAAGTCAAATAATCAGAGAACAGATCGAGAATGAGCGCCAACAAAGGCAAAAGGACGAAGAGACCCGTCGGAGACGTGAAGTTTCTACTTGGCTTGCAGCAGCAGATAGTATTGAAGATCAAGAAACAGCCACAGAAGCAAGATCGAAGTACCCTACTTCCGGAGTCTGGATGGTTCGAGAAAGGCTGGTCACTCGATGGTGCGATCTGCATTCTCAAAGTGAGCCATGCCTGTGGATCAATGGGAAACCCGGCGCTGGTAGGCTGACTGAATAGAAAAGCAAAATGATTAAGCTAACCACACGCTATCTTGCAGGAAAAACTGTCCTTGCTTCAGTCCTTGTCGAGAAGTGCAACAGTATCGCCCATGCCAACGTGGCATACTTCTACTGCAGAGCAGAGGACTGCAGCAGGAATACGTTCATCGGAGTATGCAGAAGCCTCATTTCTCAGCTTGTGCAGCAAAACACTTCGATTCTGTCATACGCATATGAAAAGTCATCCTTGAGCGGACATAGTCAGCTTGATTCAACAATCCTTGCGAAGGAAATGCTAGCTGTGGCTCTCAACGCGTTCGAGAACCTCTTCATCATCATCGACGGGATCGATGAATGTAAAAAGGATGAGAAGAAACGCATATCTGAGGCACTCATTTCTATGGCTGAAAGTAACACCTCATTCCTACGATGTTGTTTCATCAGCCAATACGACCAGGATACAGGCAGAATGTTTCAGAAACTGCCGACTTTCCGCATCACTGAGAATCACACCAAGGGTGATGTGCTGGACTACTGTATTGCAAGGGAGAACACAATCGCGCAGTATTTCCAAATCTCTGCCACTGAGATCCAACAGCTGAATATCTCACACAAGGTTGCAGCAAAAGCGGACGGTAAGGAATCAAATTGATATATCACCTTAGTGACTGACTGATTTCGTAAGGGATGTTTCTTTTCGCAAAATTAGTCATGGAAAACTTGTTGCAGCAGTGCACCAGGGCGGGCCTGAAGGCCGAAATTGGGCGTATTCCCCCCGACCTCGACAAAGCGTAAGTTCTATCTTTCGTGAGAACAAACGTTGTCCCATGCTGATTCACTCAGCTACAATCGTTTGTTGATTCGGATCCTCCAAGATTCTCCTAAACCAGAGCAGCAGATCGCCAAAAGGCTATTGTGTTGGTTGCTCTGCACGCAACGGCCACTCAAATGGCATGAAATCCAAGGAGCCATGGCGATTGACATCGAAAACCTCACTTTTGATTACCAAGAGCGGAGTCTCATCAAAGATTCGAAAGCTTTTTGTGGTTCCCTCGTGGAAGTCCGAAAGGGGGGTACCATAGAGCTTGTGCATCAAACGGCAAGAAAGTAAGCACGGTATTCATGAGACTTCATGACGATCATACTTATCAGTGGCAATCAGTTTCCTCAAAAGGCAGGACGAGCTGCAGCTTGACTCGGAAGAAGTCGATTTCGCGTGTATTTGTCTCGGAACTCTGACTCTTTCAAGTCATGATGACGGCCTTTCTGAAGATTCAATCCGTGACTACATCTTAAAAGGATACTATGGCTTCAGCGACTACTCTGTCGTCTCCTGGCAAGGTCATTTACACGATCTCATGCGCGGAAAGAATTTGGATCGTGAGAAATCTCTCAAATCCATCAAAAATGCCATTAGGCTGTTTCTCAGCCGTCGATGTACAGCTGGTACCATGGCAAGTCGTCAAAGGGCACGGCTAAGCGCTCATTGGAACCGTTTCAAGAGCGAAGACTTTTACCCGCATCTGGCACAAGCCATGACACCCGCCAGCAATGATCAAGGTGGCCTTGCGGGCTCAAGTCAAGATTGTCGGTCCATGATACCGCAGCTACTGAGCGTGCGAGAAGTCATGGAGCGTGTGGTTATGGATGCAGACTCCGACTCAAGAGAGCGTCTCCAGGTGCTCTACGGATCGAACATTTTCAAATGCCCTGAGGCACAGTGCAGTTTCTTCCATGAAGGATTCTCCACAGCAAGCGAAAGGGACGCACACAGAAACAAGCACATGCGCGCCTTCTTTTGTACCTATCCGGGCTGCCCATCTGCACTCATCGGGTTCGCAACTTCAACAGAGCTGAATAAGCACAACGCAAACTATCACGGAGCTGCCCCGGACAGAAATGTATTTCCCTGGAATGGAAATGTTGCGTCTATTGATATTGGGGAGCAGATTCAAAACGGAAATGTATACCGGGTGCAAGCATGGGCTGATCAATGGGAAACTGAAATACCCGTGGAAACCCTTTGCTTCCCAAATGCAGATCCAAATCCAAATCTAAATGCATCCCTCAACTTCGACAACTCACCACTTGGAATGGCCATCCGTTGCAGAGATGTTGAAATTTTCGAAGCACTTCTCTCTCGGGCCCCGGACGATCTTTTCCAGGGAATAGATGAGACGAATGTTCTCCTGGAGTCATTCAAATATCTATTCTTTGCGCAGACGATGAAGAATGGCAACGACGAGATTGTCACGACCTACCTCATGAAGCTGAAGAAGATCGATACGTTTTTGTTCGCTTCTGCTATGAGGCTTCAGCCAGATTGGAACAAGCTTGTTTTGTTTCTGAATCACGCCGCTAATGGTGGGGATACAGCGTTCAAAGACAACGGTATCTCATACCTGAAAGTCGCGGTTGAACACCTACATGAAGAGACCTCACGATATCTCTTGTACGATCTGGGGCTGTGGGAGAAGCTACAAGACAGGCTAAACCGCTCGTTTCTTGCTACCGCGGCATTCAATGGACATGAGGGATTTCTTCGGAGAATTCTACTCACAGAAAACGCCGATACCTTGATCAACACCTGGGTCCGCACCTTGGCACTCCATCGAGCCTGCGATGAGGGTTCTAGCAACAAGGTTGAAACTCTACTTAACGACGAACAAGTCGACCCAAATATGCCTGGTGTCTTCGGGTATACACCGTTAGTAAATGCTATCAGGAGCGGGAATTGCGATGTAGTCCAACAGCTTGTGGACCATCCCAGGGTAATTATTGATGACCATGACGATGCTCATGCCATGGGCGCTTTGCACTGGGCGATTCACCACTACCAATGTGACTGCCTTGGGATCCTATTGGATTCAGCAATGCCCGTCAGAGAAATAGCTCGATCCGTACTGATTAATGGTCATGAAAGGACGGCAATCGAACTCTCCAACGAGGAACTATATCTGTTTCCGGACTCGCAAAAGCGTCTCGAATATTATCTTCTCGCTAATACGAATTGGGATTTGTATCCTATCGATTCAACGATGCTGATACGCTTTTGCGCAACCGGGAACCTCAGGCAGGTGCAGAACGCCATTCGGAAGGCTCCTCATGACTTGAACGTCCCTGACAGTAGAGGCTGGACGCCTTTCCTGCATGCTGTCAAAAGCCGAAGGAATGAGATCGCCGAATTCCTGTTGGAAAAGGGCTGCGATAGCCAAACATTCGAGGGATCCGATCGCGTCTCTCCATTGATGATAGCAGTCGAGCAAGATGACTTGGCGATGGTTCGGCTTTTGCTTTCAGAGGCTCGCGTGGACCCAACATACAAGAACGGCAAAGGGAAAGCAGCCATCGATTACCTAGACCCGAACAGCCCAGTGGCAGAGCAGATCCGAGATGAGATCAAAGATGCAACTGACATGGCGTCCGTATTTGGGAATTTCGATTCATAGTGTGCAGCTTTAATACGTCTGCGTCTGTTAGGAGTTTGGTTCCTTATTGCTTTCACTTTCACGACATTGGTCATATGTGCAATAGTTCGGTTATGTTGCAAAATATATTTAGGCGGTATGATGAAACTCATTGCTCTACTTCTAGCAAAAGCGGGTCTACTAACATTTGTCGTTGGTGGCATGGATACGTCTTCGGTGGCAGTGCGGAGATCATATTTGCAGCTCCGTTAGCGTGGGAGTGCGCCATGGGGAAGAAAAGAAGACTGCAGAAACGCTCTTGAAGTAGCCCAGAGCATTGGTCAAATGACGGTATATTTACAAGACGTAGATTTTACACAGTAAAGTTCTTCTTGGTTCGAAATCAGAGTGGAGTTACACGCTGCTAAATACCACAAAGTCTCAAAGTACGAGACCTCTATAACTCTATGAGCGAAAACGAATCTACTTCATCAAACTGCATCACAAGACCTATTCCCCCTCAATACGACAACTTCACCCACTTCCCCTCCGACGGAATCCCATTCACAACCACAAACAACAAATACACGCCCGGCTGCGCGGTACTCGGCCCGGGCGGCGCCGTCGCCGTCCTCTCGCCGACCTTCATCCCCTCCTCCTTCACGACCGCCAACTTAATCATCCGCTGCCCCATCGCCACCGCATGCGTATGGAATCCGGGACTAACCAACACAACCTCCAGCTTCTCCCCACCCACACTACTCTTCACATTAAACCCCTTCCCATACACAATCTCCTCCGGCGCCCCCACGATCGCCGGCCGCACCTCGGCATCCATATACGGCGGACTGAAAACCTCCACACGGTACTCCGTCGGAAACTTACTCCCCTTCCGCTGCTGCTGGTTCAAAAACCCTTGGTGGCCATTATTCCCGAACTTCGGCCACCCCCACGGCACGCCGCCGTCGTTGGTGTAAAACACGGCCGGGTTGCTGCCGGCCACAATCACCTCGCCCGACGGCAGCAAGCTCGCGACGCTATGATACATCCGCGGAATCGTCGTCGGCGGCATGCTCGTAAACCGGCTGCCCGCCTCGGCCTTGGGGTCGTATATCACCGGCGCGAGCACAGGGTCGTCCGCCATGAAGCCGCCCGCGGACCCGCGGTGCGCGCCGTTGATGAACAGCACGGTACCATCCGGTAGGAGGATTCCATCGCTCATCGTCTGCGGGCCGTTGGGCAGGCGGTCCGTCGGCGTCCAGACGGGGTTGTCCGCGTGGGGGGCCAAAGTGTAGCAGTCGTCCAGCGCCTGGGGGTCGGGTATGTCGCCGCTGGACCCGCCGCAGAGGAGGACGGTGGGGTCGAAGGTGGGTGCTTCGAGCGGGAGGAGCACGGAGGTGGCGGAGGAAGGGAAGGTGCGGGGTTCGAGCGGTGCGTCCGGGAGGGTTTTGATCAGTTTGTTGGCGTGGTAGTCCCAGATGGCGGCGCGGGTGCCGGCGAGGGTGAAGACTTCGCTGGCGGCGCGGGGGTTGGGGAGTTGGTGGACTGTGGTGGGTTTCGTTAGTCGTTGGGTGCTGCTGTCAAGGGGGATGAGGAGAGGGAAGGAAACTTACGGATGGGGTACAAGTTGTACGACTTATTCGGCATGTTGTTCTCCGCATCCGTGAACTCGAGGATCGGCAGCGTGACGGGCGGCGGCGCGGCCGAGCCGTCGGCCTTGATCAGCTCGTACGTCGGCACGTTGATGGCCGCCTCGTTCAGCACCAGCAGTCCCTTGTCCGACCCGCCGACGACCAGCACGTCGCCGTTCGGCAGCGTCTCGGCCGTCGGGTACCAGCGGCGGGACTGCAGGTGCGCTCCGCCCTTGCCCTCGACGAAGTCCATCGCGCAACCTTTACCATCGGCGGCGCAGGGGCCGGGGGCGTAGGTGCGGATGGCGTCGAAGCCGTCGCCCACGCCGGCCTTTGCGTCGGGCTCGGCGCCCGCGAAGTTGACCATGGTGCCGTCAGGGAAGAAGGCGCCGGCCGAGCAGAAGGTGTTGCTTTTCGGGTGCAGCTTGCGGAGCGTGTTGGTGTTCAGGTCGTACTCGGTGGCGAAGACGGCCATGTCGGTGCCGTCGTAGACGTAGGCGTCGGGCGAGTGGGCGCCCGTGGTGAGGTTGGTGCCTGGGCCGCCGAAGTTGGGGTGGTAGCTGTGGGGATCCGCGTTAGATGGACTTGTACGAGGAGGTGTCATTTTGGGAACGGCGATGGAGGCTCACTTGTCAAGGAAGACAGCTGTGTCGGTGTAGGGAGGGATAAAGAGCATCTGGGCGGTGCAACCAGATGATCCCACTGTTCTGAAGCCAGCTGCTGCGGCATGGCGGGCGATGGCAGACAAGGCAGCCTATTGTTCAATCAGCATAAGATTCAGAAGATGGATCGAAACTTTGACTTACCACTCGGAGAAGGCGAGACTGCATGTTTGATGGGAGAAAACGAAAGCAAAGGAAATTCAAACGAGGGTTGTCGAGCTGGTCAGAAGTATTATGGTATTAAATCATGTACCGTTTGAGGAAAAGAGTGGACAATTATTGTGGATTCAAAATCCAGTGCAGACTTCAAGAAGGCGGCCTGCCCAGCTCTTTAATATCGAGAAGTCGACTGCTGCCGTCAAACCGTTTACGAGTCAGCAAATTCGGTCGGTATCTCGGGATCCACGCATGGTTTCTTAGACTTGGCTCGGCATCAAGTCCGTCGGGTTCTAAAATCAGCACACGGGCCTTGGATACTCAGCCGCACTAGAGTTGGGCGCGGCGACGCTGCTCGGCGACGGGCACATCATGCCATCTTTGGCTTGGCGTTTGAATTTACATACGGGTGGATGGGGATCCTTGTGTCTCTGTCAAATGGGTATTTGCTGCGTCTGCTATTCTCTTGTGACTGTTTGGTAATATCTTGGTAGACTATATACCGTTTCTCATCTCGGCAATCGGTCTTCTGTTCTTTCAGCATTAGCTCGGCTATGGTACGTGGACTAAGAGGATCTTCGCCGTCATAGATGTAACGACGCAGAGCCGCACGCTCTACGTGCCGATGTGCGATGGCTAAGGACAGTAGCGAGACCAAATCACTCGACACGATCAAGTACCATGTCGTATCCCGGGCCTGCTACTATGCAAGCTCGCTTCGATAGCTGGATAGGGAAATGCGAAAAGGGGGATGATGGAGGCATAGACATGGGATACGAGGGACGGTAGTCGTTAGCCCCATGTCGCGAGTCGTTACCCGCGCGCTAAGCAGCCTCGTTGACGTCGATGTGAGATCTGAGGACCAGAAAACCAAAGGAGCCGCCACAGCCATCGACGATCACCTTGTAGTAGTGGCTTTCGCACGTTCTGTCCACTGGGTTGTGCGCTGCTGGCTCCGGCCTGCTACTCGTCGGACTGCTTTTTGGAATTTCTATTTTGGATGGATGACCGGCGCCGGTCCAACGCTTCAGCCCTACTCCCACCCCCGCGCTCATCAGCCACCATCCAGTGCGGTCCGGCTTGGTTCTCGGGTCTCCGGATGGCTTTGGGTGACTGTCGATATCAGCCTTGTGTCTTCTCACGGGACCATTTACGAGGGCAAAGTCAATCGGCCTTATTCGGCCGCACGTTGCGCCACAGACGATGCACGACACAACAGACGACCGTTGTGGCGCTGGGCATGTCTTGTGTTGTTGCACGTAGGCAGAGTCTCGACCCAGACAGCTTGCTCTGCTGTGGGGCATGTGAATACGATGTTGAAGTGGGAACATGAGTCGTTATATTGCGGAGCCGTTTCGTGCGGATGAAGCCGAAGACAAGCGTTTGAAAAGTTGCAAGTATTGTTCCTGTAATAATTGGACTGAGGTCGAAGTCTCCGCAGGCTGCCAGTTTCGACGCAGACAAGTGAAGAACATGCTACACGAAAAATTACACCAGATAACTTGTAGCTGATAACCGTATAACCCAGAGGACTTTTCGAAACAACATTTGCCGGTATACAGATTTGTCCAATCGATAGGCGATGCAGTCATGCGTGTGCGATGGCTTGTTTCCCGGGCCCAGTTGTACGACGGATCACTCGAGGCGTTTATATAGAGCCACCCTTAACGGCTTGGATAAGACACGTTGTACGCGTCGGCGCAACTGAGTAAGGAGGGCGCGGAGACGGCTTTGGAACTGCTCGGAACGAGTAGGCTCCACGGGCATGGGAAAATCTGGATCGGATCCTTCATCGACGAGCTTGGCCCTCTTCCAGGAGAAAGTGGCTCCACAGGGATTGCCTGAAAGACAGGGTAATCAGCAACATTCAACTTCGGTATCAGACAGACTTACATCGCATATTAGAACAGCCGCCATTCTTCACGACAACGTACTTGCATTTCGGGCAGCGGCGAGCACCGGCCTCGATGAGGGAACGGACAGTTCTGCGGCTGGCCTCGCTCGAAGAGCTGAACAAGGCGCACGAGTGATGCTGCTGCCACGGAGTGCGGCAGGCCTGGCAGCTCGGGCGCGAGCAGGCCTGGCACCGTACGCAAGGGAAGTCCGGGCACGACGTATCGTGAATGGCGCCGGCGGTGCAGTCCGGATAGGGGCACAACAGGAAGCCTGGTATCGCCTCCATGCACAGCTTTGCCTGAACCGAGTCGTAGAGGGCCGCCACGTCGCGCGGCAGCATCTTGCACGCATACTCGAACGGCCATTTGCCCCCGCACCTCATGCACGCGAGCGGCATGCCCGGCTGTGCTTCGATCTGCATGGTCAGGTATCGTTCCGTGCATTGGCGGCAGGCGCTGCTGCACCTGCATGGACTTTCTTCGGGGTTCGTGTAGTCAGACTCAGGCTTCTCAGTGGCACAGATGTCGCAGAATCTGGTGTTCTCATCGTTCTCATCTTGAGGCGTCTTTCGAGGGGACCTTCGGCTGCAAAAAACATGTCCTCTGCGCTGGGAGTCGTCTCGACGTCGCGGAAGAAGAACCATGGCGTTGTAAAATTGAGGATAATGTAGAGGAAGTGGTGCAAGAAGTGTGAAGTAGTGAGAAAAAGTTGAGTCTTGGTTAACCATGGTAGAGCGTCACCGACCCAGCGTCGACGTAGACACGCGAGACATGCTGCTGTCCTCGAAATGTCCTGAAGTTCTTCCACATGATTCATTCGTGGCAGGATTTAATAGTAGTACAAAAGAACACTGATGAAGAGTAGATGGATTCGAAATTCACATGGTTAGACACAGACGCACTCGGGTGCTCGGTGGGGTTGCATCTGTGCTGAAGGACTTTTGGTCAGAGGACATGGCCGCAGCTTCAATCGGGCTGACGCGAGATGAATCCAAGATGATGGTGGTGGTGGGTGGTCGGGAGTGGCTGCTGTCCGCTGCAGGAACGGCCGATCGGAAGATTGCGGCTTTGGCCCGCTGACAAAACGACCGCGGCTCACGGGAAAAGTCCAAAGCTACCACTGTCGACGTCAATTGCACGCCCGTCCATCGCCCATCCGTTTTCCTTTCTCCTTCGCTCCGCCTCTCTTTTCCTTTCGCGCCGCCCACCATGTTCCGTCCGGCCTCGCGCGCCGTCGTGCGCGCCGCGTCGTCCACCTCCGCCCGAGCAGCACAGCGCAGACTCGTCAGCACCGCCCCGCCCACCCAGAAGTCGCGCAGCTGGAAGAGCTCTCTGGCCCGCTGGGGTCTGGCCGGCGCCGCCATCTACTACTACAACACCGGCAAGGCCTTCGCCGACGAGCCCGACACCTGTACGCAAATTCCCCCAATCTACAACAACAACAAGCAGTCCCATTGACCAGCTTTTCGCCACAAATAGTTGTGACGCCGCAGGCCACCGCTGCCGCCGCCGCTACCGCCATCGAGGACGAGAACCTCCCCACCCTCGAGCAAGTCGCCGCCGAGCGCAGGAAGCGCGCCGAGGCCGAGGCCGCGCGGAAGAAGGCTGCAAAACAGGCTGCTGCTGAGGGCGCAGCGTCGTCGCCGGAGCAGCTGGAGGCCGAGGCCGACCAGCAGGGCGCCTTCAACCCGGAGACGGGCGAGATCAACTGGGACTGCCCCTGCCTGGGTGGCATGGCCCATGGGCCGTGCGGCGAGCAGTTCAAGGCCGCTTTTAGCTGCTTCGTCTTCTCCAAGGAGGAGCCTAAGGGCATGGATTGCATCGACAAGTTCAAGTACGTGGCACGCAATATATTGGGGATTGGTAATTTTCAGAGCGTGATTGGCTGACTGCTGGACTACAGGGGCATGCAGGACTGCTTCAGGCAATACCCGGAGATCTACGGCGAGGAGCTGGAGGGTGACGAGGAGGAGGGCGCGCTTGCCCCTGAGGGTGTGGATGCTGCGGTGGCTCAGGATCTTGCGGAGACGACTGTCAAGGCTGTCGAGGAGGCGCCGAAGCCCGCGACCGAGAGCTAGTTTGGCGGAATCAATTGCGAGATGCGGTGGAAATTTAGAGATGGCAGAGGGCATTGGCGCGAGGAGATGTCAAAAACACCATATTCAAGGCAGCATCGGGAAGATGAGGGGTCGAGACTTAAGATGCGGCGGATCGTGTATAATAGAGGGTGATGCATGGTGGAAGGCAGCATCTGGCGCATGTAGAGCGGGCAAAAGCGGGTGTACAATTGGATTGGGTTCCCATTCTCTGCTCATCAGCTTCCAAACGGACCACGATCGAAGTCTGGGGAATCCTTCGCGCACAGACGTGGTGAAGGCGTGCTTGGACCGGATCTCAACGGCGTGACGTCTCTGGTGCGATTCCTGCCGGGCGGCAGCGGGTTTTGCGCCAAGCAATACGTCATCATTGCAAGCTAGCCACTTGAAGCCGCAAACCATGTGAGAACCTGCAACTTCCTCTTAAACCCTCCTCCATCGTGTGACTCTCTTCATCACGCGTCAAGTCCCCAAGTCTCTTTGCCATCGCCAGCTCTTTTGCACCCTGCTCCCGCGCATTTGCGACTCTACACCTGCTTCCCTTTACCACACCACCACCCATTACTCACCCTCCACCACCAAATAACCATGTCGTACGCCTCCGTTGCTGCTAGTGGCCCCGAGCAATCTCCTGAAGAAGTGAGTCAAAGCCATTGCTGGTTCGTGCGAATGCGCGCAAGCTAACCCGTCGCAGGCGTAAGTTTGGCCCTTTCCTGCCCTTTGTTGGGCGCGCACATGTGCGCGCACGCGGCGCCGAGATGCGCGAACCATGGGACGGCAGAACAGGGCGCCAGGCAGCAGAGAGGCATTGCGCGCATCGTCGCTTGGTCGGGTACAGGGCGATTGCGTAGGGCTGAAGGGAGCCCAAGAGCACAGCCGTGCGGATCATCCAACCCTTCAGTTTCAAAACCAAGCCGCAACATGCCTCTCCTGCCCTGGAAGCCTCCTCCCTCTCCCTATGGCCGCCACTCTGTCGCCCCAGGTCGCGTGGGACCTGTTCCCGTCGTCGTTGCGGCGCATTTCCATCACCGACGAGCTGCTTGCAGAACTGGTCCAACCACGTCCTCTAACTCCTGAACCCAGTCGCGCCCCGCCCGTTCCCGAGGTTGCCCACACCGACGAATCCACCCACTCGCTGATCGATGTCGACTCCCCGCACATCTCGTCCGTCCCCTCCGACTTCGAGTCGCAGACCATAAAGACCGAGACCCAGGCCGACCGCATCGAGCGCGAGATCGACCAGCTGCAGCGCCAGGCGGCCGAGAAGCTCAAGAAGGACAGGGCCAAGGCTAAGGGGCGTCGCGCCGGGCAGAGCATCCGCGACAACGCCGCCAACCCGGTCGTTCTTGGCAACGTCGTCACCATCGGCGCCCTCGGCGCCGTCCTGGGCCTCGGAGCCTACAAGAAGTACAACGCCGGCCAGCTCAACTGGAAGCTGGCGGGCGCTTGGGCCGGTGTTGTGGGTCTCTTCGGCGTTGCCGATTACTACGTTTCCAAGTAAGTCGCGTGCTTTTTCCCGCTGACCGCCTTTGCGTGCTGACACATGCATCACCAGATATTTGTTCGAGAAGTTCCCCACGAAGAAATAGACGACTCCATATGATATCCAACGCGGCGGCGTTCTGCGGACTTTTCTTCGACATTTTGCCGGGTTTCGCTGGTTCGAGCTTCGTGACGCCGTAAAGCGTGTCACTTGGTTGTTGTAATACCACTTTTTTCTCTACTACAAATCCAACTCTCTGTTAAACACCACTCGCACATCTTTCCAACGCGTGACCCTTTACTCGCCGCTATTTCGCCGTCTTCATGTGACCGTTTCCATACCGCCCTTTCTTCTCAGTCTTGGCACACACATGACTTCGCAACACCCTTATCTCCCTTATCTCCTCTCCTTCACTCCTCCCATACCTTGTCGAGGGGCCGTATCGCATTCAACCGCAGCATATCCCCCACGCCTAGATCGTCGGCTTCGATCGCGAGATCCGGATTCTCGACCCTCCACTCCTCGTTCCAAAACCGCAGCACCGTCGCCATCGACCTGACGCCGTCGCCCATCGCCCCCTCCGCCTCGATTGCTCGCACCACGGCTTGCATCTGCATCTTGCTTGCAAAAACGACGCGCATCTCACAGCAGCCTTTGATCATGCAGTTCTTTCGTCCCTGTCCCTGTCTCTGCGGTCGTCGTCCTTCCGCCGCTGCCGCCGCGGCCGCCTCCCCGCTGTCCCTGTCGCCGTAGTCGTCATCGTAGTACTCCTCTGGGTAGACTTCCGTCACGCCGCGCCCCGTGTACGACCCCATCCGCCGCGTCAGCCAGCCGTCGACTTCGCGCTGCGTCGCCTCGTCGATCGGAGGAGGGGGAGCGTTGCCGTCGTCGATGGCCTTGGTAGTCAGCGCGGCGTCGATGGCGTCCCAGTCGACGATGCTGTCGCGGTCGCGCATGCCGAAGCTGGTGAAGATGGCGACGAGGCGTTGGCGGGTCGTCGCCAGCGCGGTGCGGGCGGCGCGGATGCCGGCGGCCCGGGAGTCGGGGTGGGATGACGGCAGAAGGCGCCGGCGGATGGTGTTGATGCGGATGTGGAGCGGTGGCTGGCCCGCTGTCATGGTGGGGCAGCGGGAGAGGGTGATGTGGATGGGTTGGGTGGCGGGGCGGGGAGGGGGCGGCATGGGTGGTGGGGAGGAGGGCGGTGCCGGTGCTGGTGATGCTGCTGGTCGTGGTGGGCGGGTTTGCGGCGGCGGCGGAGAGATGCTGCTGTTGCCGCTGCTGAAGTGGACGCGGCGGCGGCGGGCGTGTAGTGGGTTCTCCTCCGCTTCTGCTTCTTGCGCTTCTGCTTGTTCGTTGGCTTCTTCGAAGACTGCGTCGGAGGTTTCTTCTTCGTCGTCGAGTGATGCGTACACGGATGTTTCCGAGGCTGCTTCGTTGTCGTCTAGGCTGAGGTCCACGTAGTCTTCGCCGTCCATGACTGCGCGTGGGCGGACGCGTGGACCTGGAGATGGGGAAGGTGGTAAGTAGGTCGTGTCCAAGTCCTCGTCTAACTCGCCGTCCGACAGGCCGCCGAAGCTCTCGTACCGATGCATTGTTTTTCCTGTGTTGCGCCTCGCACTGGAAGTTGTCCGTGTCGGGGTTGGACTAGCAGGAGGTGAAGAGGAGCGCATTGTCGGAGGTTTTATGTGCGCGCAGACATGGCGTTTGGGGTGTTCTGAGTTGGGTGGAAAGGCGTGGACTGTTTGCTATGGATATGGTTTTGTGTGTGGTGATTGTTGCTGGTGGGCAGCTGGTTTGGAGGTGGAGGTGATTGCCCAGTATGCGGTTTTGCCGCGCCTTCCAGAAGTAGATCATCTTCAACTGAGAGAGTACCAGTTCAGCTCAAAGTTTCTGTTCACCTTTTCGCATGCAGACAGCGACAGCGATGAATTGATTTTCATATCATGTAGTCGCAGCAGGTACCATGCTCGTACGACGTCAGTGCTGCCGACCACACATCCCTGCACCTCCCACTTCCCGGCACGTCAATCATTGCCGGCTTCGCAAGGAACCCCGCAAAGATAGGCACTCGTATCTTTTTTCCGTCTCCCAACATCATTCGTCCCGATCCCGAGCGTTACATCGCTTGCAGCCCGTTCCTGGCTAAGCAAAGCTGGGCAAGTTGTCTTTTTAATTTAGGCATTCAGGCGATAGCCAGGCCGGGGCTGTTCCCCTGAACGAGATGTCGTCGTACGGCAACGTCACCTCCGCTCTATTATGTTTCCCCCGCCTCTCCTTGCCGGCGAGAGTAACATTCCAGGTGGAGTCGCGTCGCCATTGAGAAGTCGGAGTGTAACGCTCTGTAGCTCGGCGATTGAGGAGTGCTAAAAGGCCAGCATCCCGTCGGTCAGCTGTCTCTACTGCTTGTAGCTGCCTCCCGCGTTTCCGACTCGGTTTTGCAATGTGGTTCACGACTGCAGCATCTCTCGCCCTATTGGCTGCGAGTGGTAGGTCGATCCCTGTGACACGGCATGACGGACAGGCACAATGCTGACTCACCACTTTGAGGCTCTGCGCGGCTCTTAACGGTTCCAACGGTTCCCTTCGAGCCCGCAAACGGATCCTTAACGGTCGGCAATCTCCGATCCATCGTCGTTGACGAGCGTTACGCCGACGCCATAGATGAGGATGGAGAAACACTCATCCCACCGACCTTACTGGAGTTCGCCCAGACCTTCGCCACGGACTTCGGCAACACCTTCGACGCGAACCTGACGCTGTCGACAGGCACAGCGGCTGGACCAGACTCCATCTTCCTGACCCTGGACAACGCCACTAACTTTCTCGATGCTGCCGGCCGCCACACGTCCGAAGGCTACAGCCTCTCGATCTCGAGCGACGACGGCATCACCATTGCCGGCGCCAGCCCACTTGGCGCGTGGTGGGGAACGCGCACGCTGCTGCAGGCCGCCGTCCTCAACAACGGCAGCATCCCCGCAGGCACCGCCGTCGACGCTCCGGGCTGGGGCACGCGCGGCGTCATGCTCGACGCCGGACGGCACTACTACCCGCCCGAGTTCCTGATCGAGCTGTGTTCGTACCTCAGCTTCTTCAAGCAGAACACGTTCCACCTGCACCTCAGCGACAACATGGGCAGCGTATATCTCGACAACTATGACTTCATGATGAGCCTCTACGCCGCCTTCCGGCTGGACTCCTCCGCCGCCGACCTTGCCGGGCTCAACCGCCGGCAAAACGAGTCGTACACGCGCGACGTCTTCGAGCACATCCAGCAGTCCTGCGCATCCCGTGGCGTGACCATCATCCCGGAGATCGAGACGCCCGGCCACGCCCTCGTCCTCACGCAGTGGAAGCCCGACCTCGCCCTGTCATCCGACTACAGCATGCTCAACCTCTCGCACCCCGACACGCTTCCCACCGTGCAGTCCATCTGGCGCGAGTTCCTGCCGTGGTTCCACAGCAAAACGGTCCACATCGGCGCCGACGAGTACGATTCCGACCTCGCCGCCGACTACAACGACTTCGTCATCGCGCTCGCCGACTTCATACAGTCCGAATCATCCAGCGGGCAGAATATCCGCATCTGGGGCACCTTCCCACCGTCCGCCGAGTACGCAAACAACATCCCGCCGACGGCCGACAGCGGCGTGTCGATCCAGCACTGGGAGTTCTTCGAGGACAACCCGCTGTTCGACTACATCGCCAACGGCTTCGACGTGCTCAACTCGGACGACGCCTTCTACATCGTCAACAAGTGGTCCGGGTCGTACCCGCAGTCGCTCAACCGCACCCGCATCTTCCACGGGAACCCCAGCGATGGTGGTGCGTACGCCCCGTACGTGTTCGATACGAAGAACGCGACGAACAACCCGCCGCGCGACGAGCCCCGCGTCCTGGGACACGTCGCCGCGCTGTGGAACGACTGCGGGCCCAACGCGACGGTGTACAGCGAGGCGTATTACGCGTGGCGCGACAACCTGCCCGCGCTGGCGGATAAGCAGTGGGGCGGCGACCTCGCCGAGGACGAGTACGACGGCGTCTTCGCGGCGCTGCACGCGGCTGTCCCGGCGCAGAACCTCGACCGCGCGATCGTGTCTGCTTCGTCGACGATCTTGAGCTACAGCTTCGCGGACGCTGCCGCCGAGGGTGCGACGAGCGTGCCGGACGCCAGCGGGAACGGGTATGATGGCGCTGTCGTCGGCGGCGGGGAGGCGTGTGGCGTGCTGGATGGCGCGCCCAGCGGCAACGGCACGGCGCTGCGGCTCGACGGCACCTGCTTCGTCCAAACGCCGCTGGAGAGCAAGGGCCGCTCGTACACGCTGTCCTTCGCCGTCTACCCGGACGCCGACTACACCACCGGCGGTGCGCTCTTCAGCGGCGCCGACTCCGCCCTCCTCGCCGGTAATGGGTCAAATCCGAACGTCATGCTCGTCGCGAGCGGCTACGCTTTCGCGCTGAACTACAGTCTGCCGGTGGGGCAGTGGAGCGCGGTGAAGTTGGTTGGCGAGGGGAATCGGACGTTTTTGGAGGTGGAAGGGGAGGCGGAGGAGCGGATGGAGTTCATCACGAAGATGGGGATTCTGGGGAATAGTTTTGTGTGGGAGGGGATTGCGGTCGAGGCGCCGGTCGGAAGGATTGGAGAGGGGTTTGTGGGGTGGGTGAGGGATGTGGTGCTAAGGGATGGGGCTGAGTGATATGGGTGGCGTGTCTGCGTGAGGGTGATGTGGGATGGGTGGGCTATGCTGGATGTGTTTAGGTATGTAAATGAAGGTGTTCGATGATGAGTGGTAGATGGGGTTGACTGGTTCAATGTCTTTTAAGAGACACCGGCGTATCCGTTGCGTGCGTACAGGGTCCGGGGTCCTCGGCGGGTCCCACTGAACAAATGAGGGGTTGAGCGGAAGGGATGATTAGATGAAAGACGTGAGGTTGACATTTTATCAGTGGAGGTATAAAAACGTGATCTCTCGTGCTCTCTTCCAGTATGAAGAGTGTTAGCTTGCTGCGTTTTATTTTGGGAGTGGATGTGGTCAGGTGATGGGGTTAGACTCTGGACATGCTTCTGTGAGTTAAACCGTCAAGTTCTATTATTTCTTTGATTTCACTCTCTTCCATCACATGACATCACTTCATGCTATTTCCAGAAAGCACGCGTAACGGTGACGATTACACTGGACCAGTGACCGAGATGACACGACTGGAATGCCCGGAGACAAGCAACGAACGACGTAATGTCCACCAAGAAAGACCTACCAATTATTCACATGCTTACATCAAGTAAGTTGAGGCTTCAGTAAATGTGAATTCACAGCAAATCTCTAGGAAATAGATGTTCACGGTCCTGTCACACAATAGGTTAGACAAATATAGAACACGTCATTAAATTTCCGAGCCCGCAGATACGTAGGAAGTACCTCGGCCATATAGCTCACACTCTACATTCTTTCCAAGGGGGTGGGAATGCGGAGGTGGCGCTACATCTTGGCCTGTCTCCAGAATCCACGGAGCGCGACGTGCTCATCCCAAATAGGAAAATGATCGGGTTGGATCCACAAATCGAGGAGTGCACTGACGAACTTCCTCCCTGGGCAAGGACCAGGTGGTACACCTTCTACCAACCTCTATAATTCGATCGGCGCCGTCTCGTTGTATCTCGCTCCCCCGAATATAGTGCTGCAAGGTGATATCACTTCACCCAAGGCAGCTCTAGCTGATGCTTCTGATACATTACATCAACGGCCGTCGACACATGTGCCGTAAAGACTGATCTAGATGCTCTAAATTCTCGTACGCGCAACGGTAGAGATGGTCGACTCCACAAAGGCCCGATCTTCGACCATCAGGGGCTCAGGAGTTGGACCGCGCAGACATAGTAGTATAAAGGTCTCTTGAGTTACGCTCGAAGTTCAGCAGCCAACGCCAGGGTTGCGACGGCCAACATCACTTCGTTTCTTTGCGTGAGGGAGGCCGTTCAAGATGAAGCCTTCTCTTTTCTTCCTTTTCACCGCCGCTCTCGGCGCCCTCGCGGCACCCATCTCCGAAACGTCTAGCGACCAGAGTGGGAGAAAACAATATGACATCGTCATGGCTCCGCACGTAGACATACAGGGGACGCTTCACCGTTTACGTCTGACCGCTGTCATGGAGAGAGTTTTTGCTTCTTTTGACAACCGGTTTTTCAAGGGCTTCTCGACCCACATGACGCCGGCAGAGGTTACGCTTCTACGCACCGTGTCGCACATGCTGGCCATCGGCGAAGTTACCGAGATCCACCCCGCTGCATCCCGCAACGATGCTCCATGGGGCCTGCAGCGCATCTCGCAGAAGGATACCATTCGTAGCAACACTTATCCCCTTGACCGGAAGTGAGTTCTCATCCCTCCACACAACTACGAATTCGAAGAGCTGACATGCTGCTCCCAGGTTCAAATACACCTGGGACGACACCTCGACCCTGGGCAAGGGCGTCGACGCCTACGTCATCGACACGGGCATCGTCACCACGCACAAGGAATTCGGCCACCGTGCTATTATGGGCTACAGCTACTGGAAGGACAACATGACCGACGGCCACGGCCACGGTACGTCACAAACCTCCTCTTTCACATACCTCAGTCTCCCTCCTAACACACTTTGTGATCTCAGGAACCCACTGCGCCGGCACCATCGGCGGCGCCACCGTCGGCGTGGCCAAGAACGCGAACCTGATCGGCGTCAAGGTGCTGCCGGACGACGGGCCGGGGCCCTCGACGTCGCTTCTGGCCGGCCTCAACTACGTCGCGCGCCGGCACCACGACCGCTCGGCGCAGAAAGACTTCGTCGCGTCGGTGATATCGCTGTCGCTGGCGTTCGCAGACCGGTCGAAGCCGGTTGAGGCGGCGATACAGAAGCTGGTCGAGGGAGGCGTGCATGCTGCTGTGAGTGAACTGATTGCTTTTTCCTTCTTCTTCTTCTTCTTCTATCTTTCTCTCCTCCCGTCTTTCTTTACTTTTTCTCTCTTCCTTCCCTCCCCTGACCGAAACCACCACCACCCCTCTTTCTCCCCTCCTTCCACCACTACTACTTCGAACAAGCAATACTAACTATTACCCAGCTCGCCGCCGGCAACGACCGCCTCGACGCCTGCACGCACTCCCCCTCGGCCATGGGGGGCGCCAAATCCACCACCCCCGTCGTCACCGTCGGCGCCACCACCTTCGACGACCGCATCGCGCCCTTCTCCGACTACGGCCCTTGCGTCGACGTCTTCGCGCCCGGCGTGTGGATCGCGTCGGCCGGCATCGCGTCGAACGACGAGTACACGGTCAAGTCCGGCACCAGCATGGCCACGCCGCACGTCGCGGGCTTGATGGCGTATAGGGTGACGACGACGGGGAAGGGGGAGATGGCGGGGCATAGGATGGGGCCGAAGGAGGTGAAGAGGTGGTTGGTGGAAGGAGCGGCGAGGGGGGTGCTGAGGGAGAAGGCGGATGGGAGTGGGAAGAAGCCTGAGAGTCAGTTGATTGTGGCGTTTAATGGAGTTGCGGGGGCGGTGAGGGGTGGGGGTGGGGGGTTGTTTGGGTGAGTGGGGAATGATGGACGGGGGAGATGTGTTCTGTATGTTGATGTTGGTGGGGTATAGTAAAGATTAATGTACGTTTGTAGATGGGGATTAAAAAGCAAAAAAGAAAGGACAGGCGGCTTTTGTGACGGAGTTGTAAGAAATTTCCATTTGTTTATAGTCTACGAAATCATCTAATCTAGCTAATACTGAGGCTCGTCAATGAGATAGCCAGCTTTATCATGAAGCGTGGTCCAATACTACCTGAAAAGAAATATTTGAACTCTTCTGAAGTTTTTAACTTGCTTGGAGATCTCCACCCATACTTTCCAGTTAAGCATACACCGCTCCACTTACCAGTTCCTTCAATCCCACTACAGATGGTACAGCCTTATGGCAATCTTCCCACAAGAGTTGTTCCCCACCGGCAATACTCCCCACAACAACCTATCATACACGGATACTCCCTCAGGTGCATAGCAAGCCCCTACACTCACCGAACTACAGCTCCCCAAATCTCGCCAGCGAAATGCCAGGCCTTTGCAAAGAAGACTACTAATTGCAAATAGTAATACCGAGTACAGTACAGAACCTCCAATCCCACCTCACCGCCGTCGTCAGCTCATCCACATTCAACACCCCCACCCCACTCTCCACCAACGTCTCCCAAACCCGATTCCTCAGCACCACCGGCCACCCCGGCGTCCCCCAATACCTCGACACCAAGCCCCTCTCAGCCGCGACCTCAACCTGCCTCCGCACCACCCCCGCCTGCCGCCCACTCAACCCCCGCAATCCCCACACCCTCCCAACCGCCCTGCTCAACTTGACACTCGCATAATAAGAGTTAGCAGCCGTATAATCCTCACTACCGTCAAGCTGCTCCAACGGCGCATCAAAAAACACATCCCTTCCCCCCACCCCCAGCCCCAGCCCCTCCACCGCCTCGAACGCCGTCGCCCCCGTCACCACCGCCGTCACCGGCCGCTCCACCCGCTTCTGCTCGTCTTCGCTCCAGTACGTCAGCCACCCCCTCTCCCGCAGCGGCGCCAGCTCCCGCCGCACCACGGCGTCCCACAGCGCGGCGTCCCGCTCTTTGAAGTCTAGAAGCAGGACCAGCGTCGTTGCGGGACTCTTTGCGAAGACCCCCGCCGGCGCCGTCTCGTTCGCCGCTGTCGCCCCCGCGTTCGCGGCAGACAGGATGGCGACCAGCGGCTCGATGTAGAGCGACCGCAGCGTGCGGGCGGGGTCGAGGGCGTGGCGGGTGTGGCCGACGAGCGGACTCGTACTCCCCCTACTTACCTCGTCCCCCTCCGAGGACGGCGAAGGTGGAGGCAGTGGTGGAGGCAGCCAGATATCAGCCTCCACCCCGACGCAGCCGGCTGCCAAAGCGGAGAACAGCGGGACGGGCCGCCAGTAGTCGTTGTGGCTGTGGCAGGGGACGGGGCGGACACCACTGCGGGCGGCGGCGTCGGTGAAGAGGGATAGCCATGCGGCAGACGGCGAGGAGCTGTCGGCCGGGCCACGCCAGGTGGAGAGGAGGGTGTTGAGGCGGTGGGTGGATGGGGAGTCGGGGGGTGCGAGGCGGGACAGGAGGATGGTGGTGAGGGTGAGGTATGTGCTGTGCGGGGCGAGGGTCAGTGGACGATGGTGGAGTAGGGTGGGGTTGGCGGGAGATGGGAGGGGAGAGGGAGTTGAGGGAAGGTGGCTTACAGGTAGAGGCTGATGGCGACGACGCCAATGATGAGAAGGGCGACGAGGATGATGCGGCGGCGCTTCTGGGCTAGCCAGCAGTGGCGGCGGCGGCGGTGGTGGTGGCGGTGGTGGTGGTGGCGGGTGTGTGATGGGCTGAGCTTGAAGTTCTGGAAGGTGGAGTGTAGGGTTGGAGGGGTTGCGGGCTGGTGGCGCTCGCAGTCTGGTGTGCTGAGGAGTTCGTCGGCGCTCTGGTATGAGTCTGAGTCACAGTCGTCATCGTAGTACGCCATGGTGGAAGTCAATGGGATGATAGATGAGAGGGGAAGGAAAAGGATGCGTTTGACAGCGAGGCTGGTGGGGTGGGATGAAGTGGGAAAAGGATGTACGACTTATACGAAAGCCTGAGACCATATGCTACAATCTACTCACAGTATTCTGTTTTAGCGTTAGCACGTTGGGGTAGAGCACAGAATTCAGCCGCTGCACTCGGACGTGAACCAAGGAACTAAGTGTCGCAAGGCTAAGACAAAAAGCGTCATGATACGATCTGAGCAGAAACTTTTCTGTCTCATATCGAGGTGGAAGAATCAACACTAACAGTTGCATCAAGCTGAGCCGCATGTCTTAAACGGTTCCTGCGGTGCAGCCGTAATAATAAGCGACCGGCCTTCTTATTGGATCATTACACTGGACGTTTCATCTCAGGGATGCTCATTGGGTAGTACCTATGCGGCTGAGGGTACATGCGTTACGGGATTCGCTACCACTATACGGGAGTCGCTCAACAGAATTACGGAGAATCGCAGCCATAGATAGGTAGGGAAGGATCGCAGGGTAGGGAAATTGTCAATGAATAAAATCAACCACAAAGTTTTAACATACAGTGAATAAGCGCTGGAATATGCTGGCTGTAGGCGGTGTTTAATCTCTGTCTGTGGTGGTTCAGACTCAGATGCTCATTTTTGGGGGTCAAGTTTTGGCGCGCATACCGTTGTGCCTGGGTGGTTACAAATGCAAGTTCGGTTCTACCAGATCGGGCCCGTCCTTCCGGTTCAAGTACCCATGTTGTGTGCATCTGGATGCAAGGTGGAGATGTGAAGCCACACTTTAGGCAAGGGGCACACCAACATCCAGAACCCACGTTCCCATGCTCTTTACGAATAAATCTGTCTGGCCACTCACTACACTCGTACTTTGTCTTAATAATTTACAAATGCGGCTCCCAATTCCATCCTTCAATATTCCTGTGTACGGGTAACTAAATGCTTGCAGTGTGTGGATCATCTTCCTGCTGGATTCTGTACTCCTTAAATTTAATGCTGTGGCCTCCCTGGAAGGATCTACTTCTAGCCTTACAGAATGAAAACGGCCTTGAAGAAGTTAGCGCTGCCGATTTCGCTGTACCACATCTCCGTTGCACGATGTAACCACCCCGGAGGAACCCATTCATATTTTCTATAAAAGCAAAATAGTAACACTAAGGCATCCCAGCACTACCCATTTCTTTATGCCGCACCGCCATCATACGAACTTGCCTTCCTCAAAGGATCTATCTTGGCTTCTACAAAAGCAAAACAGTGGCATGATGTCGCACGCACGTCAGCGCTGCCCATCCTTTTGTACCTGATAACCATCGCGCGATGGGTCTGCTTGGTCCCCTGCACGGACCTGGGACCATGAGTACGAGACCAAGCTAAAGTTCTAACACGATCTCAGGCAACGCGAATGGCTCTCGTGCAGTATATATGGGAGCGTTCTCTACGACTTTCTTGCTCAGATCAAACACAAGCTTCCTCAGCCGACACACACTGCAGTCTGCCAGCTCACGAAATTCATCATGCTCCCTACGAATGCTCTCGTAGTCTTCTCCATGGTGGCGGCGCTCGCCTTTGGAGCTCCACAGGTGGCCGGCTCGATTCCAGAAGGGGCGGAGGCGAGCGGTGAGGTGATCACCGTGACTTTGTTCATGAATCCAAACTGGGAGGAGCCCTCGCAAGGATTTACTTACAATATTGATGGTCACCAGTGCTGTGAGTACCGCTGACACTTCGCCATCACTGTGGATGAGCAGGCCATCAACTGATTATGTATTCAGATAACTTGGTCGGAACCGACTACAACGACCACGTCGGATCAATTCAGGTCCCATCTGGCTATCGCTGTCGTCTCTGGCAGTATGTTACCCGATCCTTGTTGCAGATCTCATGAAGCTAACTCTTGATGCAAATAGGTCCCACGATTGCAACCAAAAGAGCACTGGCGATATTTGGGCCCCTGGTGCACAAGAAGTTCGTACCGACATTGGCCTCTCTAGCTTCAAGTGCTACAGAAACTAGATCTTCTGATCTAAACGACGTCGCAAGAGATTCCGCTCACTACACTGTCGTAAGTCAATCAAAGTAGAAACTAGAGACTACTCTACGTTGTTTGCAAAGCACTGAACGGAAATTCAGATTCCCATTTCCGGTTGTGTCCCTCTTCAAATATCGTTTCTCAAATTTCAAGTAGGCAGAATGAACAACTGTCATTCCCTCAAACCCACAATTGATGCATTGATTCCTCATTGAAATGCCTATGCCCCAACTTGACTTAGAGGACGGCGTGCCTCCTCCTTCGAGTAAACTCTCGACAACACATGAGATTGAACACCACTGTTTTATAGTAAGCTACACTCTCTACTCCAATACCGCTGTACAGAACTCACGCTCTGCTTCTTTCCATCTCTTCATGTAGACTTGACCAACCCCCAAGCGACGCGCTACTCCATCTTTTTGACTGATCAGCATGACGTTGATCCTCGCTGGAGTATCATCAGTAGTCACAAAGAATGGTCGATGCAATTCTCGACCCTGATTAGTGAAACTGACTTCTGCCTCATGCATCGCCCAGGAATCGCAATGGTTTCTGTGGTCGCCAGCCATGTTGTTAGTCCGGTAGTCCATACTATCCATGCTTCTAATCCCCTTTCTCTCCACCCAGCCATCAATATTTTCCTTCTCCTGCTTTCCCCCAGTCCGGGGCTCCCAAGTTCCGTCATCACGCCTTCGCGTATTCATGTTGAGCTCCTTTGCTGTAGCCCAGATCGTGTCGTAGTCGGAAGTGATTGAGAGAGCTTGACAGTCCATCTCCAACCGGACGCCGGCTTGAATCGAGTTGAAGTGCATGTCTGCGATGGACTTGGTGAGGCCAATGAGTCCCATCCATCTGCCCTGAGGCGACCATAAAGCAAATACCAGCTTGAAGGCAATAGTGCTCAGGTACTCTAGCTCAAGTGAAGCGCGTTGAGTAAAGACAAGGATTCTCCCCGGTTTGGCCCATGCTTTCTTCTTGTCTTCCGTCGAGAATGAGGAGAGGAATACTGGCTCTGGGTTTCCGGAATGATACACTCCTCTTTCCGTGGAAGGACTTCGTAAATACTCACTCCCGATGCCCCAAATAGTCCCCATCAAATCGCCCTCGAATGGTCCACGATGACGATCGCTAGGATCAGATGTGAAGTATTCCCTTTTGAAAAACCCTTCTTTCCAAGCCAAGTTCATGGCGTTCACATACCACCCAGCATGCGACTGGAATAAACTACGACAACGATCATTGGAGTATTCTAACATGAAAGGCGCAAAGGGAACCGGTATAAGTGCACCAGAAGGGCCTGGGAATGCCCAAGAAGCCAATGAGGCGCAGATGCCAACCATTGTTTTTACCCACGGGGGTCTGTATGTTACTGGGCCATGGAATGAGCACCAGGCCCAGCTGGGAAAGGTCTGCTTGCCGAAATTGTCCGGGGGTCTGACCTCCCTGTTCCACTGCGCAGGCTGCCAAAGGATTGCATCGTCGAAAAGAAGTAGAGGGATGCCGTATATGATATCTCGACCACAATGTAGTCGTCTCGCTGCGCCATTGAACGCATGCAGAATGTCTGTATGCAGTGTTAAGGAGCGTCGAGTGTACTCTTTTACACCAGCAAAGTAGTTTGCTGATATTTCGCCTATGGCCCCGTAGCTGCTTCGACGTTCTGAGTACGTGGACCCCCAGTTATGGGATACAGAAAAAACACCGTGGTCAGTGAAGAACATAGCCGTGTTGGCACAGATGTGCTCCTGAAAAGTCCATCCTCGACTGTTCCACGTAGTCTTAGCCAAGATAGTGCCTAAGCTGGGAAACGGTGCCCTCAATTCCAGCTCTTCCCACCTGAGTACTGGATGGCGGTGGTCTCTGTGTCTGCTAATACCTGCAATTCCATCTCTTGCACTCCCTCCAGAAGCTGCCACAATCGTTATACGGGATGACTCGTAAATTTGGTCCATGCCGTTGATCTGATCGTCTTTGTTGTATTCATTGCTTTGATCATCTTGTACAATACAGAGTCGATCGACCCATAGATAATGAAAACCGAGCTTTTTGCAGGCTTTTATGGCGTCCCTGATGGTTCCTGGAAGGTGAAATTTGGAAAGCATTCCGGGTTTTTTTAGGAGCTCGATGTTGTCCTTCGTTGCCTGCAGTTCTTCGTGACTTTCGATTAATCCTCCCCAAACGTAGCTTAATGTAACATATTCGGAAGGATTTAAAGGCTCAACAAGACATCGTCTTTCTAGGTCGATGACTCTGAATCCAACGGGAAGCCCTGAGACCCGACCTAGTGGAAGAGACCAACTCCTCACCGTGTGCCAATTGACATTTTTGCGAAGTTGCTTGTGCGGTTTGAATGAGGCACTCTCAGTAGCTTGGACTGCAATGGTACTTTTGACCCTATGCCCACCATGATCACCCGTGAGTAAAATCTCAAAATCGCCCTCATAGAAGGGTTTCTGGATTTCGAGTTTTCGTACAGGGTATTGCAAGGTGCCCCGAAAGAGCCGACAGAGTTCACAATCACTTCCCGGCTTTTGTGCAAAATGATTGCTGACGTCAAGCTTGACGTAAGGGGTCTGTTCTATCCCGTAGCACCCATTTTCCTCAGGGGGTATTTCGATACTCGGAAAAATACATCGAAACCAATGCCCGAGGCGTAGATGTTTGCAAAAGTCGCAGGCGGCATTGGGGTACGAATTGTGTACTTGACAATTGGTGCATTGATCGTGGAAAGCTTTCGAAGCGAATTCGTGCTCCGAATCGCGTGGCGGGAGGGGGTGAATTATTTCCACGGTGAGCATCGAGCAGTGCAAGCACGAGTCGTCATCGGAGCACCACCACCCTTCCGATTGTGCGCTTCCATCGAATATGAAAGACTGGTCCATAGCTGTACCTGCCTTGGAAGCGAGGGACCGGGACGAGATGCATCAGAGTTGAAAACGTAATGAGTAACGGGGCTGGCAGAAGCAGCTGAGGCTATCCATAGAGGTTGGTGAGACAGCAAAGTTTCGTGTTTTCAAGAGTGAAGAAGTGGATCGCTGTGACACGTGTCCGTGAAGGTGGGGCTGTGTCGAAGACCGACATGGTGGCTGGTGGATCACGACTGACGAGTACGATAGGCACGGCAACTACCTCATACGGCGGATGACTAAGTAGAGCAAGAGGTTGATTGCCGTAGCATGCGCACAGGTGCTAACATGGGTACTGTTGTGTACATAGTTGAGTCCAGTCTATAAAATAGGTCTTCATCGTAGCATTTAAGCCCTCGAAAGGTAGAGAGCTAGTGTAAAGTGTAGAAATATCTTTACGGCTATATTAAAGTCAGCGTCCGCTGGGTCTGTGCGGCGTGTACATACATAGAAAGTCAGGATTCGAATCATTCTGCAGTCGGCTGCTTGCCAAGCCCTGCACTAGAGTATCCATAAAATACGGAAAGGCCATGGCAAATCAGCGCAAAGCCGGCAATAATGGTAACGATCAGGGCAGTCTTAAACAAGTCAGCGCCGATGCCTTTTCGGGGACCAGAGCAACATTCATACCTCCCAATTGTCGGACGCCCACCCCCCTTGTGCCCACACACCATGCCAAAGCATTAGCAGCAGTCCACTAAGGAAGCACAATATTCCGAATCTTAGCATCATGACCGGGATTTGCCAGATGAAAAGCTGGATTAGACGCGGCCGTTGTCCTGCGCCTAGTATGTTTCTCAGGCGGCTTAGATAGGCCGGATGACAGTTGAGGCGATAGAGCATGATGCTTTGTTGGGTGGCAGTTGCTACGCAAGCCAAAATGAATATCAAAGCTGCGTACCACAAAGCGAGCACCGGCCATATAATCTGGTTCCTCTCAGCCACTGGCCAGCTGAATGCGCTGGCGCAGAGACTTGCGAGGAAGGCACTCTGGAAACACTGTTAGACCGGAAATGAATTTTTAGACATATGCATCTTACAGTTAAGCCAACAAATCTGAGTTCCTCGAGTTTGGACTCGTGCCATTTCCGTGTCAGATCGTCCTGGTCGTTTTCGGGATCGAGAAGTTCGTGAATTGGCTCCCAAGCAGCTATTAGTGGGCTAGCCAGCTCCCCCAACATAGATTGAACGCGGGGTATGGGCATCCTGCGGAGTATTGAAGATCCTGAAAGCAGGTCAAGGATTCATTAATTTTGTGCCGAGCGCAGATGGAAAGTACCGGTCTTTGGTCTTTAAAACTACATCCTCAACTGACCACGCGGCAGTAGGAGCTCAAAATAGAACCGGAAACGCTCACGGCTAAAGCGGCAGTGAAAAGAGAAATTAAAGAAGACAGCTTCCGTGAACGCAGCCAGGCATCATTCATTGCCTTACCCCCGCATATTTGTGTGGGGGCGAAGCTGACAGCGAGGCGAACAGGAACGTGATCGCTGATTGGCCGCTATTTCGAGGGGCAAGTCCTCGCAGCCCTAGTGGGGCTTGTGAAACGTTCCAATCAAGGATTCGTGGCAGTGCAACTGAATGCAGCAGCCAATACTGGTCAAGTGGTCTGATTTTCCCAGCTTTGTCTTTGCACGTTTAAACGCCATAGAGATCGCAGATACTCACAGATGCAGAGCTTTGAAGTCATGCCGTTTTTTCGACGCAAGAAGCAGGGACCCAGTGCCCCACAATCTGCAACATCCGCTGTATCTTCTGCTAATTCGGTACCTCGGTCTGGTTTCACATTCGTTGATAACTCTAAAGGAGCTTTGGAAGCTATACAAGAAGTATCGGAGAAATTGGACGAGGCCTTGATTGAGCTCGAGTGCCAAGGTCAGAATAAGCGGCCTCCATCCCTGCACTTGGGGCTGACAGCTCTGCAGGTACACTAAGGGACCAGCTGAAGCAGTGTCAGGAACAACTTGATGAGGCAGCCAGTTACTACGCCAACTCATCTTTAGATTGTTGCTCCTCGAAAGAGATTTGGCCTTGGTAAGTAAACCCTACGACTTTCGACTCTTCATGTATTGACAATAGTTAGCGATCGCACAAAATCTGACATTCTCTCAATCGCTTGGAAATGTGCAGCCGGGTCATACGATCCTTCATGTCCCATGCAAACGAAAGACTACGACCTCCGTCCATGCCGTGCGATTAAACCGTCTCTGGACGGGACCATCAAAAGCACAGTCATGACAATTGTCGAACCTTCTGGCTCGTCTGTCCAACCCGCGGCAAGATTCCCCCTTCTGGTGGTAGCGGTGAGGGGTTCTGGAAGCGTCGTCGATCACATGGTGAATTTGAACATTTCACCACGTTCGACAGAAGACTTCATTTCTCCAGAGCTGGAAGCCCATGCAGGATTCCTTGCCGGTGCAAGGGTTTTGGAGAGCGAAATAACCAAGACCATAAATCAAGCTTTCCACGCAGGTGGAATAAAGGAGGTCCTGTTCACCGGCCACTCTGCAGGTGCAGCAGTGGCTTCCATCCTCTTTATGCACTACCGCGTGCATGGACTCAATGGTAAGCTCTTGGTGATTGATATTTGAGAAACCAAAACGCTTACAAACTATAGGCCTGCCCATCAAATTTTCATCCATCACGTTCGGTGGACCACCCGCATTAAGGCAAACACGTCTGGAAAAGGAATGGATCCCTGAGTCTGGAGAGCTTTGGCTCAATATCGTCAATGAGTACGACGTTATTGGTCGAGCGGACAAGGCTTACATTCTTTCCTTGGTGGATCTTTTGCGCTCTGTGTACGGAAAGCTTCCACTTGAGAATACAAGCGGGATTTCCCTAGACTCGCAGAACAGCGGCACTTTGAACTACTGGACCCTTCGAGAATCCGATTACCGCCACTATGGGGATATGATCATTCTTCAAGTGTCTCAAGAATGGCCAAGTCTAAGTGGAGAGAGCGTGCTCACCAACGATGGGCTCAGCGTGTCTACTTGGAAAGTATCTTGGGCTGACTACTCCCAACTCCTCTTCACGAGAGTCAGAGTGCATGCCCGCACGTTCTACGAGCGGAATGTTGGAATGATTGCGGAGAAATTTCTTCTGTGCGAGGAGGATCCAGATACGGAGGGAAGGAAATTTTCATTCGGCTAACTAAGGTACCACTTCTGATCAATTCAAATGTGTTCTTTGCTCATGATGGAAGAACCGTTCTGGCGAGTTATCTCGGCCGCCCTGTAAGAGGATACGAGCGTGGCAACTTTTCTTGCGACTTCCGTTCTTTTTTTCCGGTCCATCTTTTGGCCACTTCCTTTGGCGGTTTCGAGTTCTGAGAGAATAGTTTCGCAATCCCAGCAAAAGCAGCGCAAATATTCGCTGCCATAGTTCAGTCGAAATAATTGCGCCGTCTTCCCCTCTCCTCCTTTAAGGACCGTTGGCCCGACTTTGTCATTGTGATCGATGAAGGTACCCGTCAGCCTCTCCATGTCTGTTTGATAAGCCGCGCCGGCACACTGGTGTGTGTGCCAAACCAGATCAATGTCGATTGTCGGGACGAGCATAACGTCGGGGTATTTCTTCAGGAGCTTCACGAACTTGTCGTACCTTGAGATGGCCCGTCGAAGAGTTCCATGGACAGCCGGGCTGCGGATCCACAAGGTCTGTTCCATTTTTTCCACGAACTTGTACTGTCTGTCAACAGCGGCAGCAATGTCCACCACAGTCTGCTCGTATCCGCCCGCTACCAAATTGGTCTGTAGAAAGGCTGCAACAGCGTTACCTACGGGAAGCTGAGGCTCGGTAGTCTCCAGTACCGATTTGTTGATGGAAGGAAGCCAGGTGGAGATATGGTGGAAGATATAATCACGATCTGCCGAGTTGAAGAGGCCTAACAGATCATACGGAAGCGCTGACTCCGCTTCAAATGAGGATCGCTCTTTCGTCCTTTGAAGTCCCATTTCCTCGGCTTGGATTGCGACATGCTTGAATCCAGTCAGAATATTGGATTGCAACAGCTGTTGGATGATGACTTACGATGTCCCTCCACGGAAATGCAAGGCTTCGAAGCTGTTCGCATTGTCGGCTAGAGCAAAGTTTGGAGAAATACACCGGGTTCAAAAGACATGCTTGCCAAACCATCAAGATGTCTATTGGCCTGTTATCATTATATTCTCAATTCAAGGTCTCTCACACGCTTGCTTACCTGGTGGGGGAACGTTTCCCACCTGCATCCATTTCAAAAACCTGAGCACAGCAAGACGAAGATAGATATTCCATCGTCGGGTCCTCACGTCCTGGGATGTTTGTGCATCAAAGCAGATAGTTGTGGCAGACTGGACGGCCTCCCGAAGACGGTGGATGGAATGCAGCAACTCGAGGTGAATTGCGCACTCCGGGACAGTTGGGAAGGCAAGCGCCTCGGCTGAAATGGCCGGGTTCGCGTCTGGTTCGAAGATCTCTGGAGACGGGATTTGCGGTGTTTCGGCAGGCATGCCGATCGTGCGACCGTGCCGAACAGCCCGCGCCGCTCGATGGCTAGTGTCATGAAGCCGGGAGTCAACGAAGAAAGCCATTTTCGATGAAGGCCGGTGGTTTGAAACGCATGATTCTCCCGCTCAGTTATTTCTGCTCAGAGAAAGCGGCCATGACACTTACGTAAATGTTACCACGCGTGTCTTGATTTCGCTACACGAGGAGTGCAGGGGCATTTAGGCAGCAGCGCAGGCATCTAAGCATGCATGCATGAGCGTAGACAGGCAGCAATGCACTTGCCATACAGGGTTGCAATCAACCATCTATCGACGATCCTTGCGGCACCCGTAATCCAGTAGAGTCATTTTTCTTTCGTTTCTCCCCAAGGCACAACTTTCCACATCACCGCTTTACACACAATGCCCAGTTTTCGGTCGCCAGGAAACATATCCGAAGTCAACGAAATCAAAAGCTCCAACTGGGAAGCAGTGGGAAATACCCGATCAGCCCTGAAAGAGCAGCTTGGTAACTTGTACTGGAATGGCGTGAGGCAGGAGCTGAAAGTGATCTTGTTCACTTTGAAGAAGTTGCAGGAGCCTGACTCCAAAAGAGTGCTTGAGAGAGAACAGGAGACCCTCAGCGATGACACACCCTTTGGCTTTGAGACATTTGTCGACCAAGTGTCTTTGGAGTCTCGCAAACTTGCTTATTCCTACGGTATTCAGCAACCTACACGACGCTACTATATTTATGTGCTAACAAACGATCATAGGGAAACAAACAGAACGTTATGAATCCAAGGAAAAGCTATTGTCGACCTACGAAGACGCAATTTACCACAAAATCTCGAGCGAGAATGCGAAACAAAGATCCAGCAATTTGAACACTGCCATCAAATCATCAGTGCTGGAGAATGACAAGAAAGACGTTCTGACCCCTATCGAACGCTATGCAAGATCTCTTCTACGGACAGCTGGTAGGCTCATTCCTTTTCATTCTTAGAGCTGCAGCGTCTGACGTGTGGAAAGGCTTCCTTGACATGGAAAAGGTCATCGAACATCGACCGACGCTGGAGAAGTTCAAGTTCTGGAATAGGAAGGCCGTTCCTCAAAGTAACTCGAATCATGAGGCGTTTTTGACTCGTTTCATACTGACATGGAGCAGTGGCTTTTACCGGCTTGACAACCAACATGAACCCCATCTTCGAGCCTCTCAAGTGTGACGAGTGCAATCAAACAATCTATGGTAGCATGTTCAAGAAGAAGGAAAACAACGACAAAACGACTATTTCCGTGTGTGAAGACTGCTACAGAACAAAGCATTACGGCGACCTGTCGTATGCAAAGAAGTATCAGCACTGTCCGTTCGCTGAAGGCATAGATGCTGCAACCAGTCGGGCACTATGCACGTGTCCCGAAGTACCACACTCTGACGACAAGGGAGAGCCCAGAGCATTGTTCCCAGTAGATCCCAGGGAGCGGCATATTGAGTCTGGACCTCAGGCCTGTGGCCTGTTACGTCTGACTGAGAGCCTCGCTAGAGCAAAATATGCCACTATTCGCAGAGACCGTATCGGCCTCGCTAGTACAAGTGCTATGAGGATATTTCGCGATTTGAGGCCCAAAAAGAATAAGAAAAAGCAAGCTGACGATGATGACTGGTTAGACGATCTCGAAGAAGAGTCAGAAGTCAGCATGCCAAGCAGCACATATGGCGTTGCTGATCTTGAGAGAGGAGAGGAAGAGATCCCATTCTACCTACGGCATTACACCAAAAAGTATCCATTCGGAAACGTCCACATGGCGTTACGGATTGGTCCTCTCACTATTGAGAACGGTGTGGCAAAGTAAGTCCTACGACTTGTCTCCCAGGTACATCAACGCTGACACGGCTTAGCACGAAGGGAGGAGCTTTGATCAGTCTGCGAGATCCTCCGCGACTGTTAGCGGTAGAGGAGCCCAAATCTCAACGACTGATCGCTATAAGCCCCAGCTTACCGCGAACCATCTACACCCAGACAAAGGACAAACGAGCATGGGTGCCAAAACGAATCAAAGCAGTGATGAAGCAGGTCATTGGTTCACCGTTTTCGGGACTGTCTGATGGCAAGAAAGAGCTGCAAGTCATCCAAGAACTGGTTCGTGCCAGCCAGCTGAAAACTCTTGGCGACCCCAGTCTCTCTAGAGCAGAACAGAATAAGCTGGTGGAACGAATCCTCGGTCATTTGCTCGGACGCTTGAAGGAATTGTTCAGGGACAGGCTTGACACATACCTGAGCGATTTGACAATGAAACTCTTCCATCCCGGCACGAAGATCCAATGGAACGCAAGAGAGAACAACTGCCAGAACTTCTGCGACGCGCTGATCAACCGCCGCCGTCTCGGTCTCCTAATCGACCAGAACGTCGGAACAAAAAAGCCCCCCCTCTACCTAATGAGCTTCGTCTGCCGCAAGGAGGCCTACCCAGTCGCCCGCGTGCAAACCAAACTCGACGTCCCCAGCGGCCTGACAGAAGAATACCTCCTGAAGTTCCGCTTCGGCCTCCACCAGGACTCAGACATCGTCGACAGCCTGCACGAGTACTGGACCGACTGGGGCGCCTTCGGCACGCACCTCTACCCCTTCCAAGACCTCTTCCCCTGGGACTGCAGCGAGGCCTTCGGCCGCCACCCGGTCCCCTGCTCGCGCTGCACCATCTCCAAGCACGTCTGGGCCTTCCCCTACGACTCGTGGTCCATCATCTCCCTCCACCTCAGCCGCGACCGCTTCCTATACGCCCCTTCTCCCTCCACCCCCGACGACGCCGACGACGACTCCGCCTGGCACCACAACCGCCTCACCCTCCTCGCCGCCACCGACGCCCTCACCGCCTCCGCCGCCGCCATGGCCAGAAACAAGGGCTTCCGCCGCGCGACAGCGTGGACTGCACACGACTTCAACGCCTCGTTCGACCGCGTGCGCCTGGGCGGCATCCACCGCGCGCAGCCGTGGAGCAGGCCGTTCGTGCGCGGCGCGTACAACCACTTCTTCGTCGCCGAGTGGGCGCATCTGCGTCGTCAGGACCAGGTCGCGGCGTACGAGATGCTGCGTGATTTTCGCATGGAGATGCTGGATGTGGGCGTGACGAGGGCGGATGCGGCGAGGAGGAGGGCGGGGACGGGGGCGCGGGGAGGGAGAGGGTTTGTGGGGGGTGGGGCGCTGGTGTGTGGTGCGGGTGGGGCGGCGGGGGCGGGGGCGGGGGCGGGGGTAGCGGTGGATTTGGGGGCGGGGTGTGGGAATGCGTGTTTGGATGATGGGGCCGCTGTTTGTGCGGCTTGTGGTGGTGGTGGTGGTGGTGGTGGGACGGGCGGCGCTGCGTGCGTGGGAGGAGGAGGAGGGGGTGTAGGCGGTTCGAATGTCGATACGGGGTTTTGTGCGGCGGGGATGTGCAACGGTTTTGGGGGCTGTACTGGCGCAGGGGTTAGCTGTAGTAGTGGTGGCGGAAGCGGTGGAGGTGGCGGCTGTGGTGGCGGTGGCGGAGGAGCCGGATGTGGTGGTGGTGGAGGCGGCGGAGGTGGTGGAGGTGGTTGTGGAGGAGGCGGAGGAGGCTCTTGATCTTGGAGTTGAACATGGAATATCACACCTTGCCATGCGAGGTAGTTCTTTCAACCATTTGTTTTCTTAAATTTCCACCCATACGTCTCCATGTGCTTAAAGCAGATGGGCTTACGAGTAGGTTTACGCATAGAGAGAACAGCAAATGCCCCATAGTTAGTCAATGCCTCTTGACGAACAAAGTAGCATCTAAACAGCTTAACCTAACTACGGATCATCGGTAATCTAACCCGCCTTCCATCGCCACACTAGGGCTACCCACACCGAACGACTACTTCTTCATTCATTGCCCTTAGCTCGCCCAAATCTTCTTCTCATTTTACCTTTATTTTCCCCCTTTAAGGCCTACTTTCACATACGCAGCGCGTCAATCCTTTTAGTACCTATCCCTAAATACAATTATGTTCTCTATCAGTTTCATTTTATTGCCATCAATATGACCTATTAGTATCTGTGAAGGGTACTTCAGAGTTCGCGGCTCGATTGACACTTTATACATGGTGGAACGTGACTCTTTCTGGTAGCACACCATGTATGGGGCATTCATTTGTAACAAAAGATTGTAGTACTACGTTATTAAGAGAAACGTATAACTTCGACATGCGATATTTGCAAGCCATGGTGCTTGTTGAAGTCTAAATGGTTTTGTATGTAAAGTGTATGGCTAGCGGGGGATGCACTCTCCAGGTGTTTGTACTACTACATAGGTGTGACACGCAATTTAGCCAAGGCTGGGCGCAGTCCTGAAGATGCGGCAGGGGATAAATTTTACAGCGGCATCGACAACAACAACGCTCCACTCAAAGTCTGTTTGTCAGTCGGACTAGGATCCAAACCCACACCACGCGTCAAGTCACCTGCTTTCCATCAATACCTTCGTCTCCTGCGTTTGCAAACACCGATACATCTCGACCACCGCGCCTTCTCACCGAATATCTCAGGACGACACATCCTTTGCCTATCACACGTAAACACACACGTCGCTCCTAACCCCCCACCGCCACCATATTCTGCAAAATATCAAAGAACTCCGGATACCGGGTGCTCCACAGCTCTGAGCCATGCCTTCTGACTCGGACTCGATCCTCCCCGCCCTTTGCCTGACCATTTATGCCCTTTACGCTGGCGCCAAGGGTGGACCCATCACGACTATGGTGCGTATCGCACTGCTCATCAAGCCGTCACTTTTTCAGAAACGTTTGCCGCTGGACCCTCGGGGTGCGGTTCAGCAGCATTGGAAAGAGCAAGACGAGCGGTGGCTCAGGGGTCTGTGGCACATGGACAAGGAACAGAGGCAGCGTGAGGAGTACGCTCGATGGTGGAGGTCGACGTGGGGGGAGAGGTTGTTGCGGGCGGTGGAGAGGTGGGAGGGCGTAGGATGAGGAGGGGAGGGGCCAGGGAGGGGTGCAGCAGGGGGAAGAATCGGACATGGCTTCGTGCGTGCTTTCTCTCTAAATTTGCTTTCGTAGTGAGTGTTCTTGTCATTGTCTGTGGGTGGATGTATTCTATTATTCTATCATTCTACACAATCTCCACCTCTTCTTCTATGAAATTCTGAAACATAAAGCTGGGGGGCGAATTCCAATCAGGTCGTTCTTCCGTGTAGATGCCAACTCTGCGGTATTGATTGCTGTCCGCACCAGTGTGCTGCAGAACCAGGGCAACATCCCGAACAATAAGCGGGTCAAGGCACGGCTTGTACCGGACCCGTTTGATCAAGATGCACATCAGGTTGTCTGTGGGCTTGGTAATGGGAAGATCTGGCTGGAAAGCACATGCGACCTTTCTCCGTTTGATGACATTGTTGTGGTGGTTGGAAAAGTAGTAGGGCAGGGGGGAATGTGGTCCGTTGTATGGTAAGTAAAATAGTCTGGGACGCTCTGTTTCGGAGATTGGCCTGTCAGGCTCTAGGTTGAAGCCACAGATACGGAAGTTGACCCAATGTGGACGTGCCCGGCATTTTTGAAAGGGTCCTCGAATGCGCACTGACGGCGGCGTGGGGTGCTGTGCCATAAGCGTGTGGAGCCCAATGAAGGGTGTTGGCGGGGGAGACGCAAGAAGCGTTGCCGAGTATAGCTTCTCAATGTCTCTGACTGGCCTGTCTGTTCCCGGTTTTGGTTCGTGGATAAAGGAGGTTTTGTCCTTTGTGCCGGCCCAAGACCAGCTAGGGCCCACAGGGATGGAAACAGAGACTCGGTCCTCGTTCTCGGTCGGCTCTGGCCCCATACCCTGTTGCTGTGCCTCCGATAGGTCGACCTCCCAGAGCAATTCGTCTAGAAGAAATGGTAGCCAGAGCCCAAAAGACGCTTCTATTTTCAATTTTTTCTGAGCGATAGATGCCACTCCGGCGATTGCTGCGAGCTTGTCATCAGCATGGCTGAGATTGGTCTGTGAATAGGACTTGATCACATTGGCCCACAAAGGTCGGAACTGCTCTATCGCATTGCCCGATAATGGATTTGTCTCCAACGAGCTAATCTTGATGTAAGTTTGCTTGATCGGGATGTACTGGAGCCGAGCTGGAAAATGTGGCCTCTCAAAGTCTGGTTCGTAAGCGCAAACGACGCCTTTCCTGCACTCCCAATGGATCTCGTCTCTACCAAAGAACAAAGTACGAGGGGAAAGCATGCGTTCTTGATAAACCCATCCACGGGAGTCCAGCGGGCAACGACCCGGAACGTTATCACGGGTCAAACAGGACTTATTGGCCCTGAGCAACACAGTGCAGTTGCTGTCCTGAGAAACGAGAGAGTCCATACGCCTCAACGGCAAGACATCCTGAAAACAACCTCCATCGCTATCTTCGGAGTATGCGGCCGCTATAGTAAACGTCGAGCCAGCGTAGACTGCCTCCATCCGTGGTGCTTCAGTGTTGAAATCGCCATCAGGGCCTTGAATGATGCAGAGTGCGTCAATCCAGAGGTAACGTACGCCGAGATTCCGGCAGATCGTCGCCGCATCTTTCATCGTTTTAGGAAGCGTAACCCAATCGATCCGAACACGGAAATAGTCGATGTTGGTTGTTCGGAGCATGACAGACTTGAGTCCACCCCAGCGGTAACTGAGTGTGACGTACTGATCGTTGCCAGTATCCGCTCCGTTGACCAATCTGATGTCCTGTGATCCGCGGAATGCGCTGAGATCTAACAGCCGGGTTGGTCTTCCAATTTCGCTGCTCAAGGCCACTTTGCAATCTTCGTGGCTTGATTGGCACTTCTGCCACCATTTCTTAATTGCTGTGTATGTCGCGCCGTCTCCAGTCGACAGTTGCGTGGCGAGATTCTTCTCATCTAGATAGTCATCCTTCTTCTCAACGATGCTCGCGCATTCTAAGTTCCTCGATGTCGCAGTCTTCTGGTGACGGTGCAACGTAACAGAGTGCGTCGTGTGACCAGACGCGTCGTGCAACGTAAGATCGAATCGCGTACATCCACCACAAGGCTCCTGCCGACTCTGAGCCGGCCTTACGAACAGTGGTCGGGGTGTTTCGATCCATTTTTCCCGAGTGGCGTTCGTTATTTTGCCAACAAACATGGAGCAAAGGTGGCAGCCGTTTCGAGCGGATTCGAAAAGAGCGTGAATATCGGATGTATGGCCATAATCGGTCTGCGGGGAGCCGTCGAAATGCACCTGCAGCTTTTGAAGAACATCGTTGCAGTGCTGACAAAATTGATTTGGCTTCGCCGATACAGCCTTTGTGTTCCAGAGATAAAAGTATTTGTAAATCCACCATATGAGCGAGAACGCGATCATCAAGATCGACTCTAAGCCCATTAGAGACATTGCGAGACGATACGTGGAAGCAGGACAAAGAATAAGAATCTAGAAGAAAATAAATGCAGTCTTTTGTGCAAGAGATGTTTACATTTTATCTTCGATGTCCTAAGCGCTGGCCGGCGATGAGTCTTGCCACCAGCTGCTGATCAGCAGAGGTTAGCCGCTCGTCTCACGCAGGGGTCCCAGTTCGTCCCGCATGCAAGCGCAAGCGCTTTATCTTGGCAAATTGATCAAGCGGGCCCAAAAATACCCGCTTGCAAGCCACTTGATTGATCGCTCGTCAAGCCGTTCGCGCTTGCTGGGACCCCTGCTCGTGTGGCCCGAGCGACTACAATTCGGGCCGTTGCGGCGCGTACGTACATGTAGTGTTTGACTGTATTCCCTCACCATTTCAAAAACTGCAATCTGCAGGCTTATCAGATGAGAGAGATTGGTCAGGAGATTGTAGGATGCAGACAACCTGGGCCTATGGACGCGAGGCTGATTGCGGGGCACACAGCCTTCTTCGAACAGCCTTGCGTGGCTGCCTAGCCCCCTCTAACGTTTCACTCTTGCGGACTTCAATCACGCTCGATTTTCGCATTGCATCTGACTATGTCCAAACATCGCTGTTATGGCAGATCCGGTGTCCTTACTGGGGACTCTCCCCGCGCTGGTAACCCTGCCAGCTGTAACCCTCCAGGCGGTTCAAACAATACAAAACTTCTCCAAATCATTGAAAAATGCAACTATTGACGTACAGCAGCTCTTAAATGAAGTGGAGATGATTCAAACGCTCTTACAAAACATTCGTGCGCAATGCGATCAAGCCGCACCTCAAGGTTTTGAGCACAACGATCTGCAGGATTTGCTGCAAGTCATTGGCCTGCTGAACGAGCGTATGGAAGCACCGCTGAAGGAATTACGAGAGCTTCGAGAGAATATGAAGAAGCCATCACGGACGAGTTTCAATATTACATCTCGCATACGGAAATATCTTTCTGAAGGCGAGGTCAAAGACCATCTGGATCATCTTTTGCGGTTGGTGGTTACTCTCCAGCTGATCTATCTGAAAACCGATGCGTAAGCTACAAAGGACCTAGTTTTTGACAGCGTCTAACAGGGATGGCAGAATACGCATGCAGCAGCTTCATGAAAAGACCGATGCCATTCAGCAAGGTGTTCATCTACTCACCCAACGCCTTCCAAATCCAAATGCTTCGACTAGCACCGTTCCGCAGCCATCGGCAACAAACCTCCAAAAGGAAGTATCATTGGACACCCGCTCTGATAGAATCTTTCCAAGGAGGACTCGGAAGAGGTCCAAGTGCATACAAGGCCTGTGCGGATGTCTGTGTCATCGCATCAGCAACTACCAACGTAACTGGCTTGTATCGGGCCAGAATGCCTGTCTTGTTGCTTGCGGTTGCGCAGACCGAAAATACCAATGGACTGTATCACTATTCGGCAGGTTGATCACGTTCAAAGCTGGATTCCGAGACAATGGCGAAACTTCGATTGGCTGGAGTATCAGCCCCTCAAATACCGTGCCCCGCACGTCACCCGGCTTTGTGGTGATTGAGAGATGCAAAGCAGGGGCTTTGATGGCCTCAGAAGCTTCCCGAGACTTGAGGGTTCTCCTTTCGTCCGGGGTCATCTCAGCCAAGGACCGGAATCCTGATGGAAAAGGCTACATAGATGTAAGCAGGGATAGACTCTTTTCGAAAAGGAAGACTAAGCAGCAAGTAGTTCCTACTCCGTGGTCCCTGGCTTGGCGATGTTGGCAGTCAAATCGAGCTTCTGGAGACACTCACGCAGGAAGACTGCGTATGGGAGAGCGACAAGTAAGCTTGCCCCTGTAATTAAAAAGTTCATCCTGCTGACTTTTATTTCCTTCGTGATAGGCTTTTGAGGTGCCTCCTGCGCTGGGTGGGAGAAGGACCATACATTCATCTCCTGAAAACCATGCTTAGGTTGTTCGATTTTACTCAGGGATTTCAGCCGGAGACTATGATCGAATGGCCAGATCCAATCAGCTCAGATTTAATGAGTGTATTCGCGTACCCCGATCTACTTTTCATCGAAGTCATTGCAAAGTTGGTAGCAGAAGATCCAGGTGAGCAAAATATTTCCAGCTCCTAATCTTAGAGCTAACTTGATCAGACTTCGGTGGAACCACCCTCCTGCATGCTGCAATTTTGTGCAATGATTTTGACCGAGTTGAAAAACTCCTCCATCCAGTGCCTCCATCTGATCTCTTCGCCAGAAACTTTCGCGGCCAGTCTGCTCTCCATCTTGCCGTTTGCAACCCGCGAATAGTCAGCCTGCTGCTTAGGTCTGGCTATTCTTCCAATGTAAATCCCACAGACGAGTATGGGATGACACCGTTGACATACGCTGCGGCCTATGGAATCATCGAAACCACGAAGGTTTTGCTGAAGGCCGGGGCAAACCCATTTCGCCACGAGGAGATTAGCAACATGTCAATGTGGCATTACGCGTTATTCTGTCAGCCGACTGAATTCATTCAAGAGGTCATTGAGTTTTGCATGACCGCCAGCTCTCAAATGGCAAACTACGCAATCGAATTATGCCTTATGATTCGCATGGGACACCGCTTTGCGGTACAAGGGGATATTTACTGCAGCACCCTGGAGTACCTACTTCGAACCCGTTCTACGCAGCGAATACCCTTCATGGCGGACCATTCACTGCTTCATTTCTGTACAGACACCTATAAAGCCCGACTGTTGTTGACGTATGGCTGTGATGACATCAATCAACAAAATGGCCGAGGGTACACTCCCGCGATGGTTCTAAGTCGGCTCTCTGCACCAGGGGATGTTCTTCGAATGTTGGTTGAGCAAAAAGCTGATGTGAGACTCCTGGACAATCACAGGATGAGCGCAATTCACCATCTCAACGCGTCCACGGTATTCGGTCCCCACTACGGCGCATCTAACAAAGAGGAATTGATCGATTGGCTCAACGCAACTGCTGTGCTCCTATCGGCAGGTGGCGACATGAGCCAAGGCGACAGTTGCTCCTGTCCTTGCTCCTCCACTGGATGCTCACCGATACGGGGCCTCTTCTGGGAATCGGATGACGTTTGGAATGTCTGGGAGCTCTTTCGCCATCGGAAGAAGAGACCACTGGAGGCTATACCAAGGATAGTGGAGTTCTTTCTGGTCCTGAAGAACTCTGGAGAGCAGAAAGCAATCGTTCAAGCCATATTGGATATTCATCGCTACCAGACATTCGAAGAATGGGGCATGACACACACGTGTTGTATCCACGATGGAGGCTGGTACTATGAAGGGCCGAGGCCTCAAGTTGACTTCCACTGTCCGAAAGAAGACTATCACATGGAGCAAGGCAAATGCAATGTTGCGAAATCGAAGGAGTGGGATTCGGAGTTCGTTGAAATTACCAACGAGCAAGAAGAGTTGGCGCGACTTCTGGACGAGACATGTGCCCACTATGCCGCGATGTTAAACGATGCTATCGAAGATCGTTTGCTTGAGCTCTTGGCACGTCGGGCTGTTTTACTTGAATATCAACTTGAGAGGGATTTAGCAAAAGAGAGAAGAGAATCCCGCCGTAACAGACGCAAAGTTAGACCCGAGGTGGGTCGATTCCCCCAAATTAAATTTTGGATCGACTTCCACTAACAGATACCCTATTCAAGCTTCCTCCGAAAGAATTGCTGATAATGGTAAGTACGAAAAGTCAGAGGGGTTGACGAGCTCATTATAATCGTGTCTTAGGAATTCCCATTACATTACATCGACAAAAAGGAGGATAGGTTCGTCCAGTCGATGGACTGTTCTGGATTCTATGGCTCTATTGGGAGCGGTATTGAGTGCAAGTACGAGTATCACCACGACACTTTTCTTGACTACTTCTCTACCGACTTGCAAACTTACCCATACATGGGCGGCCAAACGAGACAGGCGTGGGATACTGAGAGGAAGACCCTGCTGTCGAACTTATATCAAAAGGTTCTGCGTTTCCGCAGTATTCCACCGGAGAAAAGAGGATGGGACGTGGATTTGATATAAGTGGGTGGTTTGAGAAGATCCGACAGAAGTTGGTTGGAAAGTAACCCCATTTCCAAGTTCCAATTCATGAAACCTCTCTATTGTTAATTGTCATTGCCGCAATATATTGCTCCTTTTTCGTTATTCTTCCTCGACTATAACGCAATGCATCTATTTTCATATTGTACTGCTGTGGCAGTGGAGCGCGGCCGCCGCCGGCAGGGCACGTGACCTCTTGGTGATATAAGCGCTGGTGGGCAGCTAGTCGACCGACAGGTAGACCAAACTGGCGTACTCTTTTGCCCGGTGACAGAGTGACAGCTGCCCGTTGCTCCCATCACACTGCCTCTTTAGAAGACTTGTGTAATCAGCTCATTAAGTGCTCCTTAGTTCATTAGACGGATACCGCGAAAATTTTCGAGGATTATAATGAGTGCCACTTTGACAAGTTCCTTCACTGGTTAAGTTACTAATAGGTATTCTCGTGCAATTAGAACAGTCTGGTGCGTGTTAGACAATGTTATGATACTGGAAATTAGTTGAAGATCTTGGGGTAGTCATGTCGTATTGCCTCAGGTAAACACTAGAAACGAACCACCTCGTATTAGAGTTCAACTCTATCTTTATAATAATTACATTTAAGACCCTGACTGATTGAACATTTGGGTTTTGTTGGAGATTATGTCACACGTTTGCATTGGTCTACCAGGTAGCTAAATATCCTCTTACAAGCATTTCATTCTTCCCTGATTCATGCTGCCCATAGAACACCTGTGGGCTTCCACTAATTATCCATAGCGTGTAGAGCCATTGCCTTTTTAATACACTGCTGCCATTGATGGTTCGATTCCCTGCTCATCGATCATCCTGTCGACCCGCTGCATCTCAAAGTCTGCCTCGGCCTGAACTTCTGGCAGAGCCTGAATAGCGCAATGAGGCACAGTATATGAGCCGCTGAAGCTCATAAAGCGACCATCCCGGTAACTCGGGGGAGAATTGTTGTTTGGAAAGATCCCAATACGATGCAATGTCCGCATGCCGTCGTACATCTGAAGTGTGTCTGGCTGGCCTTCGTCATCGATGGGGTCAATGAGCTGCTTCACGAGCGCTCGGAGAGGTTTCCCTTCATCCTCTTCATCGCTTCGCCAGTCCAAGTCGGGGTACTTCTCGCTCAAACTCTCTTCGTCCTCGGCAGAAAGATGCAGGTAACCATAACACTGGGCTGCAAGGACTGCCTTTTCTCCTCCCTGTGTTTGCTTAGGGAGAAACTCTCGGAGGGCCTCTTCGTACTCTTCCGGGATGGTGTCATTGTAAAATTCGTTGATGCGACCGTAAGCGCGGCACTCTGCGTAAAACGGATCGCAGTGCATCTCGACGATCTCGTTGGGAATTTCTTCGTCTATGGGCGTTTCGAATTCCTTGCGTGCCTCCGACACATTGAAATATTTGAACTAATGATTTAATTAGCAGAGTGAAATTGTACGAAAAGAAACAGAGATTTACCACTTTGAGAGCGAAAGGCTGCGAGTTGATTTTGACTTTGAAGACATTCCCTTCGTTCGAACCATCCAGTTGCTCTTCGAATTCGATTTCCGGATTTGGGTCAACGTATGGGTGCATTTTCGGACCCTCGCACGATGGTAGAAGCTCGTTTTGTTGCATTGTTTCTTGATCGAAGTACTATTTTCGTCTGGTTCTTGGATTTGTCTTGAGTGCTATGTGCTCCGGTCTTGATATATGTGACGGTATACAGTTCAGCTCACCAAGGACGAGCTGGGCAGTGGAGCACCATGGGGCAGGGCGCTTGTCAAACATCGTGTGAACAGGCGGGGATCAATGTCGCGTAGCCCTATCAAGGAAGTTCCCCCCACTTTTCGCTAAGACTACGCGCTATTGGATGTGCCGCGCTTAAATACAGACCAATCGCCTGCTCTAAACGTGTCTACAGGCGCGATTGATCTTACAGCCTAACGAATTGTTAAATCATAAAACGATGTTGATCCCCTTCTTGACACTAAAAAGAAGATCCATAATTATCATCGTAGAAGCTCGCTGGCTGATTTAAAAATCTTGAAACTCACTACACCGTGATGAGCGTTGCCTTATCCGTATTCGAACATTATCGCGCGCCTACATGCTCAGTGGTCAGTGCGCTGCGGCACAGCAAGCGCCTTGATGACACGCAATGCATATCCTCTCCTTAGCCTGGGCGCCTCACCACCTTAGGCATCAACATTGAAATTCGGTCGTCTGTCAACCCACATGTAGCTGCATCTTCTCACTTACTAGCTGGGTGGGTTGAATAGACTAGACGCCGAGCTTCGCAGCACTCGCTATACTCGACATACACTCCATTCCCGAACACTACCGGTCGCTTTCGAAACCCGCCATCTCGTATGCGAAGCGCCCAAGGGAACTCAAAAGCGCCTTGGCCATGAAGATCGTATTCACATCGTTCGCGACTGTTTTGCACAGGCGCTTGCTAGTGGGGACATTTCTCGCAAGCTCTTTCCGCATTGGGCAGCCGTCTACAAAGATCAGGCGTGAAAATCGGGGCAGCCTGCTGCCTTGAAGACCATCGTCTTAGGACATACCAAAACGAGCATCGGATGGAAGCCAAGCGAGAATTGACTGGGAGAAATCGATTTTGTCGTGGGCGAACGACTGAATTGGTTCAATCCACTGGCTCAGATATTTCCCTGATGAATCAGGCTTGAAGTGCGATAGAAGCGCCGGAGTTTGGATTCTGTTGATGAAGGCGCTTAATGTTCTTCAGTTCCGCTTATCGCGATTACTTCGCACTAGTGTCCTATCTCTGAACAATAAATCTTGCTGAATATTAGAATAGATCGTGATTGTACTACGGTATGCGAGGCGGGTGATGGTCAGGGAATGGATCCAGCATGATGACTGTAAAAGGGTTGCAGCTATTCAGCTAGGCCCGACACTCGATCAGACTGTGGTATACAACTATAGGTATTCAATAAAAAACGAAGATCCGAAGCAATATTTAAACACCGGAAGACCCATTGTCGACATAAACCCTCGTAGCATCAACCCCAAACCTCCTCTTCCCAGTCTCCCCATCTCCTCCACCCGCACCCTCCTCCCCCTCACCCCACCACCCCATCCTAAACACCCACCCCTTGAAAAGCTCTTCTCTCCTCCTCCCCCCTCGCTCTTCCTCCCTCAACTCCTCCACCACCACCCTGTCCCGCCACACCTCTCCATCCGCAAACAAACTCATCTTCGCCGCAATGCTCCCCGGGTCCTTAGGCAAAATGCGCGTCTTCCCCTCCAACACGCACGCCACGGCACCGCACACCAGCATCGCCGCCAACAGCCCCTCCAAGATACGCGTCGAGACGGTATTCTGCACGAGCCGCATCCGCGCGCCATCCACAACCGTCCCATTAATCGGCTCAGCAGCGAACCGCGCCGCAGCCCCGTCATCCCTGTCATCCCCGCCATCACCGTCGAGCGTGCTCCGGCGATAATACGTATGCAGCACCTGCGCGATATAAATCCCATACAGCTCCTCCAGCCTCCCCCTAAATCCGTCCACATTCTCCCTCCCCACAAACTCCCTCAGCGGCATCCCCCCCGTGCCGTTAACCAGCAGTGACAAAAACTGCCCCACATCATTCCACGGCCTTGCCGTCGCGTTCGGAGCCGCGGACATGAAGACCGCGGAATCCTCATCCGGCACGACCGCTGCTTCGTCCTCTTCCCCCTCCCCAACGACGACTTCGACCCCCGGCAGCGAGAAGTTCGTCGCCACGACGAGCGCCTCGATGTACGGCGTGCAGTGGAGGAGAGAGAGCGAGTCGTGCGTCCCGTTCTCCCGGCGGTGCCCCGACAGGTACCAGAAGTGGCTGCGGTCGTCGCCGCAAACGGCGGCTGGGATGAGGTCTTCGGAGGCGATGCCGGACGAGTAGAGCATGCCGTACTCGGTCAGGTCGTTGACGAAGTAGCCGTCGGCGTCGATGGTGGTGGGTGGGGAGGCGAGGGAGAAGCGGAGTTGGCGGTCGGTGCCGTTCGTGTTGTTGGCGTCGGAGGTGGTGGTAGTGGTGAGGAGAGGCGGCGGGTGGCACCCCGCGGGCGGGTCGACGGTGATGTATTGGGTGCGGGCGGAGTCGTTGAGGTGGGGGAAGTAGTGGGTTAGGGTGCAGTTCATGTTGGCGCGGGCGGCGGGGAGGCGGGCGGCGGCCAGGGTGAGGGCGGTGTCGTTGTCGTTGCTGCCGTGGATGGCGGCGGGGTTGAAGGTGGAGAAGGCGTATTGGCCGTGCGTCCATTGCGGGTAGGTCATGTTGGTGTATTCGATCAGGGAGAGGAAGTCGTAGTCGCCGCCGAGGCTGACGTCGCGAACTTTGCCGTCGCCGATGTGGAACCAGCCTGTGACGTCCAGTGCGATGTCGTGGCGCCATGGAACGGGGGTGGGCGTGTATAGGCCGCTGGTGACGATGGTCAGGGCTGGTGCCATCAGCGCGGTGAGCATGGATGCCAGGAGCGCGATCTGACGTTTCCTCGTAGCGTGAACTACTGCTGCCAGTGTGAGCTGGGAGGCTGGATCGTATAACATTTCCTTGAAGGTCGCGTTCCCTTTTCTGAGTAGTTGGAACGGGTGTAGCAACCTAGCCGTGGCGTCCGCTGCGGCGAAAGTCAACCCGATCGTTGCCATGACTAGTGTTGGAATGTAAGTCCAAGTATATTTCTGATATCCATCAATGACAACATTTGCGATTCCTTGGTTCTTTTTTGATATCTGAGACAGAACCTCGAGCACAACAATGACGGCTACTGTCGTTGCGAAGAGCGCAATCCGGAACCAGGTGGCTGCTGTAAGGGGCCGCCACCACTTTGACTGATCGGTATTATCCTTGATGGGCTGGGACGGCGTACTATCATCCGAAGTGTCCCTTGTTGTGGGCGTGACAGCCACAGCTGGATCATTTGCTGTTCTCGGAGTCGTGAAAGAAGCACTATATCCGCGAAGGCGGGCCTCAAGAGTTTCATTTGGTGTAAGTCCCCCACCCGCGAGAATACTTCTGAGAGGCTGGCTCTTTGCTAAAATCAAAGCATGAGAGCCGACCGGGCCTGGGTCGCGGTAAAGGACACCGGGGAAGAGAAGGTACAGTGCAATGCTTAATAGCGCAAGCAACGCAAGGAGAGCCTCCATTAGCCGCAAGGACAGCTCCTGGATACAAAGCCGACTTTTGGTTGATGTGGCGATTCCCTGCAAGGTCTGATTGGACGGGCTCACGTGCTCCATTCGCACGGAGAAGGCAGCAAAAGCAGTCCAAACCTTCTGTGAAAGTTCTGTGACCAGGGTCGTGTTTGCCCAATCTGAAATTGCCCTTCGTGGCTCCGTTAAATTCAGCAAATTATACCATTGATATCGATCAAAGATGCCGGTTATAGCAGTGTTGTATGTGCTCAGTTCATACTGAATGCTGTCCAAAATGTCCTGGGTGATGTTGCTGGGCTGTTTTCCCAGGTCCAGAACTTCGTTAGCCGTCGTGGGGACGCGAAGGAGATCCTCACTTCGTGAAACATCTGTGACGTTCGTGACTGTTCGGCGGGTGAGTGAATAGGTGGGCTCGCATAGGGCACCGGAGATTCTTCTGCTCTTTTCAGGATAGCCGGTTTCCAGGCCAATGAGTAGACGATGTTCCATGCCAGGCCTCTCTACAAATGTCTCGTTCGAGCATTCATAAAGAATGCCCAGCTGGCTTTTCAGAAAAAAGAATGTGCCTTGGGCTGCTAAAGATTCGGCTGTTGGGTTGAATGTCCCGAACACCGATTTTCGAGACGAGAAACACCATTGCTTGAACATATCTTGATAACGATCAGGAAGTACCGACTCCAGGGCAGTATCGTTGTCGGGAGGGCTGTTGGAAAATGAATACTCGAAATCGAACGTCTCGCAATTTTCCAGTCTGGACTGAAAGACTTGGACATCAGCTGCTACGGTGTCGTAGGAACCTGAAAGATGTGAGCTCCGACCCAACTTTTTATGCATCAGTACTACGCACCACCTTCAGACAGTTTAAAAGTCTGGACTGCAAACTCAGAAGTTACGCCGCGAGGGAGTGGTAAGTCGTGAGCTCTAGTGCCCCAGAAATACAAGGCAGTGTCGACAGGTTGTTGTGGGGTACCCGTGACAATATCCACTTGTTTTCCCAGATCCAGGCTGTCAAGGACAATAATCTCTTTGTCGTGGGTAATTGGTCTATACTCCAGGCTAAAAAGCCCAGTGGAGAAGACAATCAGAAGCCGCAGGAGTAAGGACCCTGAGATCCCGATACTAACGGGAAAATGGCGTCTCTTGATTGACCGTAACAAAGACTCCGGATTCGTCGACATCAGATAGTTCAGCAGCAGAGGGTGTTTTGTAGATGATTTCCCAAGGCTCATCAACGCCCATGGCATGAGCTGCTTCGTTCGATACTCGACTTGTGCCCAGAAAGCAGCCAGGATGGTGAGAACTATATTTACGTCAGATACAGTTAAACAGGGCCTTAACTTAGTCATTATTCCAGGTAGGCTACGTACCAAATGTGGGACCGTAAGTCCATAAGTAATGCAAGTTTTGTGACGTTGTGGTCAACCCTTTGTCCCGTTCCGATACATAGTAAAGAGCCTCCAGCGCTGCAATCATCAGGGCAAATACGAAAGCTTGGCCAAACAAAAATGGCGCCCTCAGGTAGAAGGGTGTCCATCTCGGTTGGTTCACCCAAGTATCGCTACCATTAACCATTTCGAACTTTTGCTGAGGAGTCTTGTCAGACGAACTTCCTGAATGATGTGCGAGTGCTGAATCGTGCTGGCTGTGAGGGTCATTTTCACGTCCCACAGCAGCAATACCTAGAAGCGGAGAGTGTTGGTTCTGGCCATTTTCCGACGCGTTTTCGTCATCATTTAGAGCATAATTCGAAACCCTCGTTTTTGGTTTAGTAGAATGCGCTCTGCTGACTGATCTCCTTCCGGCGGTATTATTGGGGTCGAATCGAGGAACGTGTTGAGGGGTGTCAGGGCCAGCAGGCAACGTGACGTTTTCGTGATTGCTGTCGAGACTTATCCGAACGAAGTCGTCCGGCCGACGAGAATTTAGGAAATGTTCCCGCTCCTCCATGTTGAGAACTGTACAGACCAGACCTAAGAATATAGGATAAGAATGTCCCCATGAGGGGGCCTGAGTTGATGAGAATCAGACGCGCGGGTGGAGGAGCCACGTTTAGTATTGTAGGATTCAAGCTACAACCTTGTCTGTGTTTCATCCGCCATGCAGAAGCGAAGCCGGGAGTGGTCCGATATTTCTGCTGTCAGCCCCGCTGCATTGGTCGGCGAGGGAAAGAGATCTGCAGGAGTTCAAGGCTGAAGGAAGCGATTGGGGGCCACGAGTTCAAATATAGGAACAAACAACGCGGCAACCGTGCATTTTATGGATCCATGGCCCGGCGGTGCGGACTAGCCCCCACACGATTAAATCTAATGGCAACTTTGGAGTCTTGAATGAAACACAGCATACGAGACGCAGATTTGATCAACCTGGCCGTCCGGTCAGTGCCCAAATATTTGTAGGCAACCACAGCATACTAGAATCTGCAGCTATTGAGCGGTGAAGGTCGGTTTCCCGAAGTTCTACGTAACTCGAACTTCTTGCCTCTGTATAATATAATTTACTCCACCCGCTAGAAGAATACATACACGCCTCGAATCTACGATCTACCCATTTTTCTTTTTCTTTTCATGAAGCCTTAATAGCTGTATTAGCTATAAACGTACTGTTGTATTACGGTTTAAAGTAGGTGAGACTTAAGCTTAAAGTAGCTAGCGCGCTGAAGTTAAAGATGTCATGGTGATGCATGTAACGACTCGGAGGCTAAACATACAAGAGAGATGAAATTAACTCCAGAAGTTCCATATTTCGATTCTTCAAGTCTAGGGTAGGACAACGGGCTGGTGAAGACTGCTGTGGGCCGAAGACGCAGCAAGCTCCAAGGCCAATACAAGTAACTGTGACCGGGATAAAATGGCTGAGATCCACACAACACAGTCGGAGTCAGCACAAAGCACAACCACGGGAACGAGGAACGAAAGAAGCAGCAAACGTCACAGTTGAAGCGGAATGATGTAGAGCAAGTATATTATTTTTTTTTTGGTTACAGAGCTGGAGAAGGGACTCAGTACACAGACTCGGCTCGGACTAAAGATGGGCTGTAAAGCAACGCCAACTTAGGAGCTAAAATATGAATCTTTTTTAAAGGAAAGGCCGCGGAGTCAAGCAAGCAATGGACTGCCATAGTCTAAGCAGGGGTTGCCAATGCTCTTGGAGAAATGCTGGCTTTTTTCCGGTGCTATGTTTTTAGAGTTCCAGCAGGAAGCGGGCAAGGAGAGGTCATTTGTTGAGACAGACAAGAACTTGGCCCGAGCAATGGAACCAACCACAGCAAAGCGTCCATGCACGCCACGGTCGCCATGGGCGGTTCTGGGCCTGAAATAAGGAAGATGCCGCGCGGTTTACCTGAGACGGTTCCTTGTCCGCGGAGGAGGTCATAGCTCAAGTCCGATACGCAATACCGCCCTCGCCAAGACTTCTGTTGTTCCCAAATTAGTCGAAGCTGTTTTCCATGTCTGGACCTGGATTCCTTGAGGGCGAGGATTTGCACGAAATCCATGTGCTCCAGGCCACACGCCGCCGTAACCTTCCGACCATCGCCCAACTCATCATTCACTCGTTGTTTCATGCATAATAATCATCCTGGATGATGCCGCCCCCGCACCCTACGCATCCCCGACGAGCTTCTTCACGCGTTCCAGCAGCACAGGGGCTTCCCTTCCCAGCCTCCTCTTGCCATCCTTGCCAGTCGCACGGGCCTTCGCCATCTGTTTCCTCATGCGCTCCCGCTGGGCTATTTTTTCCTGGCGCTCGCGCTCAGCTTCTTCCTGCGCTTTCCTGCGGGCCTCGGCCTCTTCCTTGCGCTTCTGTCCGATGGCAGCCTCCTTGCCGAAGGTCTTGGGCTTCTTCCTTTTCTCGCGCGGGCCGCGTTCTTTGCGGGCGGGCTTCGCTTCGGGCTCGGGCGACGGCTCGGGCTCGTCCAGCAGGGCCTGGCGCTCGGGATGCGGGTCGAGGGTGGGTTCCGGGGCGGGCGACTTGTCGTTTTCTTCTTCTTGTGCTTTGTCGTCTTTTGCTCCCTCTGCTTTCTCGTCGTTGTGGTTCTCGGTCTGGTTGGCGGCCTTCTGGGCCTGGCGCAGCTCGTTCTCGCGAATCTTTGCGTAGCGCTTCCTGACCTTGGCCTTGTAGATCAGGTCCTTCTTGATTTTCTTGACTTTTGTGGTGTCAGCATGCGGCGCGATGTGGTGTGCGAAGACGTGGCGGGCTGTTGCGGTGGCATACCCTTGCGTTTGTAGGTTCCGTCAGGTAGATTGGCGGGGCCGACGGAGAAGCCTTTGCGCGGGGCATTGTCGCTGCGCAACTTCTTGTTGGAGGACGGGCGGGCGTCGTGGTCGTCGCGTTGGCGCTTGCTGGCGGCCATGGTGTGCTGGCGTGTGGGATTAACGCGGAAAAGACGATAGGGCTGGGCGAGATGATGAAATTTCGTCTTGCCCTAGCGGCGCTAACGGGCAGAGTGGGCCGCAGCACAGGCGATCCCGCGGCGCCCCAGCTGTGCAAGCAGCAGACCCCAAGTGCGCCATCACGGTGCTCATCAGATAAGGACGCGTGCGCAGACTGGTGCGCGCTGCATGGGCGGCAGACGCTGGCGTGGCTGGGGGCGGGGACTCGTGATCGTGTGACTTGCAGCTTTGTCTTCCGTCATACCTCACGACGAAGAAGGGACCGAGAGGTGCGCCCACCGCCAATGCCAGCGGTTGCCCGCCCTGCTGCTATCGCCTCGCTCGCAACTCGAAGCCCGCATTTCGAGGCCGCTCCGAGGGCCCTGCGCGTTTCAATTTCCGCCTCTCCGCTCTGGCAGCTCTTACTCATCGCTCATCCACTCCGACGTCGCTCCATCCACCCGCACCGTAGCTAGCCAGCGCATACAAGCCCGACGACACAAAACGCCACTAACCGCTCTTCGCCCCGACCTAAGCGTCCAAATTCTTTTTTTGCTGGTTTGACGCCCTCAAGTGCCGCTCGTCCGTACGAGCCGCCATCCTCCCGACTATGCCCATGCCCATCTTTCACGACGACAACGACGACGACAGCCCGCTCCGCTACGACCGCCACCGCTTCCGCCATGCCCAGGACTTGTTGCGCGACCGGAGGGACCAGGTGTGGTCCGTCGACTACCTGCGGGGGCCTGGGGATGCCGAGTTATTCGGTTGGGACGACGGTGGCGACGACCACGACAGGCAGAGCACGCTGGATCGTGCAGCCCTGATCGAGCGCCTGAAGCGCAGCCAGAGTCCGCCGGTGCAGCATCACCATACCGTCAGTATACGCCCCGCGCGGCGCGACGAGCCCGGGACGCTGAGCGGGGACGTGCAGTCGACGGCCCCGCGAGAAGACCGCCCTAGGTCCCGCCAGGAGCCCGCTGCGCATGCGGAGGAGGAGAACAAGCAGAAGGACGATGGGGAAACGCAGGACAACACGGAGGCTGGCTTGTCGATCGAGCGGCCGCGGTCAGCGCTGCACTCGGGCGACTTTAGACAGGAACGCGATGCTGTGACGTACAATCATCAAGCAACCCTCTCCACCTCTCCGGTTGCGCCCTGGCACCATGCCTTTCCTCACGCTGCCCTGCCGCGCCAACAGCCCCAAGGCCCCGTCCAGACATGTCTCTCGCGCCAGCCCTCGCAGTCGTCGCTCCCCTCGAGCTTCGTGCTGCTCCCGCCGTCGAGCCCACTGGTGCAGCAGACGAACAACACGGACCTCGACTTCCACCGGCCCAGCTCGCGCCAGAGTGGCGACGCCAGCAGGCGTCACACCTTCTCGCCGCATTCCCTGCAGACCTACCACACGCCATCCGCCTATTCCCAGTTCCCGGGCCGGCCGCAGCCGTCGTTGCGCCGCGAGGGCACATTCCCGTACCAGGCCCACCAGCCGCGCCGCTCGCTGTCGTCGTTTTTCGGCCACCACTCGAACTCGACGCCGCAGTCGCCGCAGCTGCGCCCGCGCGGCCCGTCCATGACCGGCGGGTCGAGCGAGACGTCGCCGCTGCAGCATGCGCCCATGGTCGGCTCCTACGAGGAATCCATCTTGCGCGGGCGCATGTCGACGACGCCGTCGCGCCCGCTCAACTTTATCGCGCAAATCGGCGTGCTGGGGAAGGGCGACTGCAAGGCCAATTTGCGCTGCCCACCGCACGTGACGCTGCCATTCCCCGCCGTCTTCTACAGCTACAACAGCGGGAACGGCAGGATCGCTGATAACCAGCCCAGCCCATACGTGGGTTTGGTGGATTTGGAGAACAACCTTAAGCCCGCTGAGGAGCAAGAGGAAAAGCGCCGCCGGAGAAGACACGCTCGCTCTGACAATCCGGGCGACGGCGCAGAAGAGCAGCACGACCATCATTTCCACCATGAAACCGCCGCCTCCGCCGGCGACGCGCAGCAGCAGCGGACGGCGCACCGCAAGCGCGAGAAGATGAAGCGGCGCGCCACCTCGCCCAAATCCCCACCGGGCGGCAGCTACCGCATTCCGCCCAAGGGCCAGCTGCAAATCGTCATCAAGAACCCGAACAAAACGGCCGTCAAGCTGTTCCTCGTGCCCTACGACCTGAGCGACATGGAGCCGGGGCAGAAAACCTTCATCCGCCAGCGCAGCTACTCGGCGGGGCCTATCATCGACATGCCCCTCAACAAGCGCACCAACTTCGGCACCGACCGCCCCGAGGCCTCGCTCTCGACGTCCGAGGACCCCAACGACCGCCCGACCCTGCGCTATTTGATCCACTTGCACATCTGCTGCCCGGCGAAGGGCCGTTATTTCCTGTACAAGAGCATCCGCGTCGTCTTCGCTAACCGCGTGCCTGACGGCAAGGAAAAGCTCAGGAATGAGATTCAGCTGCCTGATCCCCGATACAGCGCATACAAGCCCGCCCGCGAGAACGGCGGCAACGGCCAGGGAAGCAGCAACAACCCGCAGGCGTCGCACAAGCCTCCGTCTATATCAGCGTCCGACAGGGCCCTCCGCCGCCGCAGCGCCGGCCTCTCACTCAGCCACGGCCATAGCCAGACGCACCACCACCACTACGACGCCTTCGACGGCCTGGATTTCGCCAGCAGCAGCCCGAGCAACGGAGGCTACCACCGTCATCATCTCCAGACGTACGCATCCTCGTTGACGGAGCCTATCGCGCCTATCCCGTTCAAGCTGTCGCGCGGCCGCCTCGAGGTCGTCGAGTCCCGCCCGGGTAGCCGGGATCAGATGGACGTCGATGGCGGTGGTGGTGGGGCGGCGTCTTCGTCCGTCCGGACGGGGTCGCTGTCGAGTAGCCAGGGTGGAACCGCGTCTTCGTTTGGTTCCGACCAGACGTGGGAGAAGCGCGCGGCTGGGTCGTTCTCGCCGCCGCCGTCGTATGCGGGGGCCGGACTGTTGGCGCAAAGGTTGAAAGGGTTGCAGACGAGTGCGGCAAGTCACGAGAAGGAGAAGGGGGATTGAGGGGGAGGTAGGTCGGATTGATCTGAGGTAGGTCTGAGTACGACACGTACGTTTTGATGAGGATTATCGCCTCGCTTCGCCCTCAACTTCGCCTTCGCTGGGTTGAACGATTATTGCTTTCTTTTTTCTTTTTCGACAACGACAAAAGTTTCGCGACTCCTTTTTCTTTCTTTCCAGCAACGGAAAAGTTTCGCGACTCTATTCTTTTTTCTTTCTTTTTCTCTCATTTACATTACTCCCAGTCGGTATGTACAGCGCATTGTCGGGAGTTTTTTGTGTGACGTCTCTTTCTTTCCAACGGGAAACGGTGTTCGGGCAAATTCATAGACTTACGATAGACCAATCGGCGTGTAGGGTGTGGGGCTTGGTGTACAAAGGGGTTTTGCGTTCTTTGTTGACAGAGCTTCTTTTTTGCTGTCTCTTTGGATAGGATGGGATGGGATCGGACGGATGGATTGATGAACTGGATAGCCCTCATCGGCTTCACCACACGCCTTTTTCCCCCCCCGCTTTTGGATATGGATGCGGCTCGGAGAAGGAATTACTCTCCTCTTTACTATCCCATTCTACATCAGACCGACCGTACCGTAATTGATTGGGAGGCGCATGTTGCCTCCTCTTTGTAAAAAGAAAGAAACGAAAGGCAGCTCAGCCCAGCTCGGCCCGACCCGGTCATTCGCCCGCGGCGGAAAAGCGTGTTGAACGATACACTCCGAGCGGACGGCGAGGCGCCAATGACAGGTAACAAACACTCTCAGTAGGGAGAAAGGGATTTACTCCAACATCGGTCGCGTCTTTAGTTACGAAAATTTCAAGTAAAGTCAAAAAAAAAATACCATATCACTACTTGTCCGCAGACCTCGGTCCGGCAGTTCTCTTTGTTCTTCAACCCCGCCTGTTCCTCCTGCAAAAAGTAAAAAGAAAAAAAGCATGCTTCCCCCCTGCCGTCATCATCGTATCACCGGCCCGGCCCGTTTTACCTCGAATACGATTACGCAAACGATAGTTCCCCACCACCTCGGAATATCCGAAGCGTGCTCTCGTCTTGGCGAAAATCGGAAAGAGGCAATTACCAAAAGCGACCCTCCAGCCCAAAAGCGACCTAAAGCGACCCGTCGTCCACTTATACAAGTCAATGCTCTCTTATCAGAATGTCTATTTCTTACTATAGTAGATATCTCTAGGCTTAGCTATTATTATTATAACAGAAAAGAAACAAGAATTCTAGTATTAGTCGTTTTTGGTAATTACCCCAATCGGAAACATGCCGGACGGTGACGTCGTTGGCGATATTGTTGTTTACGAATAATGCTGATGATTAGGACCATGGGGGAGGATATGGCCGAGCGAGCGAGCAGTCCGCCAATGCTTCGGGGATGTGGCGGAAGAGAGGTGTGTGTGTGTGTGTGCGTGCGTCGGCAGATGGCGCTCGCACTTCGGGACCACCATCACGGTATGTGTGCCTTGGATGTATTCCGTACTCCACCCCTCCCCCATCGAGTCACGAGCTTGCTGGGTCTCGGGGTATCGTACACCGGGTGTACAGCCAGTAAGAGGACCGGTCGAGGCCTTTACGAATTCGAGGTACGAACACGCAGCGATATGCCGCACCGGGATTCCCCACACTGAGACATATACTTTCCCCGCATATGGCGTTCTTTCGGCAAATGACATCTGGGGTGCATCCCCGATGCTGTGTTCCCCCGCGCACAGCCTTTCTTTTTCTTCGATCTAGCAGAATTGGGTAGTCAGGCGCACGGCAACTCCCTAGCTAAAGCTTGAGTAGGCAACGATGGCCGCCTTCGCCCCGAGCTCCGGCTCGGGCGACGATGCACCGAAGATGTGAGGTCGATCAGGGACGGAGTGCGGTGTTTTCTTTCGTTTTTTTCTTTTTGTTTCTTTCTTGCTGTTGTGTGCTCGGGCCTGCTTGTGGTATAAGAGCTGGAGGGGAGCTGTGGTGCAGATGAGGTGATGCTGCTGGCGCCTTTTTGACCAGTGCTTCAACGCTGCTTCTCGACACTTTACAATCCCTCAGCATTGCCTGATGCAGACGTGAGCATGCACGGCTCTAGTCTCCTCCCACCGGCCCTCGGGCTGCTCCCATACCTCGCAGCGCCCGCCGCGGCCAGCTTTGCGGAGCCAGAGGTCCAGTACAGGCCCAAGTTCCGATACTGGTACGTCATGGTGTCTTGAATGCACTTTTTTCTCCCCACCACTTCCAACTACCTTCTGCCTCGTCCCCCCCTATTCCTTCTCCCTCCCCTCTATCCCACCCTCCAATCGCAATCCCGCCCTTCGCCCACCAATCCCCTCCCACCCCCAACTGACCAACCCACCCCAACAGGCTCCCCGACGCCTCCATCCCCGCCACCACGCTCGCCGCCGACATCGCAGCCATCGCCTCCGTCGGCGCCGGCGGCCTCGAGCTGCTGGGGTACTACCAATACGGCCTGCCCGAAGCCGAGCAGGGCGTCGCGCCGCCGACGGACTGGACCAAATACGGCTTCGGCACGCCCGCCTTTAAAGAAATCTTCGTCGCCGCCCTCAACGCCGTCGCGGACGAAGGGTTAGTTATGGATTTCGCGCAAGGCGCGAATCAGGGGCAGGGCGTGCCGAGTGTCCCCGAGGAGGAGGGGTTGGCGGTTGAGTTGGCGTATTGGAATGTGAGTGTCGCGGCGGGAGGGACGTGGACGGGGGTGTTGGGGGAGAGTACGCAGCCGGTGAATTATTTTAGCAGTTTTATGCATAGTCCGGAGGAGTTTGGGGGGCAGGTGTTGAAGGCGGTGGTGGGGGTGGAGGTTTTGGGTGGTGAGTTTGGCTCCTTCCTTGTTGCGATTGCTGTTTTTTTTTCTTTCTGCGTCACAAACAGACGAGGCAAATGCTGACGTGGGCGGCGTATACAGTGTCCGAAGTCTCGGCCGGCGCGGGTAGCTTTGCGTACGCTTTCCCGGCGAACACGATTGGGCGGGTGGTTGACCTGACGGCGGAGGTCGACCCGAACACTAGACAGCTGAACTGGACGGCACCGGAGGGCGATAATGAATGGAGGATCATGGCCTGGTACGAGCGGTATACGAATCAGAAGAGCTGCTCTGGTGGGCTGAACGCGACGGAGTACCTCGGGAATGGCTCGTGGACTGTGGATCACTTCAGTGCTGCAGGTAAGTCGGTCATCACTAAGCCGGGTAACCTTTGAAATAATGGGCTATGTTCAGAGGACCATATTTACTGAATAGTTACTAACCCGTTATTTTGACAGGCTCCAAGAAGTTGACGGATTTTCTCGATGCACACCTCCTTGACGATGAGGAGACGAGGGAGCTCCTGGCTTCGGTGGGCAAGTATGGTAAGTATCCTTGACAGTAACAGATGGACCAAACTGACCGGTACGTAGGATGGGAGGATAGCATGGAAATGGTCTCGTCGCTTTGGTGGACACCAGAACTACCCTCCAGGTTCAACGAATCAAGGGGCTACGATATAACGCTTTGCTTGCCGTACCTCATCACGGCCGCCAACTATTGGAACGGCGCGGTCCTCCCGTATGGCGAAGGCTTCGTGGCTGAGAATGCCACTTTCGGCGACAAGTGCAATGAGGATTACAGGACGACACTGAACGAAGGCTACCAGGAGTACCTCGCTGCCTACGTGAATTGGACTCATGGTTTGGGTGTCGGGTACTCCGCACAGCCGGCGTACAATCTTCCGCTGAATATGGTATGATCTGCCTCAACCCCTCTTAATTTCCATAACTGACGTGGAGAAGCTTGACGATATCTCCATTCTCGACGCCCCCGAAGGAGAGTCTCTCGGATTCAGCAACATCATCGACACGTACCGCCAATTCTCCGGCCCCGCCCATCTCTCTGGCATTTCGGTCATCTCGTCGGAGTGCGGAGCACTCAGCGGTGCGCCCTACCAGCAAACCTTGAACGACCTTCTCTGGTCTGTAAGACGTGGGCTAGCCACCGGCATCTCGATGCATGTCCTCCACGGCTTTGCGTACTCCGGCCCTTATACAAACACTACCTGGCCGTCTTACACAACCTTTACCTATCGGTTCAGCGAGATGTGGAACCAGCATCAGCCCAGTTGGCTTCATATCAACGAGTCGATTCACTACATCTCCAGAAACCAGTACGTGTCTCAAACCGGCACACCAAGTGTAGATCTCGCTTTCTACCTGTACGAGGCGCCATGGACAGTCAGCGCGAAGTACGAAGACAGCAACCTGGAGACACTCGGCTACACGTATGAATACCTTTCCGCCAACAACCTCCAAGAACCTGAGGCTGTTGTGGAGGACGGCATCCTTGCTCCAAGCAGGCAATCCTTCAAAGCCCTCATCTTCTCCAACGCCTCCGCCATCACCCCCGGCGGCGCAGCTCAAGTCCAGGAGTTCGCCCAAGCCGGCCTCCCCATCTTCTTCGTCGGCGCCACCACAAACCTCACCAGCATCGGCCAAGAGCCCGGCGCCGCCGCCGAGGTATCCTCCACAATCGCCTCCATCCTCTCCAGCGGCCTCGCCAACGTCCACACCGTCGCCACCGCCGCCGACCTCCCCGCCGCCCTCGCCAGCGCCGGCATCCAGCCCCGCGTGTCTTTCGCCAACGCCACGTCCTGGTACTCGTTCTGGCGGCGCGGCGGCAACGACGGCCTCGACCACGTCTACCTCTACAACGACGCCGCCGAGGCGCAGACGGTCGACGTAACCTTCGCCACGACTGGCACGCCGTACGTCTTCGACGCCTGGACCGGAGCCGTCGCGCCTGTCTTGCAGTACGAGACGACGACGGACTCGTCCACGATCATCCCCATCACCCTCGCCTCCAACCAAACCACCATCATCGCCTTCGCGCCCGCGAACGCTACGGCCGATGCGCTCCCCGCCGCGCCGGCGACCCACGTCACCGCCGCGACAGGCGGCCTGGCGCGCCTCACGTCCTCAGACTCCGGCTCGGGAATAGCGGCCTACCTCACCGGCCCCGCCTCCCTAACCCTCTCGTCCGGCCAGACCGTCAACCTTACCGCCTCCCCTCCCCCCGCCACGACGCTGGCCGCCTGGGACATCGCCATCGCGGACTGGCACCGCACGGCCGACGCGTTCAGCATGGACACCGCCATCACCTGGCACAACTACACGAACACCACGCTGGCGCCGTGGACGGAGTTGGACGACGGCGCGCTGGTCGGCGTGAGCGGCGTCGGGACGTATCGGACGACGTTCGCGACGCCTGCGGGAGATAGCCTCGGTGCCATTCTCTCTCTCGGCCCCGTCGCGAACTCGATGCGCGCGTGGGTCAACGGGGTGAGTGTGGGGCCGCTAGATGTGGCTGGCGCGGTGGCGGATGTGTCGGCGCTTGTGCGGGCGGGCGAGGGGGAGGTAAATGAGGTGGTGGTTGAGGTGACGACGACGCTGTTTAACCGCATCAAGGCGGATGGGAATGCGACGTGGAGCGTCGGCGTGACGGCGAATGAGGAGAATGATGCGTATTATGAGGTTAATGCGGCGAAGGAGTATGGGTTGTTGGGGCCGGTGGTGGTGGAGTGGGTGGGGGTTGTGGGGGTTGTTTGATGACGGTTCCTTTGGTATTGTAGTAGATGATGTGTAGCTGGTTCGTCCGTCTGGACATGTGTGAATAAACACACCTGGATGAGGGCTTCAACTGAAATGGCTTCTTATGAAATATGGAAATCTTTAGTTTAATGACTGTGGAATTGATCTCCTTCCTAATCTACTATCCCTTCCAGACCTTGACCAGCAGGCATATGTGTAGCGCCTGCTGAAAAAGGGGTAAGACTTTACGGTTGATATAATCCGAGAAGAAGTGGCTGGGTAGCGGCCCCGATATGTTCAGTATTAGTATCGAGAAACTGGGGAATCGTGGAGAAATACTACGGAATGCGATTAGAGTTGGTGTAAGAAGTTGTAGTTGAAAATGCTCAATTGTGATACGAGTCCTGAGACGAATCTCTGTCCTCTCTGACTGTGCAATCTATCTGCTATATATACGTATTTCCTTATGCTTATGTCTGGGCTAACGAGTTTCGTACTCTCTGGCTTTTAGCATGTGACGTTGTGTTTCTTTGGTTCTCATAGTGTGCCAGTGAGGCGGGGGGAGTTAGTTTCTGACAGTTGGGGGGAGCAGACGAACTGGTGAGCAACCCTCAATAAATGTCAAACGGTCGGTTCGCTACACACATTTCTGCACTGTCATGCGCGTTGAAAAATTGGTGTCTTGGCCATGCGCGCTGGGCCACGAACAGGCACAGTAACCTACGAAACGACGCCACAGCTCGCTTCGGCATCCAAACAGCCATCTGCCCGCAGCAAGGGTCTAAAAATTTTCTGCTCTTTGCAGCCGAGCGCATGTCCCATAAATAAGGAACCCAATGCTCTTTCGGTTTCCCAGACGTGCACCACTTTCCCATGGCGCTGCAATGCTGAGTGTGCTGCGCACGAACGCTATCACCAGGCTGAATTTCAGCCTTGTTCGAAACTTCAAAGCATAAATCTAGACCCAGTCCAGCCTTCGATCCGCTTCAGTCTGAGCCTTTGACTTTTATTTCCCAAATGGAAGCCATCGGTACTGCAGTGGGTCTGGCTTGCGCCGTCGGCTCCGTCAGCAAAGTAATAGCTAACTTCATTCACACCGTGCGGCTCGCGGACCGCGACGCATACCTTACGCAAAGGGAACTCGCTACTTTGGACCACCTCCTTATACAATTCGATCAACTGGTATCTTCTCGCGATTCTCAGGCCGCAAAGCTCAATGAACAAACGGGTCTACAACATCCTGTAATTAGCCAGGGAGAGCACCTCATGGGAGAGATGGAGCGCGTACTCAACAAGATTGGCATGATGGATAAAGACAGTCTGCGGACGAGGTGGCAGCGATGGGTTAGTAGATTTCGATGGTATATCAAGAAGAAGGAAGTCCTGGAGCTGTGCGTTCAGTTCAACCAAGTTAAGGTGTCAGTAATGGCGTTTGTGAGTATGGTAGGATTGGAGTCTGTTCGGGAAGAGCTTAGAGACGTGCGCGATAAGTTGAGAAAGCTGTCTCAGGAACAGCCCCCGGGATTTGAGCAAATGGTTGCAGAACTGCACCAAATCCGCAAGCAGCTGAAATGCCGTGTGTAAGTATTACCCCGTCAGTCCATGTGAAAGTGTCACACATTGAAATATTTCACAGCGAGGCTTTGTACATCGAAGCGTCAGCGGCACGAGCAGCATGCAAAATGGCGGCATGGGAAGTTCAACAGCAGAGCCTCTTGCCCCTAGCTCGAGACTTATCGAAAGAGCTAGATCGATGTGTGCGCAGAGTATCAAAAATACTCATCACCAACGAATCCGAAAACAGCTCAGGGAGGCAGCACCGACGTTCAACATCGCGCCGCACTCAAAAGCGCCCTTCATCAGCCAGCAGACACCCAGCAGATAGTAGCGAAAATGATGTAGGAGAATCAGCGGAAGCCCCGACAGAGCTACCTCACGGGCAAGGGGCATATGTTAATGCGCAAGATCCACAAGATCGACGACGAAGGTTGCCTGATGGGAGACTATCAGAGAGATGAGTGTTTCACCAATCCTCTACTATTCATGCCAAATTGAGACTCTTTTTTACTATATGGGTATTGGTAAACCCTTTCTATTTATTAACTTGAAAACGCCTACTCCACTTAAACACATTTTTGGACCTGACTCGTATAGTTGGCGCTATATATTCACCCTTCTATCGATAGATACCTAATAGAAGCAAATCAAAAGAGGCTTTATCTTCTTTTTCGTTCTTCCGGTAGTTAATTCTCAATTATAGCTCACGAAATGCACTCCAAAATTTTGAGCTGCAGCATCAAGTCCCTTTTTTACTTTGCCATTTTTTATCCAATCTAGTGAGAAATAAAGATTAACCCAGCCTGATTTCCTTTCTTTCCAACCGCAACGAGTCAATGTCTGGATCATGGCTTGGTCCTGATATTTTCCCTGAGCCGTCCCGTACGTAGACGTTCGCCACTATAACATACCCAACGCGGACATGACACTCTCCTGACTCCATTGCAAGCATCAGCACCAGCCGATTTTCTGAACGCGGGTAGAGAAAAATCCCTGTAAACACATCCTCGTTTAACAAAGTCTTTAGCTCCTCGCTCGAATCGAGGTCTTTCCCCAACAGGTCAAATTTGCAAAAGATCTCTTCTCCAGATGTGGTTTTGGTCACGGCGCGAACTACTGACCCAGGTTTTCCGACCACTTGGCAGAGTTCCAGTCTCATCGGTATAGTCCAGGCGCCGAGAATAATGAATGGGGACATCAGCTCCGGGTGATCTTTCAGAAACAGGCGCTTCTCAAGCTCTGGCCAGTCAAGCCGCTCGCCCGTCGTAAGCTCCAGTGCAACCGAAACCTCAGTAGGGGTTTTGGGCACCCATTGGAACCCATATCTTGTGTATGCCCTCATGATTACAACACCAATCCACCCTGTCCACGACCAGCTTGGGAATCCCACTCTTCGTTTTAGCGAGTTGAACTTATCACCTCTTGGAAACCACAATAATCCTCTTACAAATCCGTCCAAGGACCCGTGCTCCGGACGATCGGGTAAATGCAACGGTATTGGAGAACCCCACAAATGGTGTATAGGCGGTTTTGCTTCTTCAAGTCTCCCCAAACATCCAGAGCACGCGTTGACGATATCAGCCTCGTACGTCAAGGCCCTTCCGGAAAAGTCCCCGATCATATCGCTGATATTCCGCGGAAACCCGGGTTCGGCGCCACGCCAATAGTAGTGCTCATGGCTGCGATCAGAAATATCTTCCCAGTCCCAACTTTGATCGTCATAGGGATCGAGGTGCTCCCAACCATATTCCGGGGCAATTCTGCGACATGAAAACCAGGCTCCATGGTCAGTAAAGACCAGAAGTCTGTTCGAGAACATTTCTTCCTGATAGGTCCAGGCTCGCTTCGCCCAAGTTGTCCCTTTGATGATTTTTTCAGGGCTAGGGTTGGTTTCCACAAGCCGGAGGCTTCCAATCTTGAACTCTGCCAGCTCCCTTCGAGATCCCTCACGGACGGCTGGAATGCCGTACGCTGAGTTATGGCCAGCAGCAGCAATGATTGTGAGCTCAGCGTTGCCGTAAATATGGTGCATGTGCCGTATATGCTCCATTTTATCCGAACCCTCCTCTTGATCAATGCACAACTGATCGATCCAGATGTATTTGAGCCCGAATATCTGAGCAACTTTACAGGCATCAAGAATTGTTTGCGGGTATTGGTCCTTTGTATCGGGGTTTCCCCAGACGTAACTCAGGGCCGCGTATTTCGTTTCCACAGTGGCCATCTCAACCAGTTTCGTATCGCAATTGAAGACCCGTAGATTTTCCACGGTGACCCGCGTGGGACAGCAAGCATCTTTCGCGGTTTCCGGGTGATCCGAGCCTTCAGGGGCCCAGAAGGTATCCGTGTGGTGCGCTTTGCAGTACTCGAATTTTGTCCGGAGTACCTCGAAATCAATTTTGGTCGGGTCCAACGACGGTTTTGCCCCAGCTCTGCTTGAGCGGGGAAGCGATACGCTGAATTCGTATGTTACTAGTCCTATTGTAGACGCATCGTTGGTAAATTTCACACTAAGTTGCTGTTCAGAGCCACTCGGCCAATGGATCGTGAAGAAAGAAAGATCGTTTGCATCGTAGACTGTCCCGAGGAGCTTGCAAAGTGGGCAAGCAAAATCCAGTGCTCGTCTATCGATCTCAAGAGCGAAAGACGCTTCAGCTGCCGGGTTAATCCTGTTCTCGAAATCAAGCTCGTTGCACCTTTGGCATAGCTGCGTGTCCTGAGAGTCGTCCTGTGCAAAGTGACTTTGCGAGTCGGTGCTTCGTAGCCTCGAAATTGGGGTACCCATGAGAGTCGCAGAGGTCTTTATCACGGTATGCTGGAAACCTTCTTCTGTCGAGTCCGAATGGTCTATGGTGATGTCTTTAGAAATAAAGGCCTGATATGTATTATTCCTTTCGTCTAGAGGTATCCGGAGGGGACGTGTTGCAATGCGACTGAATATTCATCCATGAAAGGGCGAAAGAAAAGAGGCTAGGTTCGTCGTAGAGTACTCGCGGCAGTGATTGAAATTCTTTGCAGATGAAAGATATGGGGGTGTGCAGGAAAAGACAAGATATTGTGGAACAGTAAAAATACGACCGCGCACTGCAAATAAGTGCAGGAAGCGTGCCTTATCCTTTTAACAATATCGAATTGTGGGATTTAGCGTCGGCCACGTCATCGTGCTCTTACCGAACAAACGCCTGACCGGAAAAGATCTTGCGGCTCCACCAAAACCGGCAAGTTAGCACACCAAGCCCTTTTTTGAGATTTCAGTACGAACTATTTCTTAAATGTTAACATTTAGTTAAGTTAGTAATATAGCTTAATCTAGTATCGTTAGAACTGTGGCAATGATAGTGGAATGCCATCGATATCACCTCAGCAACAGCTATCCTTGCGTTGGAACTCGCGACAATAGAGTGATCTTTGCTGCTTATTTTCGCTCTGGCCAGACACGCAGCGTTTGAATGTGGAGTGGGGATCTAGGGGAGATTCAACTTTATTAACCGGATACCGTAACAACTCCGCGGCTACGTGACATTGAAAATTTGTACTTCACGTCGCTGAAAATTGGGGGCCGAAATGCATGTATATGTTTGGATCTATTCCCGAATCTATCGTAGCCCTTCGACACGTACGAAACGAGTCCTAATCTATCTACTATGTCAACTTAAATAGTTTATACCTCGTCATAGCCGAATCTCCCCACCAATATCGTCCTTGAAGAAGCTACTAAGCGTGCGATATTACCCGCGAGCATGAGGCCGTAGCTACGACTACTATATTTAATAGTGACGAGCAAGATCTTCTAGATAATTTTACGAGGCACCCCAGAGACACTGCTGAGCTGGGTGCTCTTCATGAGGCCAGGAATGCCGACCTTCAGCCTGCAGAGACAAGCGATAGTGGACCAAATGCCATCGGTATCTCATGTGATTTTGAGCTTGACTTGAATTATCGCAAATAATTTTAGAAGCTTAAGCATCAAGTCTCCATTGTGACTCGCGGGACAGAATCATTTGCCTCTTTATATCCTTATACGCTATTTATAGCCGATAGACACTACCTTCATCTAGACAGCCATCCGTACCTTGAGCAAATCCTGCTCTACGATGGACGTCTGCTTCGCCAGTAAATCTTCCATGTCCCATGTACAGCTGATGTATCTGCCTGCAAGCCACTCCCTGCGTTGTTGCACCAAGAAAACGATCGAATCTGCGGGAAGCTCGATACTGTCGGTCAGGTATTCCTTTGCCAGTGATTCGTCCAAGGTGCGTGACAGATCCGTCTCTATTCCCCCAGGATTTACGCAAAATGCCAAGACACCTTGCGCGCCGTACTCGACATTGAGCATCTCAGAAAAGCGAAGCAGTGCCAATTTGGACACATTGTATGCCGTGCCCCCGGCACTCAAAGTATGCGCTCCCAAGCTGGAGAGGGATACGACGGTCTTCCACCCGCTTGGCGTTGCCAACATCAGCGGCAGAAACGCCCGCGTCACCAGATAGGGCCCGCGGATGTTGATCTCCCATGTGCGCCACCAGTCGTCTGGTTCCGAGTCCATCAGTGGTGCCAGTCTGTCCATGTATCCAGCGTTGTTGATGAGTACATCGAGCCTGCCGCCGAATGCTTCACGAGCCCCCTTGGCGGCGGCCTCGCAACTAGCGATATCCGTGACATCCAGCGTGGCGCGGAAAACCAAAGGCACTCCTCTGCCGGCCTTGTTGGCTTCGTGTATGATGTCGTCTTCCAGAGATTGCAACTCGGTTGCCGATCGAGCGCCTATGCCGATGAATGAGGCGCCGGCGCGAGCGAAACTCAGTGCTGTGGCGCGTCCGATGCCCCTGGATGCACCTGTAATGAAGACCGCTCGTCCAGAGAGATCGGCTCTCATGGGGTCGATGTAGGGATATGTGTCCCGGTGGATCCGTTCGGTGAAGTTGAAGCCATTGCTCCAGAGCGTCTGGCCTGATGTGACCGACATCAAGTGCGTATTGGTGGTTTAGAATGGAGAATGTAGTTGGAGCGCTGGGTGAAGATATTAATTCCTTCTTCAACTACTACTTATATAGCCGACCGTTATGAGTCAGCGATGTCTGAGGCACATTTTTCTAACCCCAATAGAGCCAGACCAGAACGTAACGTAGCCCATCAAAGCACTATCGGGTATGTGAGTAGCCGCGCCGGCAGAGTTTAACGGGCTGGTAGAAGTGCTGTAGCCCATTAAAGTGGTATCGGATATGTGAGTAGCCGTGCCGGCGGAGTTTACCGGGTTGTAGGAGTTTACTGGGTTGGTAGGAGTTTACCGGGTTGGTAGGGGTTTACCGAGTTGGTAGAATGTATAGTACCATGGGAAACTTAAATCCACTTAGGTCCGAAATTAACTCCGGGGCGATTTCCTCCAAGGATAAGCTTTCTACTATATTTTCCACCTCGGGATTTGTCACTAATCAGTTACTAACGTTCTCCACAAGCGAGCGGATCACACAAGCGAGCGGACCACTCGAACAGACCTAGACTACTTCACAATCAAAACAAACGTGTTTAATATCTTTGGGCCCATACATTATAAGTATAGAGGCGGTTAAACTTCTAAAAGGACGGTAGCGAACCATATCGCGTGGCGAATTATACATCATGTATCTCTGTTCACGATAGTTTCGACTCATGCGGCACCCTCTATGGGAAAGTAAGTCAAAAGCCCTGGGTTTAATTATTCAGATACGAACAACTGCTAATCCTTCATACTATTTCTTAAATTGCAAGTGCAACAAAGATGAAGCCTCAACGTCTATTTGGAGAAGACGACAAGGTAACATACGTGTTCAGATTACTGTAACTTGATCCTCCTCCTCTTTAAGATTACTCGATAGCGAGCTTGCTCCTTATTTGCTTTCCGCCAAAGCGAAAGCGATCCGTCTCCGTTCTCCTCGTGAAAGTCGATTGTATCGCTAAAGTCATCACTCGGTATATCAAAGTGCCCCAATCTTTGAAAATGATCGCTAACCGGCTCAAGTACCAATACTCTGACGTATCCATCAGAGCTTTCAAACGGAATGCCGTCCCAAACTTCCGCGCAGAGCGTCCTATCAGGGATTTTCTTCGTCAACTGCAATCTATTCCAGAGAATCTCTGTGTGCTTCACAATCGGTATTGCGTGGACTGTACTTTCCAAAATGGGGTATAGAAAGTCCTCGCAAGGTTTGAAACGAAACCTTAGCATTGGTGCTTCAATGTGAAGGACTCTCCTGGGCTGCGTGGTGGCGGTGGCAGATGACCGTATAAACTCCTCACTTTGAACTAGCACTCCGTTTTCGAGCTCAAAACAGAGGCTAATCCTGTCGTTCAAAGTGAAATCCTTCAGCACGCCAAGATTTGCCCCCTTGTCGGAGTCGACGACCGCTCTGGGTTGGCCTTCCCAGCCTGCCCAGGACCAGCTGGGGAATTGATCTCGTCGAACCGCAGGTGATTCCAGGTCCCAACAGAGCCCCGCTAGAAATCTATTTGTCCATGTTGTTCGTATTTCAGATTGTTCGTCGGCGTTGAATGGCTGTGTGATTGGAATGCCGTAAAGCTGGCTAATGATGAGATTGGACTTCCGGAAATCGCCGAATATGCCCATCAAGGCGTTGATGCGGTCCGCTTCCCAGGTCAGTTGTCGCCGGGATAACATCAAGATATGACTCCAAATATCCTCCGGACCGTCATACCCCTCGGACAGCATACTGAACCCCTCTCCGCCACGTTTTCGGAGACGTCGCTCTGGCGGATCTTGCACCCGACGGACAGGTTCATCAATACCGGAACAACTCTTGGGATTGTTGCACTCGAAGTAGATTTGCCTCTCGGTAAATACAAGCCTGCGGGTGGATAAAATTGCCTCTTGATAAGTCCATCCTCGGGAGCCCCAAATAGAGCTGAACTGGACTGCGGTTGCTGGGCGGAAACACATGGTAGTCAGAAGCCGACGCTGGGCGGTCAATAAATACGGTGGTCCATGTAGCGGAGTGTTATTGATGCCAGGTATACCATGTTCCGCTCCGCTCCCAGCAGCCGCAATAATCGTGATTGCCGCGGATTTGTATATGAGATGCATTTGATGGATTTGACTCTGTTTTTCCGCCTGATCGTGTTGTGGGATACAATATTGGTCAACCCAAAGATAAGACAGTCCTAGAAGATGGCTGACCTCTAGGGCGTCTTCAATCGTCTTTGGTGTTGCTTGAGGAAGTTTATCGTCGCATTGGGATGCTTCCATATTCCCCCACACGTACGACAGAGCAGCGTACTCAAACCCAAGGTTTCCCGGGACTATCCTTCTTGTTCTGACTTCTATGAGTCTTAGGCCATGGACAATGTCATGATCGGAACTGCTGACGCAGCTTTCGGTGTGCGTTTGGAGGCATTCTTCCATCCACGTCCGAAGTATGTCGAAGTCGATCCTCGGTTTCTGCAAAGCTCTGAGTGCGGCCTCGACTTTTGAAGGGCAAATCTCAACGATGCAGTCTGTAATCGGGAGTTTGAGCTCTTCAAACTCCAACACATCCAAATCCCCCTCTTCGCAAAAGTTCGGTATGAGAACTCGTTCTTCGATCATACCAAAGAGTGGTTTTATTGTATTTTCCCACTTGTGCCATACTTTACTTGAGCCGTTCGAATCAAGTGATCTGAGACTGAGAACAGCCCCCTCTAGCTCCTCTGGGAAAATTGAATGAAGCAGCCTACAGCCTTCACACCTTGCACTGCTGCGCAGCCATCGTTGCTCGATGTGATACACATCGTCGTGAGCGAAGGACTCTGAAAACCGGAGAATATGAGGACGACATCGAGGACAATACCGCGACCGGAGCGCTGGTCGCTTAGACGTTGTAGATGTAGAAACATCCCTTCCAGATGCCTTTCGTTTCGGTGACATTGAGTGGCCAGGACGTCGAGAAGTTCGTATTGCAACTCTATACAGTCGTTGGGTGGAAGGTGAGATAGCGCTGAAAAATTGGTAAGGATGTGTTCGTGAGCATTTCTGAGAGTATAGTGTTGGACAAGGCTTTCATACCACGTAGGCAGCCATCCGACTTCAGAGCGTTGTTCGCCAGGCAGACGTCTCGCGGCGCAGCTTGCTGAGTAAGCGAGCTGATCAATGCTTGTCATAATAGACGCAAAGCCGAACTTTGCGCTATAAACGTCCGGGTTGAGTCTCGAGCTTCTATTGGCTCATTTCAGACCCCTGCTTATCGCAAAACCTCGGCATGCGGATTGTGACGCTCCGTGTACATACGTCAAGGATTTCGGACGAGTCAGTTCGTCTAGAGCCCCATCATCCCCGTGGATGGTGTTGTCCTCTTCATTAAATGCCCAACATAAGGCCATTGGGAATAACACTAGACCCATCAGCGTGTTTCTACCTGCCGTGTACACAGCAATGTCCGTATAGCAGTTCTTCCTTGCCTTAAAAACCCCGCTACTACGTGGCATTGAAAATTCGGATTCCACGCCGCAAAAAATGTGGGCCGAAGCACGCGTATATGTTTCGGTCTTTCTCCGAGCCCTTCCTGGTTCTTTTACACGCACATCAAGCTTCATTCTTCATCTTCTCGCCTCGCTTCGAACAATTGGCACGAACGAACAAACCCCCGCTAGCAATGTCGTCCTCAAAGAAGCTACCAAGCGTGCGATGTTACACTATCGGATGGATTGCTGCTCGCGAGCACGAGCTCGTAGCTGCGACTGCTATGTTTGATGGCGACGAGCACGATTTTCCAGATGATTTCGCGAGGCACCCCAGAGACACCAACCAATACTTCTTAGGCAGGATTGGCCGACACAATATCATTATTACATCTGTGCCTGCCGGAGAAGAAGGAACAACCCCTGCTGCTGTAACAGCGTCAAACCTGCGCAGCTCCTTTCCACATCTCAGAATCGGTCTGATGGTCGGAACCGGTGCCGGCTTGCCCAGGGTTTCAAACAAGAAAGTGCTCAGGAAATATGACATTCGGCTTGGAGACGTGGTCATCAGCCAGCCGAGAGGCATCAGCTCTGGCGTTATTACATACGATCTGGGAAAACTCAAAGGAGACAAGTTCGAGCGCGTCGGCTTTCTCGCTGCACCACCAGAGGTGTTGCGAGGAGCGTTAGGCAACTTGGCGGTGAATCATGGAATCAGGGGGTCCGGAGTTCCGGAAATCTTGCAACAGATGGTAGAGAAACACCCAAAGCTTGGAAGTTACAATCCAGAGACCGGTAATCAGGGCTTCGTCTACCAAGGGGAGCAAAACGATAGGCTTTTTGATGCCTCATCGCCTCACGTCGACGCATCTGACCTTGAGGACGATACAAAGAGATCCTGCAGCCACTGCGAGGAGAAACTGGAGATTTTACGAAACCCCAGGCCTTCCAATGCTCCGCGATTCCATTATGGTATCATTGGGTCTGGGAATTCGATAACACCCGATGCGATCCTACGATGCCTGTCCGAAGACTGCCTGTGTCTTGACATGGAGTCTGCAGGGGTGATGAACCAATTCCCTTGTCTAGTGATCAGGGGAATATGCGACTACGCCGACTCGCATAAAAACGATCGTTGGCAGAATTATGCGGCTGCTACAGCAGCTGCCTTTGCCAAGGAATTATTGCAGACTCTTCAGTATCACGAAATGGAGGTTGAGAGATCAATCCGGGAAGTTCTTGGCGACAGTCAGTATTGAAATTTATGCAATTTTCTGGATTAATGTTAACTTGCTGGGGTAGTTCGTGCCGAAGCCTCCCAAGCAAACCAGGTTGCTGCTCAGCTTATGCAATCGACGAAAGGAAATCATTCAGATAAAGCTATCATGTGGCGAGACGCACCAGATCCATCGAAAAGCTTTGTCACACGGAACGAATCTTCTAAAAGCACGGACTCATGGTCTTTCCATTGCTAGGCTGGAGAAATGGCTTGTTCCCACATCTGCAGATTACTGGCATACCTGGAAGATTGTGCTGGCATCCGTAGCATTCCACGCCCCTTGCGATCGAGTCCTTACCACGCTTTGCTATCTCAGTGACCGTACAAAATCATCATACGGTAGTTTCAATTTTTCTCCAGTTTGACAGTTCTCTGGACTCCCCACATTCACACAAAATGGCTAAGAAAACCTATGTCGTAACTGTGACTGTGGCAAGAAAGAAACTATGGCGTACATTTCGCAGAGGTTAGATGAAGGACTCAAGCACCGCCATAAATGGTTTATAGAAAGCGGGCTTGCAAGGCGGGCACGTAATAGATTTAGTAACCGAACACTCTATCTTCATCATCGTGAGGTATGGCTTGCGGAGTACGTATACTATATAAGATGAAATTCTTTGGTCCTGAGATCCGTAAATTCTCTTCTTCGCGGTTGATGAATCGCCTCGCCATCCATAATTCCATGAACATAACTATGGACCATCGGCAGTTAGAGATAGCGAAGCACGTTTTGGTGATAATTGGATGGAACTTACCACTCTCCCAAAACCCTGTGTGACTCGCAATCAGGCCTTAGAACGAACGGAGCCCTGCCGCCAAAAAGTACGACCACGTCATCTGCAACGCGAGCCGAGGCTGGACCTAACCCGAAGAGCCCCTTGGCGGTCTTGAAAAACTTTCTTCCTATAAAAGGTCTATAACCAGAGGTTAGAGACTCCAGTCGCTGCATATCATCCTCCCCAGCAGGGAGGAAATTCGAGGTCCCAGGTGGGATCCGTTCTCTGCATGGTCCAGGCTCCACATCGTCCTCTGTGAAGGGAACCTTGGATTCCTGGAACATGCGGGCAAGATTATCCTGAGTCGGAATGTACAAGAGCTGGTCATCCATCTGTAGCGTCCTCCAAAATGCTTCATGGCCAGTCTCTCCGGTGTAGGGATAGCGGCGCTCGGAGGACGGTGCGGCGATATCCATCCATTTTTTGAGCACTTCGGATTTTCCCGTAAAACTGAACAAGCCATCCGGTATATAGGCGGTCCCAGTTTCCTCAATCTTGTCCACCGCGATGCCGTGGAGGCAGAGCGTCCGGAAGTCCTGGTGGAACTCGAGCTGAGTGGCTTGAAGGCTGAGGCATGCGTCATACATGGTGTCGTATTCGACTATGATTGAGTCCGAAATGGTGGCTTGCGCATCAAAGATGCCGATCGAGCAATGAACTTTGGGTGTACCGTGTCTCGAAGCATCCCGCCAATCGGGCACCCACGAGGGTAGTTCGCGCGCAGTACTAGTATCGACGAATCCCAGCAATGGCCTAGTTGCTGTGATTAGGATGTGCAAATCCTTGTGCTGCTGGAGGTATCGAACGGCAAATCTGATATACACCTGGTCTACGCTTAGGGAGTAGTTCGGACGGAGCGCGTCCTTGTCCGGGCTCATTGCCGACACGAGGCCGTAGAAGGCAAAGATGCGGTCCTTATCATTTGAACACAGCCAGTCCTGGAAGTAATTGAGAATTATGAGAGCAGAGTGGGAAGATTCGCGGTCCGGACGAAACCCTGGCAGGCCTGTGAGGATCATCTTTGTGTGTAGGTGTGCCAACTTCATGAAGAACGACAAAGCTTCCCTGACAGAGTCATTGTCACCGCCGCGCAGTTCCCTCTCGGTGATGACAGTAATCTGGTAAAACAGCTCGCCCTTTGAGAACATACCCTTCATCCACACAAAATCGCTCATGGATGCACAATGCTGGCCGCACTGAAAATCGACGGCGCGTGCAAGGGCAAGCTCCTGAATGCACCATACGCGCTTGAACCATGGACGTCGGACTAACCGGCAGAAGCTCAATAACCCAGGCACAAAACTGGCCCAGAAACGTTTGATTTCTTGCGGGGTAGCGTTGTCGAAGTCCGGCACGTCCGGTTTGTTGCGCATGAGCTGGAACGCGGCGCCGCTTGTATCTGACTCCGGGCCAAGCCAGACAATCACCCGCCGCGCGCAGCGATAGATGTCGCCCATCAGCTTGACCTGCTCATTCCGCTCCTGGACGTCATTCTGATTGATGCAGATGGCATCAATCCAGAGCACCCGCGGCTGAGTGGGATGACGGAGGTTTCTGAGCGCCGCTTCGAGGTTTTCTGTGGCCTGGAATAGTTTCCGGCTGACGATTATGGGCCTTCTCTTGTTGGGGTCACCCCACACGTACGACAGCGCTTCATACTTGTCCGAAACAATGTTGGAGAGCGCGCTGTTGCAGAGTTCGCACACGATGTCTGCATGCTGTTCTAGCGACGGTAGCAGCACCACGAGCCGTATGGCCGACGGCTCCGGGAGAAGACGAGGGTAATTATAGGGAGCCGGTCCAGTGCAGGCAGCTGTTACTGCATCCTGGCTTTCATCGTTATCTAGGCTTCGGAAGGGCAGCTCTTCGTATTCGTCCGTCACGGTATTCTTCAGCTCGCGAAATTCTTCTGCGAGCACTTCCCTCATATACCACGCACCCATTTCTGCCAGGAAAGCATGTGCAGCGTAGATTTCATCACGACTGAGTTCTTTTGGACGATGTCTGTCGAAGATGTGCCGCAGTTCGTCCCCACCGCAGTCGTACCTGTGTTGAAAAACTTCTGGTATCAAGGCGCGACTTGACAGCATGGCATCCTTAGATACCTCTACACGATCCTCTTCAGCCGGCATGATGGGCAATGCAGTTTACGATGGATACAACAACAGATGGTAACGCAAATAACATGGAAGGGGGAGAGGTGGGGGAAGGAATGAGGGAAGATGACGGTAGTCGCAGGCGATGCTTATGGGAGGAGAGTGGAACGGACGATATTGGGCATGGAATTGCTGAGATTGCTACCAGGTATGAACGGTCGGAACCAATACAGAGCGTAAACCTATCATGCAAGGTAGATTCACTGTCCTCATTGATGGCCCTGTGGAGGTGTCGAGGTCCGCCCATGCGTGCATGCCAAGGCTGAATCAGAGAACTCCCAATTAGGTTTGTCGCTTGCAAAACGCCCAGCCAGCCTAATGTGCTGTACATTGTCAGCTTACTGATCCTTTTAGGCAGCAATGCATTCCTTCCTGTTGACTAGCCAGTATTGAAGGAGATTGATCGGACGGTGTTGACATATCGATCGGAATGAAACGTGTTTGATGGTGATTTGCGAATGAAACTTTGCGATCGACGAATAATTTCTTCGCTTGTCAATACAAACCTAAAAGGTACCCTAAGTAAAGTTCAGGCCGACGTTCTCATTGGGATATGCAAGAATTAGCTGGCAATGGTGGCGCTGCGGCCAAGACCAGCATAGCCGCATTTCCCGGCAAGGTCAAGCTTCTTAGAGCACTTAGTAATTGATCACAACGGCCAAATGGCTAGAGTATGGTAGTAAATGATCTCATATATAGTCCCACTCTTTGGACACAAAAGGAAAACAGAATTCACGTACTGTGCGTGCATCTATCTCAGATATTGACTTTCAAGTGGCTCACAAGAACAGGAAGCAGGTATTATTCATCTTTTCGTTGCGCTCGCGAGGCTTCCCGGTATTACTCAGTACCCAAAACTGACTCAAGGCTGCTAGGCCAATGGCAGAAATTGGGTCGCTCTCCAACGCCCCATCTCTCCAAGAGTTCCTACACGCTTTTGCTGAACGTATTAGGCCGCTCGATGAGGCAAAGATTCTCTATGAGGGTGGCGAAAAGTGCGACTGCTGCATCAACTGGACGGAAACGTACCCAGAGGATGTCAAAGAGTCTTTCGAACGAACGACTCAGTCGAGACGCTACCCTATCATCATCCGACTTCAGAAAAGCCACACAGAAAGCAAAAGATCATTGCAACTTCACTCGATTGTCATCCAGAGCGCTGAATTAAAGGCAGTTCTCGGCGAGGTCTTCGTCGACTATCCGGGCATTACCACGACTCTCGAGGAACTCAATTTCTCCAAGCCTTTCTGGGAGTTCTTCTACAGATGGGACGCGCTTGTCAACCAAGTTGAACAACAGCAAGATCCAGAGTCTCGAAAACACACCCAATTACTGATCAAAACCCTGTCCTCTCAGCTCGACGACATCCACAGCACTGCCCGGGACTTAGCTCAGAACAACGTCATCACGTTCGACTACCTCTGGACCCTGTTTCCGCCTGGGACTCTGCTCTACTCGTGCCAAAATGCCGAGGATCGTTTCGTAGAGCTAGTAAGAGCCGAGTACGTCGAAACTATGGGTATGAAGTCTCTAAACCTATCTTGCAAATATGTAGACTGGGACGGCAAGGCATTTGGTTGGAAGAACGAGGATATCAAAATATCCTTCTTCTCTGGTACCCTTCCAATTCACGACCTCGAGGTGTATCCGGCCATGTACCACAAAGAAGAGCAGTCACTCAGATCTAGGCTGCTAGAGAGGGGGCGTGTATTCGTTTCCCTTGCTGGCTGCCATCACAAGGCCTATCGTGACACAACGAAGAGCTCAGACAAAGACCCCGCATCCAACGAAAATTACTACGTATGTTCCCCAGTGTGACCTTTGTGGAAGTCCTGTTCGCTGATCAAAACAATAGGCCGAAGAGCGCGTTATCATCGACGCGGAATCCGGTGGGGCACCACCGCTCAAACCCGCCGATAACGAAGGGAATCCGCTACGCGTCGAAGACTTTTCCAATAATCTTTTTAGATTATGCAGCCCGACCGTAAGAGCGTACGGGTTGAGATGCAGGCAGTGGCGTAAGCGCAGTATACTTTCTATATCAGACCCGATGTCATAACTGAGATGAGATACGACAGGAAATATCTTCGTGAACGGAGTCTCCGATATCGTATGGAGTGATACTGCCTTTTCCAGTCTCGTGATGGCAGACGAGACTAAACAACTAGTTGCATCATTTGTCCGGATGCACAGAAAGCGCGTTCGTACTACTAGATTTGATGATCTTATCAAGGGAAAAGGTATTAACCTCTATCGAATGCTTGGGTTGTCCTCCGTTCTAATCTGGCTATAGGGCAAGGCATGATATTCTGCCTTACAGGAGGGTCTGGTGTGGGGAAGACGCTTACTGCCGAGACCAGTCTGTCCCACCGTCCCCCCTTCACATCCATACTTGCAAAACGCTGATTGAGTTCTTTTAATATCTAGTGGCGGAAGAGATACACGCACCGCTCTACGTCGTTAGTGCCGGCGAGCTGGGAATATCAACCCACTCAGTCGAAAGAAAACTTGAAGAGATCTTCGAACAAGCCTACAAGTGGAATGCCGTCCTTCTCCTTGACGATAGTGACTTGTATCTGGAGAAGCGCACTCCTGACCACTTGGAACGCAGTCAACTTGTTTCTGGTGCGTTTTTACCGAAATTTCGATGATCACGACAGCTAACGAGCCCGCAGTCTTCACTCGCATGCTCGAGTATTATCGCGGGCTCATGTTCTTGACAACAAGCCGTGTGGCCTCTTTCGACGTGGCGTTTGAGTCCCGCATAGATCTGATGCTGCATTTAGAGGACCTAGATCTCAAGTCCCGTCGGAGAGTTTGGACGCTCCTGCTTGGCCAAGTTGTGCCGCCGCCAAACATTACTGAGAAAGACCTGGACACTGTGGCGGAGAAGACAATCAACGGGAGGCAGATCAAGGCTGCCGTGAAAAACGCACAGCTACTCGCTGCCGACAAAGAAGTTGTCTTGGACTTTAGCCACATCGAGATTGTGCTGAAGGCTATGTTCCCAACAATAGCCATAGCGCCGGATCTCCCCTTGGGTGATGCTACTTACACCCAGCAAGCAACGCCCGCCTCCGCCAAATATTCGTCATTGAATCTCCGTAGGCAAGACGGCGCACCTGGCAGTGACTCAGTGCTGCCACCCTCAAAGCGCGCACGTGTATCCTAGTTGCGGCGCCGTTGGAAGCAGCTGACGTGTGGTGGATCAAGGAGGTAGCAGAGGACAGTTGTCCCGTTGTCCATGAAGATCCTGCTAAACATGGAACGCCTGTTCATTCCATTCTTCCTTGTGTATAGTAAAAGTTACCTAGTTCATCTTGACCGAGTGTCAGAAATGTCCTCATCCTTATATACCAACGCTCTCATCACCACTCCATCTCCTCCTCATCCGCCAAAACCAACACCCTCTCCCCCCCATCCCCTCCCCCCTTTATAGCCCCATGCACCGACCCCTCCTCCCCCAACTTACACCAAATCCCCCCCTCAACCTCCACCCCCTCCTCCCTCCCCCCCAACGCCTCCCCCACCGGCCCCAACCACTCCAACCACAACCTCCACGGCGCCTCCGCATACAACAACCCCAACGGCTCCAACCGCCACCTCCTCCACACATCCGCCTCCTCAAAATACGGATCGAACCGGCAGCGCCCGCGGATGCCGTCGCATAGCTCGAGCCGCAGCCGGCGCAAGCCCTGCATGTCCGCGCCGACGCGCGCCCACAGCGCGTGCCAGCTGGCGTCGCTGTACGGGTTGTCGTGCACGCCCGGCCGCAGGTGCGGCGGGTACGACGGGTACAGGTTCCAGGCCAGGGAGAGGCGGTGGATGCGCGAGGTGTGCGCGGTCAGGAGGGTGCAGGCGAGGAAGTCGGTGAGGGTCCAGGTGCAGGTGAAGGAGAAGGTGTTGGTGGTGTAGAGGGTGGGGGCGGCTTCGGTGTAGCTGGTTGCAGTGTGAGTGGGGGAGGGGGAGGGGGAAAGGGGGAACGACGTACATTCTTCGGCATGTTTGGAGGAGGGGGGTGATGGAGGGCGAGGTGCCTTCGAGGTCGTAGTTGGTGAATGCGTCGGGCCGGCAGTGGAGGGCTTGCTGCGCTTTTATTCCGCATGGAGGGCAGTGGGGATAGGCTGCTGGATCGGAGTATGGGATTCCGAGGTTTGGGGGGAGCGTGCACAGTTTGCCGATAATCCGTCTAGCTGGGCGAGGGGCGCCATGCTTCTGGTTGTTGATGGTGTGCGTGAAGCAGTGTATCGTGGTGTTGCTGGCCAGGCCTGCCTCGACGTAGATGGCTTGACGTATCTCAATCGGAAGCTTGAAAAGTGGAGATTGGGATTGGTCGTGAGCATGGGTTTCAGACAGAGATTGGCGGCGTCGAGCTTGGTCTAAAGGACGAGGACGCTGGTCTTCACGTAGCTGCAAGAAGACGCCGGTTCCCGGACCCCTCACATTTAGCTTTATACCATCCATAGCAGGGAGTGCTTTCAGACGTCGAGTGGAAGAGTGTTAAATGGGATGGTTGTTGTTGTATTTAAAAGGAAAGGGCTACACTAGTACGCGATGGCTGCGCCGCATCAGCCACCACCACCAAGGCTCTAGTGCTGCGCCAGCACCTAGGCGATCGTTCGATACAACAGTAAGTGCAAAATCAAGCCGAACAAAAGCAGGAAAATTTCATTATACCGTGTTTTCAGGCCAATTTTCCCTGCGTGCCGCAAGAGCCCTTTTGAGTTGTTTGAATAAGCCCAGTCGTAGTCAAATTCGGGCGGGACACAGATCTGGAAGAACCCGTTGATGAGTATAGAGAGACCTACGACGTCTTAAAAGTGAAGCAAACAGATTCTACAGCGTTATCATTAAGATCTTCGAAAGGGGAGATGAGTGGTAGAAATAAATCAGATAGCGGAGCGAGCTCTAATAGGGATTTAGAAGCGTATAAGCACGATAACAGATGCTCTAGCTATCGTTAAAGGCACTAAGTCTTGAGATAGAGTCGGGCCAGGAGTGTGTGTCTAGCAGGCTGTGCCATCGAATGGCTGACCATACTCGATGCAAATAGGTGTCGCTTTTAGTAATTACCCCATTTAGAGAGCGTTCCAGTTATCGCTAGAAAGCTCGTCCTTCTACTCTCGCAATAGACGGTTCTCTGCATCACGCATTGCGTGCCTGCCTCTAACCTCCGCGAATATACTAGAATCATCTGACAATTCAACCATACGCAGCGGGACATGCCGCCAACACCTTCCTTCCCATCACCACTCCACCTCCTCCCCACCATCCGCCAAAACCAACACCCTCCTCCTTCTCCCCCCTCTCCTACCACCCCCCTTAATCACGGCATGCAGCGAACCCGGGTCATTCAACTTACACCAAATCCCCCCCTCCACCTCGACGTCGTCGTCGTCCTCCCCACTCCTCCCCTCCAACGCCTTCCCCACCGGCTCCAACCACGCCACCCACAACCTCTCCGGCCTTCTGCGCTCCTCCCCCCCTTCTTCTTCTTCTTCCCCGTCCTCCTCACCATACAACCCCGTCGGCCCGTTCAAGCGACAAAACCAGCGCATCGTAGCCGAGTTCTCGAAATACGGATCCATCCGGCAGCGCTTGCCGATGCCGTCTGCCAGCTCGAGGCGCAGGCGGCGGAGGGCGGGCAGGGTGGTGGTGGTGCCGGTGCCGATGTGAGCCCAGAGCTCGCGCCAGGCATCGGCGCGAACCGTGTTGGTCATGTCGTGGCAGGTGGCGGGCGGGAGGCGCGTATGGAGGTTCCAGGTGAGCGAGAGGTGGCGTATGAGCGACGTGTGGGCGGTGGGGAGGGTGGTGGCGGGGGAGAGGAAGTCGTGGAGGGTCCAGAGGCAGGTGAAGGTGAAGGTGGGGTCGGCGTAGAGGGTGGTGGAGAGTTCGAGGTAGCTGCTTGCTTGCGTGAGAAGGGGGGAGGAGGAGGCCGGCTGGGCTGGTGCGGAGAGCGGGAGTTTTTTTTTTTTTTTTTAGGCAGCAACCCACTTACAGTATTCGACACGTTTGCATTAGCGGTACGACGGAGGGCGATACGCCTGCCGGTTGGAACTCGGTGAAGGCCTCTGGGTAATTATGCAGGACCTGGTCTGCTTTCATCTTGCACGGGCGGCAGTACTTGTCGACGTCGGGATCCCAGTACGCGATGCTGCCGTCCTGGGGAAGCGTGCACACTTTGCCGTAGACCCTTGGCGGTAGGTGCTCGTCGATCACTCTGTGCGTAAAGCAGTGTATCGGAGCGTTGATAGCCAGGCCTACCTGGGCGTATATGGCGCGTCGGAGTTCGATCGGCAGCTTGAAGAAGGGTGATTGGGATTGGTTGTGGGCGGAAATTCCGGACAAAGATTGACGGCGCGTTTGGTCTAAGGGGGCTGGACGTTGTGGCTTATGGATACACTGCAGCGGAAACCTTCGGGGTCGGCTGCGCTTTGTATCACCCATGGTGGGTTGTGTTTAAAGATAGTGGGTGGGAAGCGGTGGAATGAGGTGGTCGGTGGTGCATTTAAAACGGAATGGCTAAGCCGATCGTGTCATACCTAGGCGAGAACTGCGCCGCATCAGCCACCTCCAAGGCTCCAGTGCTGCGCTGGCACTATCCGATACCTAATTCAACTAAAGTTGGATCTCAAAGATCCGTTGTATGCTAATATTATGTCATCACCACCAATAAGGCCTTGGTACATACCTCAAGACACACAGCTAACCTCAAATCAACTCACCACTCGACCTCCTTCCCATCCGCCAAAACCAACACCCTCTTCTCCCCACCACCCCCCTTAATCACCGCATGCCGCGACCCCGGCCCCCCATCAAACCTACACCAAATCCCCCCCTCAACCACCACATCCCGCCCCTCCAACGCCGCCCCCACCGGCCTAAGCCACTCCACCCACAGCTCCTCCTCGGGCCTCCCATCCGACGTCTTCCTGCACCACACCTCGTGCAGCCGCCGCACGCCGCACCCGTCGTCCACCCGATCCGCCAGCTCCAGCCTCAGCCTCCGCAAGCCCGGCAGCAGCAGCGCCCGCACCACCCCGGCGGGCCCCCATACCTCGTCGCGCCAGGTAGCAGCGTCGTGCGGCGGGCCGACGAGGTGTGCGGGCGGCGCAGCGTACGGCGGGAGAAGTAGTACCGGCCGGCCACCGCGGGGGTCGTGGCGGCGGGCCAGCTCCCTCCGCATGCCGGGGCTGAGGGAGCTGCGCGCGATGATGGGCTGCGGGAGGAGCGTCCAGGTCAGGGCGAGGGAGCGGATGCGGGCGGCGTGGGCGCGCGGGATGGCGCTGGTCACGAAGTCGGTCAGGGTGAAGAGGTCGGTGAAGGAGAAGGTGGTGGTGGTTTCGGCGTAGAGGAGCGGGAGGGCTTCGGTGTAGAGGCGGCGGCAGGTTTGGAGCAAGGGCACGATGCATGAGGGCGATGATGTGCTGCTGCTGCCGCGCAGGTGGTCGAAGTCGATGAAGGAGGCTGGGAGGCAGGTCAGCGCTTGGCGAGACGCTGTCGCGCAGCCGCTGCAGTGGTTGGGGGCGTCGTCGCTGTAGGGAGCTGCGCTGCTGCTGCCGTTCTGTGGATGCGTGCACACTTTGCCGTGGTAGATGTTTGTCGAGGTTATTTTCGTCAGACGCTCGACAGGGCATGTGGCTGCACCGGTTTGGTTCTCGAATTCGCGCGTGAAGCAGTGTATTGTTGCGTTGCCCAAGCCTGCTTCCGAGTATATGGCTCGTCGCAGCTCGGCTGGGAGTTTGAAGAACGGCGATTGGGATTGGTCATGCATCTTCTTAGTTGAATCTAAAGTTCCGGATAGAGATTGACGACGGCTCGGGAAGGGACGACGAGGGCGTGATTCTTGTCGCATTAGCGCGGCCTTCTGCTGCGAGGAGAATTCCTTTTTGGGCCATGAAAAGTCCATGGTGGAGATACGTCTGGAGAAAAAATAGACTTTGCATGGGAAGAGAGGGTCCGTGTTATTTAAAACGGAATGGCTAAGCCAATCGTATTATAGGCGAGGACTACGCCGCATCAGCCACCGTCTTGGCTCCACTGCTGCGCTGGCACTACTTGATGCCTAATTCATCTGGGGTAGGCTTTAAATGCCGATGTTGCGTTATACACCATGACGCATCAGTCGTAGTCGATAAATGCGGCCTTGATTGAGCGAAATCCAAAATGACGTCAATGCGGGCAGGATGCGTAATGGGTCTGATATTGACGGGCGGTGTACAGCACCCTATTACAGCGTGATGCTAGCGCGAAAGTCATTACAAGGTACTCCGGAGGTATAATAGATCAAAATCGTGGGTTTGTGCTCCTGCCAAGGGTGATGATAGGTCAGAATCCCGATACTCCTTTAAGAAGCAAATACGCACTGGCCATCGGCTGCAAGAGGGGGGCTGTAGATTGAGTAGAAAGATTTGGGCACTGCTACCTAATTAGTAGCGCACGCCATCTGCGAAAGCTGGGTAAAGTCAAAGGGGTCTTCTCCCTGGGCGTTGGAGATACAAAGACGTAGCGTAAAGCGTACTCTGCCAGACTGGAACAAAATATCCAAGACACCTTTTTATTGACGGGCGGTGTCTGAAGTTCCATCAGGCAAGCCATGGCAATTAACTCCGTTATGCTTGAGAAGCGATGGCAAAATTGCGGAGACACCTGGGACCAATCGGAATCAAAGCATCCACTTCAGAAGCAATCACACGTCAGTCATGTATTGCGATGGCCTTCGTAGAGATGATTCCAAAATTAAAGGCTGACATCTTGCCGATTGGCGGCAACAAAAAGGAAAGTGCGACCGGAGATATTTCCCGTAAAGCATGCGCAAAAAGCAGATAAAACATTTTCTGGAAGCATAAAAGAAGCGTCGTAGCCCTCGTGTTCGCTACAATGCGCTAAGCGGGCCCTGCCGACGCCTCCGCCGCCTCCGCACCAGCCATTGGGGCGGAACATGCCAGAGAGCACGGGCAAAAAGAAGAAGCAAAAAAGCGATTGCCCTACTCCCCAGCCCAGCTGGGGAAAAGGAAACATACCCATGGCTGAAACATCGCACCAGGAAAAAAAAAGGATCAGATCAGCTCACGGCCGCAACGCCCCGCGGCGTTCGGGAGGTTTTCCGATCCTTGCCGGCTGAGCCCCATGCATTGGCCGCCAGATGCGGCGTGTCAATCAGGAACATTGCCCAGTAAAAGCAGCTGATAGCCGAGGCTCTGCGAGACCCTGTGAAGCGAGGGGAAGGTTGGAAACGATAAAAGGAAGGCAGAAGAATGGGGTTTCCTCGCTAGAGACTGCACGCCTGTCAGCATCACCTCTTCGTGCCGCAGTGAGATCAGCAGGTGCAAGTTACAGCCATGGATGCAGGCGAGTTCGACCCTATCAGTGTGGTGAGTATCAGTTTGCAAATATGGGGAAAGTCATGAGATAACAATCTTGTTTGATAGGACGAGAACTACGATGGTGACTCGGCGCTGGGGGACGACGAGCTCAGCGACACGACATCGATCGCATCGTCCATCATGAAGCACCGGTACGAGCACGGCAGGCGATACCACAAGTTCCGGGAGGGGGCTTATTGGGGACCCAACGATGACCTGCAAAACGAGCACCTGGACATTGGGTGAGTCGAGACCGTTCGACAAGAGGCTGAACCGTGGTTGACTAGGGTTAGCCACCACATGTACAAGCTAGTGCTGGAGGATAGATTGCTTCTAGCCCCGGTGGGAAACAATGTGCAGGTAAGTGGAATGATTGGTAAAGCTGAGTAAGGCTGATTTAAGAACTGTAGAGAGCGCTTGACGTGGGCTGTGGGACTGGTATCTGGGCAATGTGAGTCTGACGCATACTCGACGATAAACATGCGCTCACACCGACTAGCGAATTTGCTGAAGATCATCCTGAGTCACAAGTGTTCGGTGTCGACTTGTCTCCGATTCAGCCCAGCATCATACCACCAAATTGCACATTCATGATCGATGACTGCACACAGGCCTGGTCCTTTCCGAAAGACCACTTCGATCTGGTACACATCAGAGCGCTCTTCGGCAGCGTTGCCGACTGGCCCGCCTTCTACAAGGAGGCATTCGAGTAAGTCTAGAGTTTGTGCAGTCAAGTTTATTCCCCACTAACAGAAATGCTAGGCATACCAAACCCGGCGGATGGATCAACCAGCTCGAAATGAGCATTATTCCCAAATCAGACGACGGCTCACTGACACAAGACCACCTGCTGTCAGAATGGGCAAGACTGTTCATCGAGGCGGCTGAAAAGTTTGGCAAGTCCTTCGTCGTGATAAATGACATGAAGCAACGCATCATCGATGCTGGGTTCGAAGACGTCACCGAGGTCCGGTACAAGGTGCCACTTGGGATGTGGCCCAGCAACCCGGCTTTGAAGGAGATTGGTAGATGGGATCTCCTGTACTGCTACCAGGGCTGCGAGGGATGGGCACTGTTCTTGCTGACGAATGTCATGGGCGTAAGTAACTGTCTGTATCTGTCGCGGATGCGGTTGCTGATGAGTGAGCAGTGGGAGGCCGAGGATGTGAAGAAACTTGTCGCCAGATATAAAGAGGCGTTGAGGGATCCAAAAGTACATGCCTACTGGGAATTGTGAGTCTGCAATGAGAATGCGGGCTGGTTTAATACTAATGTTTACATAGTTCCGTTGTATATGGACGAAAGCCAGCTGAATGAGATATGGCTCCGTTGTGATGGCGACACAGGAGTTGGAGGTCAGGTGTAAAATCAGGCAGGAGTAGATGTTACTGGGACGTTTCTTCTTTCTTTTTTTTCTGGAGGGCTATGACGAAGTGTTCGCATAAAATTGGGCTGCAGAGCTCCTCCACTAAGCCACTACCCGGAGACGTAGGTCTATCTGAAACCAATGGCTACACAAGTATTGACAGGCGGTTGCCCCATGACAGTGAGGTCAACAACGGTGATCTATCGGATATGCACTTGAAAGAGGAATAGCGCTCAGATTCCATGTCAGTGGCGACGATTCAGATCTCGCGTCTACCAATTGGCGTATGGCAAGCTGCGGATCGTTCCGGGGTGTGGTGGTTTTGGCCCCCACGGTTTAGCTGGGTTCAGCTGCCAAGCAGCCTGCACCAACGCCACAGGCAGCACCGGACCCACTTTGGGCTTGTCCAAGACAAGCTCAGGATTCTAATAATAAAGATTCAGCCTGCTTCGCGAGAAGAAGTCTCTCCACGTTTTTGCGTCTCCGCTTGCCCGAACGTGTGAGCAACTGCCCTTTTCGCATTGCGGGGAAGAAGAAACATGTGAGAGAGTAGTGACAATGAGCTACAACTACCCTTACCAGCCCAACTACCAGCCCTCGCACTACCCGCCCCCGCCGCCTCCGCGCACCTCGACGCTGGGGGCTTACAACTCTGGGGAACAGCCGCCACCAGCCCTCCCGCCGCGACACTCACAAACGCCCGGATCGCCAAATGTACAAGACGAGCTGGTTACCGGCTTCGGGCGGCTGAGCACCTACGACCCGCGCCCGACGTACGTGCCACACGCCGACTACCACCAGGCTGTGACGTCGTCCCCCTCCCCAGCCTACACCTGGCCGACGGACCACGGCGCTTCCGTGAGCGGCAGCAGTGTAGCAGGAAGTCAGTGGGCGCCGACGCCTCCGCTGCCGCCCCGTCCGCCGCCGTCGCAGCAGTCGCCATGGCAAGCGGCGCCAGCGGCAGCAGCAACACCTCCGCCATGGCAAACGCCCCAGTCGCCCGTTCCGCAATCCTATCCCTCGACGCAGCAGCCATGGCAGCAGTACCCTCCCCCGCAACACCAGCAGCAGCAGCCACCTTGGTCTAGTCCTCCACCTGCACCACCACAAAGCCAACCCACCCCGCAGCAACCACCCCAGACACCGTCCTCGCAATGGCACCAGAACGGCACCTACAACCGGCCGCCTCCGCCTCCGCCCGCCGAGTTGCAGCAGCATCAGCAGCAATCATATGTGCCTCCCACCGTCTCTTCGCCGTCGGTGGCTAGTAGCTTCGCGGGACCGCCGACGCCAGCTTCAACCATATCGTCTCAGTACCCACCGCCATCGCCGATGCCTTACCAGCCACAGTCGCCGCTGGAGTATCAGCCGCAGTCACCGCAGCCTTACCAACCACAACAACAACAAACGTACTATCCACCACCATCTTCGCAGGACCAGGCGCCGGTGCAGCAGTATGGCTCTCCGGTTCAGCAGCAGCAGTATGGTACGCCGGTGCAGCAACAGCAGCAGTATAGCACGCCCGTGCAACAGCAGCAGCAGCAGCAGCCGCCACCAGTCGAGGTGCCTCGGCCGCCGGCCTTCGTGTTCGAAATGGAAGGGTCGATGCCGGGTGTTTTCAACGCGCAGACGCAGCAGAAGCCGAAAGAGGAGGTGCCGGTCCAGGCGAAGAAGCCAGAGGAAGAGCATCCGCCGCCGCCGGAGAAGCTGCAGCGGACGTTCACGGATACGCTCAGGCAGGCGGGTCCGTATTTTTATAACCCTCAGCCGCAGTCACAGCAGAGCCGGCCGCCACCGCCGTCGGTGGAAGAGGTGGAGGATGAGGAGCCGCTTTTAGTCGGAAAGGAGACGGGGAGTGATGGGTCCGCGGTGGAGACGGAGACGGCGCCGCCGAGTTGGGAGGGGAGGAAGGTGGAGGAGAGGCCACAGAGAAAGGCATCTCCGCCGGTTGAGCCTGTTGTCAGACCGCAGAGAGCTGCGAGTCCGCCTGTCCAGGCTGCTGCTAAGCCACAAAGAGCACCATCTCCACGTGTCGAGCCCGCCGTTAAACCACCAAGACAGGCATCTCCGCCAATTGACCCTGTTTTCAGACCGCAGAAAGCAGCGTCACCACCCATCGAGCCCGTTGTCAAACCCTGGAAACCTGCAGTCAATCGGCCAAAACCGCTGGAAGGAGCCAAACCATATGGCTACTACTTGAAGATACCCAACCCTCCAACGAACATTCCCACCGACCAGACGGCCAATTACTCTGTGCCATACAAGTGCAACTATCCCGAAGTCATCGGATATGCAGACCTCTTCTGGTTCAGCCACATCGACGTACCAGACTTCCGCATCTGCGGCCACTGTTTCGAGAAGCACATTCGACATAGCGAGTTCACCCACTCCTTCACCGGCTCGATCGTGTCCAAAGAGCTGAAGCCACGCTGCTCATTCGGCGCGCCACGGATGCTCGAACAGCTCTGGCCGCAGGCCCTCCGCACCCGCGATCTCGGCCTGGTCAAAGACTACATGGAAAGCCGGACGAAACTACCCCACTGCCACGGCATAAAGGGAGTGGCCGGCAGAGACGCGACGCACGTCCGCTGGTTCACTATGAGAAACAACGAAGTTCCCGGCCTCCTCGTCTGCGAAGCCTGCCTGGAAGAACAAGTCATCGGCACCGCCTTCGCTCCCATGTTCGCCCCCTACCAGGATCCGCAAGGCCAAGACCAGACGTGGGCCTGCGACCTGGCCGTCTCGTACCTCCGCCGCGCCTTCGACCGCGCTCTCACGCTCTCCAACTGGAGCTTCTTCGTCACGCCGGCCGCGAACCGGCTCAGCCTGCCGCCCTGCGAGGGCGTCGTCAAGGGCGTCAAGGCCGGGTCCCGGCAATGGTACCGGCCAACCCGCCCGATCGAAGGCATCGTCGTCTGCGAAGCCTGCTACCTCGACCACCTCGCCCTGACCCGCTTCGACCACGACTTCACCGCGCGCCCCGTCGCCCCCGCAGACTCTGAAAACCTCTGGTCCTGCGACCTCGCCTCGCTGGCCGTCAAATCCGCCCTCGACATCGCGCTCATGACGTCCTCCTTCGCGCCGCTCCAGCACACCCTCACCTCCCTCTCCACCACCGGGCCCTGCGCCGCCGGGCCCCTCGCCAGCCGCACCTGGTACAAGCTCTCCGCCCAGCCCGCAGCCGACTTCGACATCTGCCCGACCTGCTACACCGGCCTCTTCGCCGCCTTCCCCTCCTCCCCCGCCGGCAGCAACCCCCTCGCCCCCCTCCTCTCCCCCCACACCACCGCCCAACCCACCCAACGCGTCTGCGACTTCGCCCCCGGCCACGCGCCCCGCTTCATGCCCTACGCCCACGCCTACCTCGCCGCCGTCAACGCCCCCAACCAAGTCGCGACGTACATCGCCACCATCACCCGCCTGTCGTCCGTCCCCCCCTGCGCGCGCCGCGACCGCGTGCGCAACGGCCGCTGGTGGCTGCTGGGCGGCGCGGGGCAGGCCGACCTGGTCGTGTGCCACGACTGCCACGCTTCGGCCATCGCGGGGACGGCGCTGGCGGCGCTCCTCGCGCCCTGGCCCCCGGGGAGTGATGCGGATGCGAGCACGACGGATCCGGTGCCGCGCGTGTGCGACATGTACAGCGAGGCGATGCGGGCGCGGTGGGGGGCGCTGTGTCGGGATGTCGTCGCCGCGTCTGCCGCGGGGGATGCGAGGGGCGCGGAGGGCGCGGTCGAGGCGTTTGTCGAGTTCTCGCGGTACAGGCATCGGGTGTATGAGCAGACGGTGCCAGTGTGTGTGGAGCTGTTGAAGCAGGCGAAGGCGCGCGGGGAGCGGCAGCGGATGGCGAATGAGATGAGTAGCTTGTATCATCAGATGGATATGACGAGTCGGCTGTCGGCGTCGACGATGTGGGGGTATGGGAGTTATGGGGTTATTGGCGGGTATGGCGGGAGTGTTTATGCGGGGCAGGCGGCGGCGGCGGGGGCGCAGGGGGTTGGGTTGATGATTGAGGGGATGGGGGATGTGGCAAGGGTTGAGGAGTTGGAGGGGAGGTGGAGGGAGGTGGAGTAGGGATGGTATGGGGATATTGTCGGGAAATAGATGATCACGACTACGCAAAGGCTTAAAGAAGCTTTATCGCAACTAGTATGTCCGTCAAGCAAAGAATCCACCGAATAAGCAATGTGACATACCTACTCGAAAAGTTGATTGGTCCACGTCGTCCAATCCCTGCAGGGCGGGCGTTACTCCACTTTCTATTTCGCCGGCCTCTTTGCTGGCCCATCTGACCATAACAAACTCTTCGACAGGCGCCGTGTTGGTTGCTTCAATAAAACATCAACTCCCGGAACTGAACTTAAGCCGCTCTGTGATTGAAAAGAAACACAAGCTACAGGGTACTGCATTTAACTATCCCGCGAATTTCCAGCAGCAGCGCCCGCGCCGCCCCAGCCTCATCTTGCTCATCCGATAGCAGAATTTCCTTGTGCAGCTGAAAGTCAGCCCCACCCTATGATTGCCTTACAATCTCTTACTAGGGGTATTCAGTCATCAGCAGATCGCTAACGCAAGATAAAGCTGACGTTGTAGCCTTCCCCTCATGATGATTTTTGCCCACCTGCATCCCACTTGGTCCTCTGTCTGCTCAGAATAGGCATAGTATGACCACCCGGACCATTCCTCACAGATACTAACGTGTTCAAAACTAGAATTGGCGAATTTTACTGCTCCAATACGCCTCGACTCGAATGGTCTACCAATGCTGTGCGCACTGTGTCTATCGATATTCAGAGAACGCCGTACGGAATTCGAATGGCCCGATGGCTTTTCACATCTTCAAAAGGCTTCCAAAGCTGGGTGCAAGATCTGTCACCGTCTGTTGGGCATGTTGATGTTCCCCAACGACCGAAAATTCTCTTGCAGTTTCGATTTTAAAGCTGAAAATCACTGTTTGCTCGAATTCAGCGTCAAATGGACCACCTTTCACCTTATACGGAACGACTCAGCTCAGATTCCCGAAGAATACCCTGCATTTCTTCGCCGTGCAAGTCTTGACTTAGCAAGCGAACCATGGAGGGTCAGACCAGATGGGTTCCAGAAACCAATACCAAGCAGCACCGGGGATCCCAGAGTTTCACAACTTGCGCTTCATTGGATGGAAGCATGCATCAGCTCGCACAAAGCGTGTCCACCATACCAACATTCTTCAGCGTACCCTAAACGGTTGATCGAAGCCTGTGGCTCCAGACCACGGCTTATTGTGTCTGAAGAGGAGCCACCGGATGGCTATTACGCTACTCTAAGCCACTGCTGGGGCAAAGAAGCTACTTTTTTTACTTTGACACAATCGCGTCTCGAGAGCCTCAAGCACGGATTGCCTCTCCAAATGCTTCCGCAAACCTTCCAGGATGCAATTACGCTAGTGCGGCGCCTCAAGATTCCATACCTTTGGATCGACAGCTTGTGCATAATTCAAGACAGCGACCAGGATTGGTTGAAACACGCACAGACGATGGCTTCGATATATGAGGGGTGTGTTCTGAACATCGCAGTGGATCATGCACCCAACCCTTTCGCCGGAATTTTCAAAGAACGAAATCCGGATCGAGTCCAGGAGTGTAACGTACTGTGGAATCGTCCCGATGGGCGAGAAGAAATATGGACTGTCTTTAATAGAGGCACTGATATAATCGACGGACAGCAACTGGACTTTGGACACGGATTGTACGCACAGCCATTGCCACTCCAGACTCGTGCCTGGGTCTTTCAGGAAAGACTTCTCGCCCCTCGAATCTTGCACTTTGGGACGAATTCCATCTATTGGTCATGCAAAACAATTCCTTCTTGTTGTGAGGCAAGCCCGACTAGTAGCAATTCCTGGGACCCACATGAAACGCTCTTCTCGATTGTTCCAGACCCCCCGATACATGCAACGCAAATACGCGCTGCCGAATATCACTGCGAGCTTAGGAGACTGTTTCACGTTCTTATTAAAGAATACTCTGGGCTGGATCTTACAAAACCGGATCAGGATAAGCTGGTCGCATTTGCAGGGATTGCAAGGCGTATTGGTTCCATCGACTATTACAGCAACCAATACTTTGGAGGCTTCTTCAAGAGGGATCTGCCAGCTGACCTGACCTGGCGCAAAAGAGGTCTACAGAAAACGGAAAATAGCCAAAGTTACCTCGCACCCACGTGGAGTTGGGCAAGTCTGGACAGCCCTGTTATAACATTCCCGTGGGATAGGAGAGCCTCGATGTCCGACCTTGTGACGTTAGCAGAAGTCCAATCGATATCAGTCACTTACGTCGACCCTAGCAACCGGTACGGCCAGGTCAAATCCGCACAGTTAGCGCTAATCGGCACCCTGATTCCTTGTCGGTCAGGTGCGATCACCGAGTTATATGGCCAAATGTACCATGCAGATTTGCAGGACGAGGCTGAACCAAGCAACACCATTGGAGGATTCTGGCCAGATATGAGAGACGGTACTTCATATGAAGGGCGGCAATTTGTCTGCCCAATCGTTGAATTTCACTATCAAGACTCTCAAAGAGGTAAATACTTCCGCGGCATTGTCTTGCAAAAAGCGAATGATGGCTTATCATACAAACGATTGGGTTACTTTGGAACAGAATATGATACTGTAGACAAAGAGAACCTGAATCGCCTTATCACGTTCTCAAAGAAACAGGTTATCACGATTGTGTAGGAAATCAATATCTAAGTGTAGAGGGAAAATGTAATCTGCTACTTTATGTCCTGCATTGTCTAACTTACCGCTTTCTATGCCAGTAAACCTTAGCTTCTGCCTGTTTTGAAGAGTTTGGAAATTTCAAGATACTTCTTCATATTTTCAATAACCCTTAAAACTAATGTAATCATGCGAGCTCTGACTTAATGGTTTCGCAAAGAAACAGGCGACAACGGATGCATAGCGCATCAATATGCGGGCGTAAAGAGACAGCCTAACATCTCCGTCGTGTGCTGTGAGACATCCTGAACTTCTCGACACTTTGTTGCCATAAAGCCGTTCACGGAAGTTCCATTTGGGGCTCATGCCAAGCGCTGCGTGGGCTGGGAGGGCGCAACTCCGCGATATTACTTCCTATTCTGATGCAGACCGGCGAGACTTTCCGCCGTCGGAAAGAATTTATGCCATAAAATACAGTCAAACTATAGGGAGGACATGAGTCGTGAGCTCGGACTTCCGGCGGCCGCGGATTCCACGCCAAGCTACTCGGGGGAATTCATCGCAGCGACACCGCGAAAGGTGCGATGCTACAACAGAGACCAAGTATAGCGTAATATTCAAGATTCCATATAAAAATCATCTTCTCTCTCAAGAATTAGCTCGACATCCACAACATTTTTTTTCCGTGCTATCAAATCCACGATTATATCGCCATCAAATCCAAGATGAGTTCCGTCGCTATTGCTGGAGGCACCGGGAACATTGGCCGGACCCTTGTTGAGGTTCTGTCTGAGAATCCCAAGAATACTGTCTTCATCCTCTCTCGGAAGGAAAGTACAGGTGGCGAGAGGAATCGGTGACACGATGTAGCTAACGGATTGAACAGGGATCAACTGCCACCACCGACGCGAAAGCTACCATTGTCCACGTCGACTACGGTGATGTCGAATCGATTCGCCAGGCTTTCGAGAAGCACCAGATTGACACTGTCATCTCTTGCCTTTCGATGACCGCCGAGTCTTCCGGGGAATCCGAGCTGAACCTGATCAAGGCTGCCGATGCCTCCTCAGTGACTCGTCGGTTCATCCCCAACGACTGGGGCGTTCCGCTTCCGGAGAGGTGAGAATAGAGATTTAAACTTTCGAAATCCGTCACGTTGACCCCATGTAGTGAGATTTCCGCCATGCCTATCTTCAAGTACCAGAAGGCTGCAATCGAGCTTCTCAAGGAGTCAAAGCTTCAGTGGACCGTCGTCTACATCGGCTACATCATGGACTACTTTGGAATGCCCCACATTAAGACTCGCATGGTCGGGCCTCCGGTCTTTGTCGACGTCGCCAACAATGTCGCCGCCGTGCCCGGGACCGGCAACGAGCCCATCGTCTTGACCTACTCCTTTGACCTGTCTCGCTTCGTTGACGGGCTGCTCGGTCTTGCGGACTGGCCGCAGCAAAGCGTTGTCATCGGCGACAAGCTTACTTGGAACGAATTTGTCAAACTTGCCGAGGACGCCCGTGGTAAGTCTCATGGATCTCCTGTCGAGATGGGGGGATGGTCACTGACTGCAGAGCAGGCTCCAAGTTTGACGTCAGCTATGATAGCCTTGAGACTCTTGAGGCTGGAAAAGTCACTGGGCTTCCGGCCTACGAAGCTGTGTACTCGGTCTACGCAAAGGAAGAGTTTGACTACTTCCTAGCCATGGTTGGGAGATCTATGGCCTCGGGCTGCCATGACCTATCGTTCAAAGGCTCTCTCAACGAATTGCTCCCGCATATACATACTCTGAGCACGAAAGGGTTCCTCGAAAAGGCTTGGAAGAGAGAGTAGTCATTTTGCATCAGCGGATATGCGAATGTTAGAAAGATGAAGAGGGTGCTGTCTTTATTAATGGACTCTCTGCCATTGTAGATTAATATGGTTGCTTTGGAGGATGGAGCGACGGTGGGAGAATTGGAGAGGAGGTGGAGAAGGCGACGTGGTGTGGGACCTATGAGGTTTGTGGACGGTTGATAGTGTCCTTTCTCGAGGCGTCTAATGTACAAGAAGCCGGAATCATTTTTTTCAACTCATAACACCTGTGTAAAAAGCCCATTCCACCAGACGATACAGCAATGAGAACCTATCTCCCAGAGGCCAGCAGGATGATTCGATGTTCAGCCCAAGATAAAAAATTTCCTTGAGTCAACTAAACGCTCCTGATTGAACGCTTGTCGTCGGAGTTCTCGTCTTCCGAGATGGCACTTCGCTTCTCGATCTGCAGCAAACTTTGACTTTTTCGAAGCTTGCTGGCAGAAAATGGAATCGGGCGCACTTCTGATAGGCTCATCTGCCTGTGCAGATCTTTCAAGAGCACTTTGACTGCTTGGATATGGCCTTGCTCGACGGCGAGTTGCAATAGGCTGTCACCATTCGAAGCTGTCAGTGAAGTGTCCGCGCCATGTTCGACAAGTGTTTCCATCACTCGTGCATGGCCGTTGAATGTCGCCAAAGCCAGCGGCGTGTTCCCATTTTCTGTGTGGTCATTGACGTGATCTGGAAGCCAAGCTAATAGCGGTTTGACCACATCGTTATGTCCATGAGCAGCCGCATTTTGGAGAGGGGTCCTGCCATCGGAATCCCGAGTGTTGATACCGTCTGTCAACCCTCGATCGAGAAGCACCTCGAGACAGCCAACGTGTCCATTAGCCACTGCCACATGTAGAGGGGATTGCCTCCGTGAATCTAAAGTCGCTTCATAAGTTCCTCGGTCAAGTAGAAGTGCCAGGATTCCTTTGAAGCCTTTGTTAGCAGCATGATGAACTGCCGTACGCCCAAGGTTATCGGCCGTCTTCATGTCCCAGCCCCGGTCAACCAGGAATTGGACAAGTTCTATGCAGCCGCCCTCGACGCTTCTGTGGAGTATATTCATCCCTGCATTATCAGTGGCTGTTTCATCTGCCCCATGTCGCCGCAGAGTCTTATACATTTCCAGCTGACCGTTCCTCGCTGCAACGAGGATAGGCGTCAGTCCGAAGTTGTTTGGGGTCAAAATATTGGCACTGTGGCTGATCAACAAGTCAACCATCACCGTCTGCTCGTTGAGGACTGCTGCCATAATGAGTGGAGTACTTCCGTAGTCGTTTTGAGCATGCACGTTAGCACCGCGATTGAGTAGATGACGTGCCATTTCAATCAAGCCCAACTTTGCTGCGATGTGGAGAGGTGACCCGCCGTCAGAATCCTTAGCTTCCAACATGCTTTCAACGTTGTCAAGAAGGAAATCTACTGTCTCAATGTTGTTTCTTCTGACAGCTTCATGTATCGGGAAGCATCCGTGGTCGCATTCCAGCTCTGGGTCTGCCCCATAATCAAGCAGTTTCCGACAAATATCTTTGTCTCCAAAGATGGCTGCTAGGTGCAATGGCGTGTCGCCGTCGGAGTCCTGAGAGTTGATATCGATACTAGCTTCATGTTCGAGAATAGCATGAACAACATTAAGGAGTTTTCGATCAACGGCCCAATGCAAAGGCGTCATCCCGTTGTCAGACGTAATATCCAATTTTGCGCCATGCGAAATCAATCGACAAGAAGTCTCTTGATGATTGTTACTGATAGCTGTAAATAGTGGAGTGAATCCTGCGGAGTCACGAGCTAGATTTGCCATGAGAGAATGCCTTAACAACGGAGTTTCAGAGAATACTTACCGTTGAGCAAGTGAAAATAACCTCTGTCCAGGATAATGTCCACGACTCTCGTAGCACCCGAACCCGCGGCTCTGTGCAAGCAAGTTTCCTGGTGTATCGTTTCTGCTGATATGTCCGCTCCTCGTTCGAGGAAGAGTCCAACGATCTCAGCATCGTCTTGTTCGGCCGCCAGCAGCAAATTTGTCCTCAACTCCATGCCTTGATCTGTCGGAACAATGTATCTGGTGTTTATATCGGCGCCGTGTCGCACCAATTGTTTGACTACCTCTGTGTGGGAATTTTCGACCGCATAAAATAGCGCGTCCGTTCCAAAGGAATCGCACATGCTCGCGTTAGCACCAGATCTGAGAAGCATGTCAACAATACACTGACTCCCACATAGAGCAGCAGCGCTGAGGGCACAGCCTAATGAGCCAGACTGCATATTGACGTTTACTCCTTGATCAATGAGCTCTTTGACAATGTCTGGCAACGCCAAGCTGCACGCAAGTTGCAACGCACCACCGCAAGCCCCTCCAGGAGTGTTGATCGATTTTGGGTCATTTCCAGCCACAGCTCGAACCAGCCCAAGATTTCGTGTTTGAACGGCATAATACAGTCTTGTTCCAGGAGTGAAAAGGCGCTTCTCGAAATCATGTTGCGCAGGAAAAACCTTGTCAACGAGAAGCTTCAACCTGTTAAAGAGCTCACGCTGTCCCGTTGAGGTAAACCCCATGTCGCCAATGCGGTCACGGATCAGATGGTTGATTCGTTCCACTTCGGAGGCTTCTGGGTAATCCGGGTGTTCTTGGATGCTCATCGAAACAACCCGTGGAAGAATGTCCGAAAGGTCCATCCTGTTTTCCCACCAAAAGTCAGGCATGCTCAGAACAGTTAAAAGAACCTGCTTAGCCTCGAACTCAGCTCTCCAGCGCTCCCATTTGGCATTATTGAGAGAGAAGAACTCATTCACAAGTACCCAGAGCTCTTCTGAGGGGGCATAAGGAAAATACCGGAGCCATGATAAGGTAGCAAAGTCCAGGAAAGGAACCAGGTGGAGATCCGTTGTGAATGACAACGGTGATTCCCAAACAGACTCATAATTCAGGAAATGCAACAGCAAAATGCAAATGAAGCCACGTTGAAGATCATTGTCGGAGAATGGTACGCTCATCGAATCGTCAGAGATGACCTGAGTAAGGTAGTCGCGTACCGATGAATGGACAAAACGTATGCTCTGGTGCTGAAGAGAGTGTACTCGGCTGTCTGCGTTCACTTCGACTAGTGAAGCGCATGTGTTAATGATTTCCTCGTTGATGTAGTCCTGGTCGATGATGTCTGGCAGCTCATCGTATCTCAGATCAGCCCTTGCCCCACTTCTTTGAATAGCGAAACCAATGGCGATTTGTCCGACGGTGGGCGGGCTGTCTCCAACCATGATCCACATCAGTATCAAGTAAGCGCGAGCTCTATCCACGCGATCAAGTGCTTCTATCCGTTCCATGTTCTTCTCATAGGTATGATTCAGGCCCTCTGGCATGCGGAGGATGATCTCTCGGAGTTGATTCTGATTCTTGCTGCGACGTAGTGCGCTTTGATGCAGCTTGACCCAAAGGAACATACCACTCGCCCGCTCTGCCATTTGATTGGCCAGCTCTGCTCGTAAATCTTCTGGGCGATTGGAAAGCTTTTTGTCGACTATTGCTTTCGAAAAAACTTTCAGATCATCGCCCACGTCATCTTCTGTCATGGGTATCTCGTAAACAATCAAACCGCGTTCGGATTCGTCTGGGTGGATAGCTGAGCGTATGTCTAGGAATGGCCGGCTGACGACCATGACGCGCGTTCTTGTGCCAGAGATCAGTTCTCGTAGCTTCATCACAAACTGGTGGCGGTTTGTTTCGGTGAAGTCCGCAGGATGTCCTCTCGAGTCCTCACATTCGTCTAAGCCATCTATCACAAATGTGAACTCTAGGGCTGACTCTGCAATTGATCGAAAGATCCGTTCCAAGTCAAAGTGAGTCGCCATGGGTGTGGATGTCAGTCGCGGATTGTTGCCGATTATTTCCAGAATGCCGTCATGTTGGTAAGCTGCTTGGGAGATCCAGGACCGGAGGATCGCGTCAGTTTCATTCTCACGCTCAGAGAAAAAGTATAAAGCCGTTGCAGCCGGCGTAGCTGTCTTGAGCGACTCAACAATTTTGGCGCAGATTGTTGTCTTGCCAAATCCTGCAGGGGCATGCAGCCAAAGGAGTTTCGCAGAATCGTTGGGAAAGTCCGAGGAAACCCATGACAAAAAGTCAGGACGATCGAAAATCCAAGAACAGGTCCCTTTCTGACACTCACGCAACCGTTCTTCATAGTAGGATTCTGTGCTCTTTGCGCCGAGCCATTGGTTGACGCTTCTACGATCCTCAGCTGATATTTAATTAGCTAATGGTGATATCCTTTACCAATCAAACTTACCTTTGTATCTTTCAAGAAGCTTGTCTAAGTGTGCTGTAAACTCGTCCGGCAAAGTGTGTGCTAAAGATTGGCTATGCTTAGGATCCCCGCTCGGTCCGCTTACAGGAATTACAGCATGAAGCTTTTCGACCAAGCGGTAAAACTCTTGGATTCCCTTAATCGCTTTCTCTTTTTTCGAGAATGCCCATTGAAATTTTGTCTTGGTGGAAAAGCCGGTCGGCCTCTTCTTCAAAGTTGGCTGGTCACCGCCGTGAGCGCCTTCTGGTCCCGATGGCCAGAAGTCTGAAACAACAGCTTCAATCGTCTTCAGAGAATCCTCAATGCAGGATACCAGGTCTCGAATCACTTGCGCGGTCTTCTCATCCACTTTCTCTCCGGATATGGTTTGAATGGACTCTTCAGTAACCTTCACATGCTGAAGCCATCGGTCAAACAGATGTTTGCTGGCAGAGAACTCGACCAGGATCGGCCGAGCCTCTGATCCGACGTGCTGAAACGACTCGATCCGGCCCATCAAGCGCTTGCACGAGTCGACAAGCGCGGCAAGTCCAACGACGCCGATGGCGAGGCCGGCGACTTCCATGGTCACGTCCCCTTGGTGTCGGTCCGAAGAAGATATGGAGTTGTTGGTGAAGTGGAGGGTGATGGAGGTGGTGAGCAAGGCTGGCGAGCTGTAGCCTGGAAGAGAGCCTCTCACCCTCGCTGCGGGGCTTTCAGCCCTCATGCATGGATGGTGGCTTAGCCGACGCTGACACGCCCCACACTGTGTTTCGACAAGGACTTATTGGCTGCTTGCACGCCACGTCTCTCAGCGCCTAGCCCTGTATATGATTTGCATTGTGATGAGAGGGCTGTGGGCTGATTGTTGATCCTGCTAAGCGATTTTTTCGCATTTGTAGATCCTGGCCAATGGCTGTCAAAAGCGCATCGCTGCTGGCATGATATATTGACTGATCACGCCAGGATGAGTACTAATAAAGCCCATTTAAGTTCTTCATGCCATAGAGCGTGTGGACGTGGCAGCGAGGCCTAGCGGCCAAGGCCGAATTCAGCGCAAAACGACACATCTTTTGCACGAGGCTGATGTTAATGTTCAGAATCAGGTTTTCCCGTATAAAGCGTACGCAAGCATTCAGTCGATGTCATTGAGTACGAATTCCTGGCTAAAATGCCAGTGGTCTGACTTTCCATGTGGGTAGATGAAGTATGATTACAAGGCTGCACTCACACACAGAAGCCGAAGCGGCATTGCATTACCCATGGAGCTCCTGTATCCCAAGTTTGTGTGTTAACAGGGTTATTGGGTATTTATTTCCATAGACTTGGCAATTTAGTCCACTGCCTCTTTCTGAAACTATAACTACACCCAGACTCCCCACGGCTTTAATCCGGTTCATCGTATATATTAAGTGCTTAAGAACTTCGTGGTAATGAGTAATAAAAATAAATGGTATTCGATGTACTGATGAGTGGCATGAGGACTGAGAGGGTGGCTAACAGGGAGGCGGCTACGTATCCTACTCAGATAATTAAGCTTCCAACGAAGCTGCTGTAGTACACAGCGCAACAAAACTACACCTGAATTGAAAGGATAGACAGAATTGTGCGTTAATTCAGGATTAGATGGACAATATGATTAAGTATATACGGATACTCAGGCTCGTATTCGGGATTGGAAGCGAGCGGTTACAACTGTCTAATGCGGCAAACATATCAAAACTTGGCTCGCCCACAATGGTTCTTCAATCGCACTTTTCGCGATCCGAAAGACCGACAGCTGACAAATTTCACGGATTCTCAGTGTTCCAGGTTGCCGGATCCAATATGCCAAACTTGTTCATATCTACAGAACCCCTCTGAACGCTCAAACAATCCATCTACAATTCGATACCCGCGATCTTTACTGCCAATGTCTCGGTCAATTCTGGTCACCGGTGCCACTGGCAACCAAGATGGAGCTCTTGTCGATGCGCTCCTTTCACGCCACGCCACCGACTTCACCATCCTCGCCGTCACCAGAGACCCCAACTCGGCTAGCGCCAAGCGCCTCCTCGCAAAATCACCATCGACGAAACTAGTGGAGGGCAATCTCGACAACGTTCCAGCGTTGTTAGCTACAGCTCAACAGATCGCTTCGGCTGCATCGACCTCGATCTGGGGGGTCTACTCCGTCCAATCGTCCATGGGCAAAGGCGCAACCTCCGAAGGCGAAGTGCGGCAAGGAATCTCGCTCATCGACGAATCGATCAAGGCCGGCGTCAAGCACTTCGTCTACAGCAGCGTCGAGCGCGGCGGCGAAGCCAGGTCCTGGGACAACCCGACGCAGATCCCGCATTTCATGACCAAGCACCGCATCGAACACCATCTCCGAGACTCTACGGCCGCTGCCGCCGACGGTGGATCAGAGATGGGCTGGACGATCCTTCGCCCCTCGACCTTCATGGATAAATCTCCAGCCGGGCTTCTTCAGCAAGGTCTTCATGACGGCGTTGCGGGACACGATGGGAGACAAGTCGATGCAGTGGGGGTGGCGACGAAGGACATCGGCGTCTTCGCTGCGATGGCGTTCGAACAGCCCGACGGCTGGAACAGGAGGGCTATCAGTCTCTCAGGTGACCAGATAACGTTCCAGCAGCTCGACCAGGTCTTTCAGAAGGTCACGGGAAGCCCGGTGCCGACGACGTTTTGGGTTTTGGGGAGTGCCTTTAAGTATGGGCTGACAGAGGTCAGGACCATGGTTGATTGGTTCGAGGAGGAAGGATGTAAAGCGGATATCAGGGAGCTGAAACAAGTTCATCCTGAGCTGATGGATGTGGAAACCTGGCTAAGGACACAGAGCCAGTTTGCGAAACATTTTGTCACACCACGCTCAGTCGTGAAAAGCTTTTTCCTTTTGTTTCAACTTTCAACTCGAATAAAAAAGCGTCCGCTCTCAGTCTTGGTCTATTGATCGCTACCAGGCCGCTCATGATAGCTCCCACCGGGCTGAAAGTGAGGATATTCACGTCTTCGATTTGCTGCGCGCATTTCAATGAGTTCTGAAATTACAATATTATGGGAGTAGCAAACCTATGGGATTACCATTCGGGGCCTTATAGTACGTCTCTGCTCCGTAACTGATTTCCTCCCCCCCCCCCCCCCCCCCCCCC